ATATATTCAAATTGGAACACTTTTGACTTGGTGTTAATGATAGAAAATATATAATGAAGTTCTGCAGTGTGTTAATATTCACTTCGTATTTGAGTGGGAAATACATGTGTTTTTTAGAATTATTCTTTGAAACAGATTGGCTTATTTTCACCAAAACTTTTAAACCACGGTTGCTTCACGATCATTGATTAAACACTTTCTCACGGGCTAAAATAACGAACGACAATCAATTCGTACAATAGAGAATCCAGCATGCCCAACACCCCTACAAAAAAACTCCCAAACAAATCGAAAAGTTTCATACCTGGATGTGCGCAGTAGAGATTTATTTTATCCCTTGCTTCTTTCGGCGTTCGGACGTCATATTCCTGATGATCACGTGGTAGGTACTTGGGAACCAACTTGATTACGTCCCCAGTACGTTCAGAGACACCATAGGGACAGAAGTCTTGTGTTATCAAAGGACATATTCCGTCAGCAAGAATATCTGTTTGAAGCATGTTAATTGTAATCATGATAAAATTCTAAAACATGTACCTTATACACGTATATAATATATGCACATAACCCAGTCACCTAAACAAGGACGACCAATAACAGACCGGACGATAATAGGGACTTTTAGATTTGCACGACGTGAACTTGGACTGCTCGTGTGACATCCATTTAAAGCGATGTGACGTCCTTTTAAGTCACCGAAAGTGACGTCACATTGCCTTAAAAGGATGTCACACGGGCAGTCCACGTTCACGTCGTGCACATCTAAAAGTCCTTAATCTACATTATCCCGACTGGCCAAGGATCGAGAGTCAGCTTTGAGTGTGTTTGGCGTTGTGGCTGAGGTCCTTGTCAAGCCGACAAACTGACTTAGTTAGCATTAATTTTTCTTTTTCTTTTTTTGCCCCCGGAAATTAGAAAATCGCGCCGGCCGATATTCCGCTCAATCCCCCTCCCCCCTTGAGCAAAAAAAGGAAAAGTTTTGGCCACAAATTGTTTTTCCTTTTTTTATTTTATTATTCTTATTTTTTATTTAAAAATAAAAAAATTAGTCAAGGGAGGGGGGGGGGGCAGGCCCCCTCGCACCCTGGATCCGCGCCTGATATAACCTTAATTTTAAGATTAAGTTTGAAATTTATAAGATTATGTTTATTGGATTGTTTTTCGTAACTTATATCAAATTAAATACACTTACTCTGGGACTGAAGCTGGAGTAGGAAGATGATGATCGCTAATTTGAAATGCTGGTTCAAAGTGTGAAATAAAAAAGACATATTGCAGTGAACAAAGGGTGCTCTAAAAGAATGGAAGCCGTTTCCATATTTGTAATAGGGTCGTTCACACCTACATACAAAAGTGATATTTTATTTCAATCACTCATTGGTGAAATATGCATCAGCTGAGTAGCATCAAATACAAGAGGAGGATCTAAGCTTTACAAATATGTGTCATTTATTAATTACAATTGTGATTAAGTTATGATAAAACAACGATAATTCTAGGTTTTGTTTTTTCTAGAACGCACTGTATTTATATTTCTATTATATTTGATAAAGAAATAAATTGATATAAAGATTAACATTGGATTTGTATTACAATAGAATAGTTATTGCTCTTGCTAGATGTATCCGGCCAATATTGTGTGTACCAGATATTACCTTCCTTCTCTACCTAGTTTGATTTTTTTTGTTCAGATTCCTCCAAACCGTCAACTAGAAAAATGATATACAGTGTTATATATTAGAACAAATCCATGCGTTACAACTATTTTAACAGCAATTTATCATATACACCTAATAGGAATGCTTATATACATGAGCTTCTGTTTTTTGTGTGTGTCATAAAACCTTTATAAAATATAATAGAAATTTAATTTCTTGCTATGATCATTTCGAAGTATATCATTTACCCAAACCTATCCTGGAAATAGAATCTCCAAACGACTTTTAAAAAAGCAGATAGCAAAAACATACCATTTTGTTACGGTTAGTCAAAACGCTGTCAGCACAAGCCGTTGAAAATTCCTGTTCTTGCACTGGCTAACAACCGATGATTAAATGTTGCTGCCCCTTTCAGAGTTTTTTCATAGCATTGAATGTGCTTTCCTATAAGATTAATGAAAATTACGTTTGTTCGTTTTCTGCGTTTAGTCCCAGTTTCACTGAACAAAAGCGGTTCACCTAGATACAGCGGCGAATACACAACTGGCACATGCTCCCAATCTAATGACGAGACAAAGAAGTTTAAAGGCAGGCTTTACTGCTTCAGCTAGAAGGGATTAGACCACCCAGCGAGCAAGCGAGGTCACTGTGACAGGTGGCTATCTCATTAACTCAGCTCTCATTTAATATAAGAAAAAGAGGATCATGGGGGACCAACAGGCACCGATTGGGGAAGTTTTCTATATAGCCTAGAAGGAGCAAGTAGCTACAAGTAGGACAATGTGCCTTTAAAAAAGAGAAAAGGGGAAAAGAAGAGTGAGAGAGAGAGAGAGGGAGAGAGAGAGAGAGAGAGAGTCGATGTGTGTGTGTGTGTGTGTGTGTGTGTGGGGGGGGGGGGTTATAATAAGAAATAATTATTATGATTTTGTTTAAGAGATCTTTTAATCGAATGTTTCTTTTGTAAACAAATATTTGCTGTTTGACAATTTCTTCCAGTCACTCTCTGTTGCAGTATTCATTAATGTCTTTAATGTTGTTTGAGTTTACTTGATGTATAACGTCCATACTAAAATTATACAGGCAACACGTGTATTCATATGTTTTAGTTCCTGAAGATATTTGTGAAACCAAGTGATAGAAAATTTGAGAACTCGCAAACCTAATTCTTATCCGAAATTGTTTTGTTATATACGGTTTGACGCATACTCCTCCGTAGGGGGGGGGGGGGGGGGTTCGGCGGTTTAATCCCCCCCCCCCCCATCTTGGGCGGCGAGGTGAAAAGGGGGGGGGGAGGGTAAAAAAAGAAGAAGAAAAAAGAAGAAAACAAATTGAACGGTATAACGGCACGATTTTGGGGAAATCTTGGATCCGCCACTGGGTCGACCCCCCCCCTGGTAAAAAGCTAGATCCGCCCCTGAAAATGTCCCTTTTTTCTACCGTATATTACCATCAGAACCTTCTTGGGTGAAATTTCAATGATGTAGATGACTGTAGATTATTGTTGGTATTAAAAGTCATCAACTTTTTATGTTGGAATGAGCGTTATCGGAAAAAATGCCAAACTGAAAATATGATACTAAATGGAGTTAAAACTTTTGGAGACCATTTTTGTCATCAGCTTGTGACAAATAATGTTACTGTGACATCGAGGTAGGGCACATTATTGTCTAATAATTTATAAACAGATTCTGAGCAATTAATTGCCATGTTCTCGCGGTCTTTCATAGGAAAATTATAGTGTCGTCACTATAATTATAGGCCGTAGCGACACAATGGTATAAATTAGAGTCGTTCGCAATATTCCAATCGAAATAAAGTAACGCAGATTATTTTTCTGTCCACGGCATGCACCACTTACTGTGTATTGGTCCATCTGCATGTATTTGTATGTGTTGGTTATTTATCTATGGTACATAATTACATGCGGTGTTCATCCCTTTCCAGTGTACATGGTAAAGCATGCATTGTTTTTTATTTTTGTAGAATTGAGCAATCATGTGAGGTTTTGTGGTCAAGTGGATACGTCGCCGGACTGTCGATCACAAGGTCTGCGGTTCGAGTCCCGCCGCTGCACTAATGTCATTTGGCAAGACATTGATCTACATTTGCCACACTCCACCCAGGTGAAGTAAATGGGTACCTGGTAGGAATTTATTCCTTGAAACGCAGCGCGCGTAACAGCTGCACTGCTAAAGCCAGGGTAATTATGCTGCATTATTGTGGAGCGCTTAGAGACTTCTGACAAAGTAAGTGTTAGGCGCTATATAAGCACTGTAATTATTAATAATTATTAATTATTATGTGAAATTCTCGCCTCAAAATGGCTCATGTGAACGTCCTCGGTAAGAAAGGGTCGTCATTTATATTTGTTGAGTTTTAAAAAGAGTCATGGATGAATGCATTTTTAATCATCCCAAATTAAACCCCTCGAACATGCAATTACGGGTGTAAATGAATAAGTTTTTGTGTCAGGCATAATTGCGGTTGTCGTGACAACTTTATTGGATTTAATAAGGTTACATTTTCAGAATCGATGAGTTGGTTCGCTTTAATTGAGTGTTTCCAAATACGTCAGCCTGTAATATCTCAATCACCGATGTGACCGAATTCAGAACGACTACCAACCGAAAAAACGATGTACATTACGACTAACGGCCAAGAGTTGTTATACAGGGGACACTTTTTTTTTTTCGGTCTCGAAATTTGAAAATTTGACATTTTGCTCCGTTGGGGGGGGGGGGGGGGGGGGGGGGGGGGGGGGGGTAAGGTCACCTTCTTTAGGTCAGCCATGAGATTTTTTTTTTTTTTTTTTTTTTTAAGGGGGGTTTATACACATAAAAATACCAAAGGGGGGGGGGGGGGGGTGTTTAACCCCCCCCCCAAACACCCCCCTGCGTACGCGCCTGCTTATGAATGTTTTCGTACATTATAGAAATTCTACAAATTCATCATTATTTTCCTCTACTTCCTTCTCCTCTTTTTCTTCTTCTCCTTCTTCTTTTTTTTCTTCTTGTACTTTATATCATTTCTATCATCAGATTAATGTTGTTGTTATTATTATTATTACCTTTAATATGTAGTTCTTTTAATTTTCTTATCTGTCTGTAAATATTACTATTTTAACTTATTAATTTTTATACATTTCTGTAAGGGACCCCACTGGAAATAAGCTCTCGAGCTTTCGTGGGTTATCCTGATCAAGCTGACTTATTTTTGATCTGTTATTATTGTATATTGTTGTATGCTGGAAGCTTGTCGAATAAAAATCAATCAATCAATCAATCAACCAACAACATCAACTATGACCAAAAACTAGTCTGAAATGAAAGTCTGAAATGAAAGCCTATGAAGGCGCGAAATCCAATATGGCGCTGTCCACATCCTTTCACGAGGTTCTTATTTTGAGAGGGGAAACACATCGTTGGAAAGATCTCACAATAAATTCAGGTATGTGAAGTAATTTCTCTATATTTCATTTAAGGTTTATATTAACGAGAGTAATCAAAGTGCGTGAAACTTACACGAATTTGGGTATTTTGCTGTCGGACGCACACAATACAACTTACATGCAAAACTCATTTCGTTGTCCCACGTATACAAATTGGTGTTAGGTTGAATTAAATTTTCAACTTGTGTCACAAATGCAGATCGGAGCGACTTCAGAATACCCCACCACAACAAATCGACCAGATTGTCGTAGGTTAAAACGGACAAAACGGGCTTTATACATCTATACAAATCAATTATAAGACCAAGACTCGAGTATTGCTCAACGGTGTGGCATCCTGTATTGAAAAAAGACAGCACGAAAATAGAAAAGGTACAGCGTAGAGCAACACGCCAAACTGACGCCAAATACACATGCTACGACACTTGAGCTACGAGAAGAGACTAAAACATCTCAACTTACCATCTCTTGCCTACAGACGCCATAGAGCAGACATGATACAGATATACAAAATAATGCATGGCCTAGATGAACTAGATCTAGCACACTTCTTTGACCATCCAACTGATAATAGGGTGTCTGAACGATTTTTCAATTTTCAATTTGGGATCGTTTTTCACCATTTTTGTTTGATATTTGAATTAAAAATGTAATCAGAATAATACATTTCAAATTTCAAGTCTCGCCGATGTTTCTATCAAAAGATACAGCCCCTTCAAAATGCTGAAATATTCATAGCATTTTGATCAGAATCGACGAAAAAGACGTACACGCAGAGTTATGTTGTTTTGCTAAATTTAGCCAAACAGCTGTATCGCGCGATATGCAAGCGTATGCATATCGTACGCAAGTTGCTCAGCCAATGCGCGACTTGCAAGCTTGAGCCACGCTGTCTCCGCGATATGTGCCATTGACTAGTATGGGTGGCCGTTCCCGCTATAGAACCCGGAAGTGAATACACGTTGTAGTCAATGGCAATATCGCGGAGACAATCTCCGCAATACTGCCATTGACTACAACGTGTATTCACTTCCGGGTTCTATGGCGAGAATCGGCCACCCATACTTTCATTCACTATAAGCGCACATGTTACGATGTAACCATGGTTTGGACTGAGCGGAGCTCACGCCTCCCTAATTAGCTGATTCCAAAAATGTGGGAAGGGTATTTTCAAACTGTTATAACAAATGATCCCTTGGGGCTAGCGAAAAAAAAAAGCATCTGGATATTATTCTTACGTCTAGCCCTGCTTAAGCCGCGGGGGCACAGCTCAGGAAAGTGGCAAATTTTGGAGCTAGGATGCAAACAACATTTCAATCGCTGTTTTGACCAAGATATTTTTAGAATTCTGGGGGTGGCCCCCTATGGGGAATATGGAGAAAAACCTGCTCTTTCATATGACACCTCATTTATTGAGTTTCACCTTCAGGATCATTTGTTATAAAGGTTTGAATTTCAAATTTTTTCATAAAATCATTGACCAATTTTGGATGGTCGCGCAATGCACGTAGACCACATAGGGAAGCGTACAATCTCTATGGGAAGGGTTTTAGCACACAACATTGGGTGCGCGATCAGACACCCTACTGATAATAGAACCCGTGGCCATCGATACAAGATCGTTAAGAAGAAAGTCTACTCAAAGCTTAGACATGGATCATTTTCACAGAGAAGTATCAATGAATGGAACAACCTCTCCTCTGTAGTTGTGGAGAGCAAGTCACTAAACAGCTTTAAATCCAATTTGTTGAAGTTTTGGTCGTGAAGAAAAGATCAATTTGACCCAGAGGAGTCCTTCGCTTGTCCATGTTCGTCAATTGCTGTATAGCGCCACTAAACATGTGCCAAAATATGGATTCTTCATCTGAATGTCAACGAGAGGCAAATAAGTTTTTAACTTTAAATGCCTACTTCCAAGGTATATTATCCAAGGTATAGGTTAACCAATGATTCACCAAGATGGAAGGAAGCTAGATCTTAAGTAGGCAAATTCTTTGAAAAATATGTTCACAAAATTGACTCCAAAATTCGAAAACACATCTGACAGAAAATCTGATTCTGAACTAACTCTGTAATTTATGTGTAACCGATACTGTAAACGCTGTTAATTTTGTGTGAATAAATTTTCGAGCTGAGCGACCCCTAAACATATTCGCTGGTAGTGGTCGTGAAATTCGCGTTGCACGCAATAAACTCTGTTCAAAACACGCACAAGAAGTCATGCTTACATTTTTGAAAGTTCTAAAATTCGCAAAAACCGCACATAGAGTAAAGGAGCCCGTTTTCGGCCACTTAAAGGACAAGTCCACTCGAAAAATAACTTACTCTCACTAAAAGCAGAAAAATCAGACAAACCAATCAAAAAAAGTTTGAGCAAAATCGGATAACTAATAAGAAAGTTATGAATTTTTGAAAAAGTATGTAAAACTATGGAACAATGAGATTTACAACACAAATTGCCAAGATGGTTATCAGTTTGTGACGTCATGTCCTCACAACTTATCAATTGCTTTATATATAGTTTATTCCCATTAATTTCCCTTTTTATCCCCCAAAACTTGATTTCCCCATGCCTTTGCCCAGGTTATATGATTTGTACCATATTGCGTGCATGACATTTCCCAAAAACTTTTATGAATTTTGAAGAATTGATACTCTTTTCTGAATATCGTATTTCATAATTATTGATTTTTATATAAATAGTTTATCAAAATTCAATATTTCATGATTTAATTGGACATAAATTACTCTTTATTTGTGCATCCACACAAACAAAATGTTACTAACAATCTAACTTGGATGCTGGTGTGAAGAAATAAGATTCTTAGGGTGAAAATAGGAAATTTATAGTATCAATATAAAGAAAATAATTAGTGGATAGTGAGGACCATACGTCACAGACTCATGAGTGAGTTGCCAATTTGTGTAGTGATTTTCAAAGTTTGTTATGTCATTAAAAATTCATAACTTTCTTATTAGTTATCCGATTTTGCTCAATCTTTTTTTTGATTGGTTTATCTGATTTTTCTGGTTCTATTGAAACTAAGTTATTTTTGGAGTGGACTTGGGCTTTAAGACAAAATCCTTTTTTTAGGACCCTTTACTTCCTATTTATTATCATTTTTTGTTCAAATCATGAAGCAAATATTATTATTATTTAAACAAAAAAAGAATCCCAGAAAAAAATCACGAATTGCCATGACAATATTCATTTCAATTTTCACTGTTTTGGAGCCAGTTATCGGCCGAGCGTTTCAGTTTACGGCCGCATGTACAAAGTCAATACAAAGTGCTCGCGCGCGCGCCGTGCGTTTCCGCGCTGATGTACAGCACAAGCGGGCGGAGCAGGTATCCCACGCCGGAGCTCCCGAGTGCTCGCCTGGCCGAAGACAGGCACAGCGGTGATCGGAAGTTGGAATCTGAATTAGACAGACATATCGTGTGTGCGTTGCGGTGTGCGGCTGCATTGATTTAATACATGCGATGAGATACTTTTGAGCTTGCGACTAGCACAAAATCGGGCTCTAAATCTGAAAAATACTTGAAATAAAGCTCATTTTATGGTACCCATATTTCTTACAGACACGCGTAAAATACTCGATTTTTCAGATTCGGGTAGCGGGACCGCCGATTACATCGCTAAAATGTGATATTTTAGGATATATTTTTCATTGCAAATGTGGTTCTTCAGTGACACTGGCATGGTATGGTATGTGTGGGATATGTGTTATGCTATTATGCGATGTATTTTAGAGTGATTTTACCTTGTATCCAACCAATCGGCCGAAAACGGGAGCTGGCCGATTACCGGCTCCTTTACTCTAGACTATTTCTACTTTTACACATTTGGCCTGCTATATTCCAGCTTAAAGTCGATCTTTACTTAGGCCTACTTACTTTGATTTACTTTGGTGTTGAGGCTTGAAGCTTCAGCTTATGTGCCCATCTTTACTGCATTGGATTCGCGTTGGTATGGGTGGTATTTCAGCGGATGGTGCTTCCAATGATTTTAAAGTTCTGACTTGAACTTATTGATTGATGAGGCAGTAATGGCAATTTCAGGAAGGTTCTTCCAACTATTTATGCTCCTTAGTCTTTGTGAAACACTCCCCTGGTCCCAGGTTAGTGGATTGCTGTTTACATGTTGTAGGGTGTCTGATCGCGCACCCGATGTTGCAGGATCATGCAAAATTGGTCAATGTTTTTATTACCGCATTGAGATTCAAACCTTTATTTCTTGTGATCCTGAAGGTAATACTCAATAAATGAGGTGTCATATGAAAGAGCAGATTAACCTCCATATTTCCAAACGGGCGTCATCTCGGAATTCTAAAATATTGACTCATTCCATACTTGTATTTGTTTCTCTAGTCTCTTCCCTCTATACATATTCATTTCACATCATTTGCTTATTCACTTACATAATAATTTATTTCAATAGGCCATTTTCGTAATGTAACCAAATTTAATGCATAAGTCTTTGTGAAGTGCCTCAATACAAGTTATTTAATTCACCTGATAAGAATAATAGTATTTCAAAAGTCAGAATGCAAACTGCATATATTAAGTGTTGCTATAGTGCAGGTAGGTCAAGCCATAATGTTTGTCCAACCTGACACCAACTAATGTATGCAATTTGAATTCTGTCTATTGAAATACCATTATTCTTTTCAGGTGAATGAAATAGTATGTATTGAGGCTCCTCACAAAGACTTATGCATTAAATTTGGTTACATTTCGAAAATGGTCTATTACTTGACCCAATTCCTTCCTCCATTCATCTCCTCTACATACCAAGTCTTCCATCTCACCTGGTGGTATGTTTCTTTGTTCTCTTCTCATTCTTTATTCATGAATCTTGTGTGAATGCTTTAGGTATTTCCACTTTTTACTTATCATTGGTTCTCTTCTCATTTTCCTTATGAATATTCAGTCTTACTCTCAAATCCTATTTTGCTATTGGTTGATGATGTATTTCATTTGAATATACTTTGCTTAAGAATGTTCAATATGATGGTGCATGGCAGGCTATAATAAAACACATGCAGACCTGCACTGGACATGAACTGAGTGAGTTATACTGATTTAGAGCTCTGCTACTTTTATGTTGGAGACTTAGGAGAGAGGTTTTAAGTGAGGATTTGAATTGGGTTGAACCCAGCACACTATAGGCACATGGCACTCTATCTTTCCTCAGGCTTTCTATTTGTTACTTACTTCATGTACAATCTTGTGATTGGTTGTTATTGTTTCATGGACTGCATGTCAGCCATCTTGGCAGCCATTTTGAAGATGTATTAACATATAGCAGTGCAGCTCAAGTCAACAATCGTGTCAGACTAGTTCTGTCTTGTGTGAGTCTTACATTATTCTTTGTGGAACACCCCCATGGACACTTGCCTTAATATTTTGTGCACCATTCTCATGACATGACTCAAACTCTGACAGTACCGTGTTAACAATGCCTCTATTTTCGGTCATGCAGGTGGAACACAAGGTGTCCTTCAAGATGTCAATGTCGCGGATAGCGCAGGGGGATTCGCCTACAAGGACAGTCACAAGGTCAACAGTGCGACCGCTAACAGGTTCATCTACTGGTAAGGACGCTTGAATATGTGAGAGGGAGAGAGGGAGATGGGGAGGGAGGGAGGGAGGGGGTAGGGAGAGAGCCGCTAACAAGTTTATCTACTGGTAAGGTTGCTTGAATACGTCAATGATGAGAGATAAAGAGAGAGACAAAGAGAGAGAGACAAAGAGCGAGATACAGACAGAGAGAGAGAGAGAAACGGACAGAGAGAGAGAGAGAGAGAGATAGGAGAATTAAGCTATACTCCTTTATCCCTTGATTGTTACACTATAAAGATGCCATAATCTAGAAATGTATCTTGTTCTTCTTCCCGTCAGGCGCACTTCTCAGAATCGTGTAGAACTGGTGGAGAGCTCTCTCAATCACAATCTCCATGGCAACGCCCTGCGTCTCAACTTCCAGGGCTCGCCCATCATTCCAAGGGTGTCAATCCACGAGACCCATTCACACGTCGTGGTTCTGATCGCTACGTTCACATCGGTTCATCGTCTCCCATTCCCCCATCCCAACAAATTGAATAGACAGGTAAGCTCAACAAAATATCATTTACCTCAAGTAAGAACAAATACATCTAAATTTTCTATTTTCTACTAGGGTCCGGTCTGTGTTCAATTCAATACTTAAGTTTGAAATATGAGAATTCTACTTAGTCTCTGGCTTAACATGGGTGCAGCCATTTTATTGAAAATGTGACGTACCAGGCGGAGTCGTACATGTTTTTAATTTTAAGATAATTTTAAGACTTTTTAATTCAACAACACAACCTTTACTTTTCAATGAGGGAAAATCGTAGCCGAGAAGGTAAAAATTATATTTGGTGAAAAATTTATAATAGGGTAACAATTGTAACTCATTTATTCAGAAATGTGAAACCTTCACCCCAGAACAGCACCAACTTATTTATGCAATTTGCGTTATGGCAATTGGAGTACTCGGTGAATGAAATGCTTCAACACCACAAACACCTGGGAAGTAAGAATTCATAAATTTGAATACATTTAGTAACGACTTCGCATAGTACGTCATGCAATTTAAAAAAAAAATGGCGATGCCCATGTCTTGCTGAGAAACTGTACTTTATTCTTGTTTTATACTTTTATGGAAATGTTCTTGGAAATTAAATAAAATTTACATAATAATAAAATAAACGTTTGTGTCACGTCTCCCAGAGCAATAATGTTGTTACTAATATTTTCATTATCAGGATTCCAACAACCAGTTCACAAGCTTTGATCTAACCTCCATCTTTGCCGACGCCTCCGTGACGAACTTCCGGGATGCGTCTAACATCCATGAGATCGTACAAGGCGGAGCTCAGACCTATGAGTTCCAGGCATGCGGGTCATGGATGACCGGGGATGGAGAGGCCTGGTTCGCTCTCTCGGTACGCAGCGGTAGCCTGGTCTTGGTCAAGATGGCCCCGCTTGGCTTGAGAGGTAAACAACATCATCATCTTCTTCTTCTTCTTCTTCTTCTTCTTCTTCTTCTTCTTCTCTTCTTCTTCTTCTTCTTCTTCTTCTTCTTCTTCTTCTTCTCTTCTTCTTCTTCTTCTTCTTCTTCTTCTTCTTCTTCTTCTTCTTCTTCTTCTTCTTCTTCTTCTTCTTCTTCTTCTTCTTCTTCTTCTTCTTCTTCTTCTTCTTCTTCTTCTTCTTCTTCTTCTTCTTCTTCTTCTCTTCTTCTTCTTCTTCTTCTTCTTCTTCTTCTTCTTCTTCTTCTTCTTCTTCTTCTTTCTTCTTCTTCTTCTTCTTCTCTTCTTCTTCTTCTTCTTCTTCTTCTTCTTCTTCTTCTTCTTCTTCTTCTTCTTCTTCTTCTTCTTCTTCTTCTTCTTCTTCTTCTTCTTCTTCTTCTTCTTCTTCTTCTTCTTCTTCTTCTTCTTCTTCTTCTTCTTCTTCTTCTTCTTCTTCTTCTTCTTCTTCTTCTTCTTCTTCTTCTTCTTCTTCTTCTTCTTCTTCTTCTTCTTCTTCTTCTTCTCTTCTTCTTCTTCTTCTTCTTCTTCTTCTTCTTCTTCTTCTTCTTCTTCTTCTTCTTCTTCTTCTTCTTCTTCTTCTTCTTCTTCTTCTTCTTCTTCTTCTTCTTCTTCTTCTTCTTCTTCTTCTTCTTCTTCTTTCTTCTTCTTCATAATCTGCCTCCTCCACGTGTTAAGTTTCATTTATCCATCCATTTCAGCCACTCTTGAGATCATTACACCGGCTTCCTTTGAAACAAAGAATAATTTTTAAAATACTCTTGCTTGTGTACAAAATACTCAAAAATAAAGTTCCACAATATTTAGATTCCTGTTTGAATCTAAATACAGGGCATTGAGATCAGTGATGGGACATTAACAATATCTGCTTTAAAATACTGGAATGATCTACCACGCAAAATTCATCAGTCATTATCTTCAGAAAGGCCTTGAAAACACATTTTGCAGTTTGTATAATTTACATGTATTTATGTAATTGTCATTTTCTGTAATTTTTCTGTAATAATAATAATAATACTACCAATAATAATAATAAGTTATCATATCTGTAGGTATTACAACACAGAATGAAGTCAAAGAGTCCTCTATCATGGAAAGGTTGTGGACTGGTCTCGTCCCAGTCGCCATCAGGTATTGCTATTTGTACTCTTTTTCTTTTTTCCTTCTATGACAAGCAAATGCCAAAATGAGATTGTGGGACTACAGACTCTGAACTGTAGAGACGATGATGAAGATGAAGATGAAGATGGTGGTGGTGGTGATGATGGTGATGATGATGATGATGATGGTGATGGTGATGGTGATGGTGATGATGATGATGATGATGACGACGATGATGGTGATGGTGATGGGGATGGTGATGATGATGAAGATGATGATGGTGATGATGATGATGATGAAAATGATGATGTTGATGAAGATGATGATGATGATGATGAAGATGATGATGATGATGAAGATGATGATGATAAAGATGATGATGAAGATGATGATGTTGGTGATGAGGATGTTAGTGATGACAATAATAAGGCCTAAAAAAAAAGATTTTGTGTTGCCCTTCAAGACCGACCCCAAAATCTTTTTAATTTTTTTTTTTTTTAAACCGTTTTTCAGACAAAAAAATACTAAGCAATCAAAACTGAGAAATATCAGCCCAAAGACGGAGGAAAAACAAAATTCTGACCGACCGAACGATGTTTTGGCTGCTAAAGGGCAATGCAGCATCATTTTTTGAAAGGCCTAATAGTAGTAGTAATAATAAACAGATCATCTCAGTGCATGTTATACTATTATGTTTGATATCTCTTTTTGTGTTGCCAGGAGAGGCCAAGATGCGATGTATCTGGCCCAGAGTGTGGCTGTTCGACCCCTAGGCCAGGACATGATGGCTTTCAGTGTATCTAGAGACCACAAGCTAAGGATCTGGTCGTGCAAGGTAATATTAGTTCCAATTCGGCCTTTAAATAGACCTTTTCTTTATGTCTTGATGGGTACAGCTGTTTTCTTTTGTATATCAGTTGTCACATTTCTTATGTAAATCAATCAAATATACTATTATTCTTGTTTGATTGTTTGGTATTTGATTTTTCAATGAATGCAGATATGTTCTATTTTTAAATATTTCTTTTTTTGTTCACTTTTCTTTAGACCTTGAACTGCCTGATCACCAGTGACCTGACCAGCTTCCTGCCAGAGGGCATGATGGGATTGGACGAGCAGCCGATCCTCCGTCACGAGATCCGCGTGATCCAGGGTTCAACGCCCTCTAGTCTGACCCTCGGCATCTACTTAACCATCTCACAACTTTCACTGGTAAGTGAATTTAATACTACTGCTGCTACTGATACTACTACTACTATTAATACTACTACTACTACTACTACTACTACTACTACCACTACTACTACTACAGCTGTTACTTCTGCTACCACTTTTATTACTTTTATTACTTCTACTTCTACTGCTACTTCTACTTCTACTTCTACTGCTAGTTCTTCTACTTCTACTTCTACTTCTACTTCTACTGCTACCTCTACTTGTACTACTTGTACTACTACTACTACTACTACTACTACTACTACTACTGCTGCTGCTACTACTACTACTACTACTATTACCACTACTACTACTACTACTACTACTACTACTACTACTACTATTACCACTACTACTACTACTACTACTACTACCACTACCACTACTACTACTACTACTACTACAGCTGTTACTTCTGCTACCACTTTTATTACTTCTACTTCTACTTCTACTTCTACTGCTACATGTACCTCTACTTGTACTACTTGTACTACTACTACTACTACTATTACCACTACTACTACTACTACTACTACTACTACTTCTACTGCTACCTCTACTTGTACTAATGATAATAAAAATAAACGTGATGATGATGATAATAGTGATGATGATGATGATTATAATGATAATAATAGTAATGATGATAATGACAATCAGTAGCTTATAACAAAAACTGTAATTAGTCACTGATGACAAGTTTTGTGAAACGCCCCCCAGTTCATATCATATCTTGTCTCTTCTCTTAGTTCCTGATCTTGGAGCAGCAGTGGCAGGATGGGCAGTGCCGTCTGTATCATGTGACCACGCTGGACGATGTCAAGGGTCAAACACTTGTTGACTTCACAATGACGGGTTCTCATGTTGTTGCCATGTGGGGCTTAGCTGATGGTGGCACGGTAGTGAAGACGACATGCTATTCAAAGTGAGTAGAAGATCTGATGAAAGCTATTCATGAGTTCTGGTTAAAATGGGATTCCCTTTCAAGAGGAATTAGTTTAAGCCCGTCTGCACTAGTTTGGCCAGGAGGATTACTTCCCTGCAAGGTCACTGACAGGTGGTTATCTCATGAAATCAAATAAAAAAAACAAAAAAAAGGATCAAGGTGGACGAACAGGCTCCGATAAGGCATTGTTTGCTACATAGAGGGGGCAAGAAGCTATAAGTAGTGCAGTGGGGCTTAAAATGGAATTCCCTTCCAAGATGAATTAGTTTAAAGTACAGTCAGATTATGTATGAAATCAAATGTAATATCTTTGTTTACCTTTTTGTTGGAAATGAAATGAATATGAATATATAACATACAGTTGGCCATTCTAGACAGGTTCTACAACACACATTTCCTTCTAGAGGGGCATATTGTTGACAGGTGGCATTTCTGGATGGATTTTACAACAGACATTTCTCTCTCAATAGCCCACAAAAAAGAAAAGAGAGAGATAAAGAGAGAAAGAGAAAATGCATGGTCACTATAGACAGGTGGCCTTTATAGAGAGGTGTCCGCTACGACAGGTTTGATTGTTCTAGCTTGTGAAGCACATGGTAACGTATTCCATATTTTGAGGATCCTTATGTGGATTGTTTCATATGTGAACCAATGGCCCGTTCTTATATTCTACTGTAAACCGCCTTTTTTGTGTGTTAAAGCAACATAGTAGTCGGTGTCCATGTGCATTGCATCATAATTCGCTGACACTGGGTTTGAATGAATTACCATTATTATTATACCTGGGAGTGCAAGAGCTTCTGAAGCAGCGAACCTGTGGTTGTAGCTTCTAAATGAAACACAACTCAAAATAGAGACACAGAAAATGAGGGTGTGGTTGCTGTGAAGGTTTAATCAAGACATACTTTCTTAGCGGTCAAAATAATTTTGAAAATGAAAACCTTGTTAAATCGTTGTAGTCGCTGTATGTGAACGTCCCCTTACGATTCTTGATTAATGTTTTGTATTATGCAGGCAATGTCAAGAAGGATGGCAGCCGGTCTACCTGGAAACTGACCAACTGACCAGTGTCCAAGTTCCAGCTTTTCTTGACCCTCGGGTAAGCTTAGAACATTTCAATGAAAAAAAAAGATAATGAAGTAAGAGAGAGTATAGGCTATGTTTGTAATGTAACCAACTTTATACTTGAGTGCCTCGATCTGAATTATTGAATTTACCTGTTACGAATAATCGTATATCATAAGACAGAAGGCAAATTGCAAATATTACGTGTTCCTATCTTTCTCCATCTCTCTCTCTCTCTTGCATAATCTCTCCTTAATATTCTCTTCTGTCTCTCCCTCTTTGATTTTCTGTCTGTCTGTCTCTTTCTGTCTGTCTGTCTTGCTCCCTCACCCTCTCTTTACTTATCTCTCTCCTTCATTTGTCCTTCCTCTGATAACAGGAGGCGTACCTGGATCACATCTTCAAACCTGGCAGGTTCTCAGTTCAAACCATCCTCAGAGCCCTTCATGTAAGTACAAATCAGCATTACATTTTCAGGTTGAGAGTCTTTAACACCATCTTACCCTATCTAGCGGGGAGGGTGGGGGGGGGGGGGGGGCTTTAGAAGCCCCCCCTCTACATTTTTCGCGATAATTTTGTAACGCAAAAGAATCTTGCGCTGAAATTTTATGATTTTTTTCTTACAAGTCTTATTATTTTTGTTCTTGGTAATTTCTCATGTACAATCATATGTTTGAGGTTTTTTACCTTGTTAGGCGCCTTGAGCATCCCTTGGGGTGGATATGTGCCATTATAAATTTTGTCATTATTATTATTATAGTATATATTTCATGATATGTTCATTATGTTTGTTGTCTCCAGACATACAGTCGCTCCGCCGGGTCTGACCTCGGTACCCTGATGGACGTTGACCTACCCGATCCTTCCATCCTGCGACAAGATGCGTCCATCGTCGTGGAAACAGAGATACAGCAGCGGGTCGGGGGAGGGGAAGTCTCCCAGGGGGAGTACAGGCAGCTGGTGGAACAGAGCATGAGCAAGTTTCTAGCCTGCTGCGTGGAATATCATCAAGTGAGTTGCTGGTCTATGTAGGGAAATTACTCTCTATGTGAATCATTGCCATTGAAAATTTCAAATAAGGAATTGGTGTTAAAAAAAGATGTAAACATCTGTATGTAACAAGAAGGATTATTACCGATTCTTTCATTTAATTTGAAGTGATGAATTATTGTATTATTCAATGAAACCATTGACAAATCATTTTTTATCCATGCCTGCAACAAAAGATATTAATATAACTCTCATACTTGAGAAGTTTTTTGTACCCCATACAATTTCATTTGTATATATACATTGTTGTAATTCTCTTTCTCTCTCTCTTTCTCTATCTCTCACACTTTCTTACCCTCTCTCTCCTTTTATTGTTTAGGTTGCCAACAAGCCGTTAGGATTGTTCTTGGATCGTAACACACACATGCCGTGCCTTATCAAAAGAGTAAGTAAATCCGGCTTACTTCGAAACATCGATTCATGGGTCGGGTCGGGGGTCGGGTCGGGGGTCGCGTTACCTGACCTTTTGTGAAGACATGCCCCTTTATTTACCAGATACGGGGGTAATGTTTGTGAAATAAACCCCTCTCATCTACAAATGGTCTGGTCCGATTTCTTTCCTGACACCTTGTGAAAATTCTACGCCAAATTTGTCTTGCATACTTTGTTTTTGGTCTGAAACTAAATTTGGGCATACCGGTAGTTAAATAGTTAATTTTCACTGCTTTGCTTTATTTTTAGAATGTCAGAAATTTACATATTTCTTTTTGATCTGATATGTTTTAAGTTCACAACACCTACTTCATGGTATGGTAGTGTATAGCACCAACTTTTTTCAGGCACTTTAAACTTATGGTTACATTTTGAAGTCGGGTTAGGAGGGGAAGGGGAAGGGGGGCTGCTTAATGAGTTGTTCTCTTTGTAATGTACATAACATTCAGAAATTCCCTTTCTTCAGGTTGATATTAGGTTGTAGGGCAAAATGATTTCATTTCTCTCTCTCCTATTCTCTCTCCCTCCCATTCTCTCTTCCACTCTCTCTTTCTCTCCCACTCTTTTTCTCCCACTCTTTCTCCCACCCTCTCTCTCTCCTACCCTCCCTCTCTCTCTCTCTCTCCCTTCGCTCTCTCTCCCTTCTCTCTCTCTCCCTTCTCTCTCTCTCCCTTCTCTCTCTCTCTCTCTTCTCTCTCTCTCTCTCTCTCTCTCTGCAGAACTTGTTGTCTGTGCTTCAACCGGTCGGCCTGCTCGAGGACCTTCACATGGGGGTCAAGCGCACTTTCAGTATGGATGACCTCGGAGTGGAGCTGTCTGATGAAGGTATGGCAGATTATCTTTACGAATAATTCAGAATATTACGATTTTCTGGATTTTTAGGACCTACAAATCAGAATATTCAGATTTTTTTGATGTTTTGAAATAGCTAAAGCAAAATTAAGCTCGTTTTATCATGTTCCGCTTCTGTGATCAGTCCGTTCAAAACCATCAATAAGGCTTGTTTTGTGTATATTTCAAAAGTGGTGATTATGATGATGGTGATTATGAAGATGGTGATGATGATGATGGTGATGATGATGACAATGATGATGATGAGGATGACGACAATGACGATGATGGTGACGATGATGATGATGATGACGATGATGATGAGGGCATTGTAGATTATCAGTGTAGTTTCTAGCTTGTTATTGCTTCTGTGATCAGTTCATTCAAAACCATCAATAAGGCTTGTTTTGTGTATATTTAATAAGTGATGATGATGATGACGATGATGACGATGATGATGATGGTGATGGTGACAGATTATCAGTGTAGTTTCTAGCTTGTTATTGCTTCTGTGATCAGTCCATTCAAAACCGTCAATGAGGCTTGTTTTGTGCATATTTTATAAGTGATGATGATGATGCCACATGTTCGTGTAATCCCATATACATCTTTCTGTGTACAGTGCTTGTAACTTTACCAAGACTGGGCCAAAGTTCTTATCATTTTGATGATTCCAGAACCTTGCAGAACACACCAATACTTATATGCTAGATGATCATCCTTTTCTGAGCGATTCCACAACGTTCCCGTTCACAATGCGATCACATGACCAGGCCTCCAACTTACAAAGAGTTGATATCAATTGCAACTATGTACATACAAGATAGGAGATTGCAAACTTGAGATTGATTGGAGGACTTACGATTGATTTGGATCAATCGGAACTCTTTGTAAGATGGGGCCGGCCAGAACTCTACTTTATCTTTAAGGTTATTATTGTTACTATTTTCAATTATCTTGCCTTGGATTCATTCTGTTTCCCAAACGCAGACCCCACCATTCTTCAAGACATGCAATCGCTCCAGGAATGCATCCATCTCCTCTCATCCTCCTCCTCTGTTGCCATGGAGATGCAAGGCTTCACCGACTCGCTGATGCAGCTTGAGAGACCGGTGGATGTCGCCCAGAAACTGGCCAGCAAACTCCTCATGCAGGATGGGTAAGTAGGGCCAGGAGGGAGTTTCACTAAACTTGTCATTGACAAATGACAGTTTATGTTATAAGCTACTGAAATCCTTGCTTCTGATTGGTTATCAGCAGATTTGACACTGATTTTTGTCATTTGTCATTGAAAAAAGGCTTTGTGAAACGCCCCAAGTACTTAAAAAGAAGAAGTGGGTAACGAGTGACAGATAGAGCAGTAGTAGTAGTAGCAGTAGTACTTATTTGCCAGTGTTAAGGCCGCACCCCCGACTTTCGCAGAGTTTCTTCTACGATTTCACGATCATCCTCAGGAATGCCATAGAAGTTAGAATGCCTGTTGTATATCTCCATGAGGGTAATCTTGTCATTGAGATTAGTGATCTGAGCTTGGAGATCGTGCTTGAGTTCAGGTATTTGTTTTTTCTCTAGATCAGCCACCTTGTCGGAGTTAAAGGTCACTGAAGCTTCTAGGTCATCAATCTTTGACTTGATTGCTGACACCTCGGTTGTGAGGTTGTCCAATCTAGAACAGACCACGGCAGTTGAGCTCGTAATTGCTGCGTGCAGGTCGGCAGGTGTGAGCGTTGCTGGCGGGATATTAGTAGACTCCGCTTGCGGCGGCCCAGGGGCGGTTGCGCCCACGTGTTCAGGGTCCACTACCGTCGTAGTGAACAGAGGCTACGCATGGTCATGATGGGAAACCTACCAGTAAAAAATGTGGAAAAAAAGGAAAATAATTCAACAAAATCTCACCAAAACTTGATCAGTTCAAAGGTCATGAAGCAGCAATAAGGAAAGCGATGAGCTAGTCGCTTAGAGGAGATAATAACTGGGCGAAAATTGGAGTGAAAGTCATCAATATGTCGCTGGCATTTATGAAAGGGGATAGATCCCTTATTAGAAAGAAAAAAGGGCACGTTTCATTGTGATGTTTTGTTTAACTCACTTGGCTCTGAGGTGTCACGCTTATCTTCACTGTTAGTAGGTCAATTACACAATTTCTGATGGCAAAATGTGTGTTGATTGGCAGCCGTAGCATCTTTTCGATCATATCCTTGTCAATGCTTGTTGGGTTATTAAGGTATAACTCATAGAGGGAGCTTGAGTGGTAGCCTGAGTAGCTTCTCGATCATTTCCTTGTTGAAGGTCGTTGAATTATAACGTATAACTCATAGAGGGAGTTTCCCCCCGCTTTTATTGTCACAACTCCTCGTACAAATTCTCTGCCTTTTCCCCCCTGCGTTGTGGTGTGCCGCTGTTCGAAAGTATCCACCACAAACTTGTATACAGTCTTATTCTTGTTGGCCATGATGATCTATAGAGAAAAAGAGCAAAATATGAGTTGAGTGGCAGCCTGAGTATCTTCTCGATCATATCTTTGTCGAAGGTCGTTGGGTTATTTATGTACAACTCATAGAGGGAGTTCCCCCCAGCTTTGATCGCTACAACCCCTTTTAGAAATTCTCTTCCTTTTCTCCCCTGCGTGGTGGTGTGCCGCAGTTGGAATGTATGGACCACAAACATGTAGATTGTTGCATTTTTACTGGCTTGTCAAAACGCTGCCATGATGATCGATCAAGCTAAATTCAAATGAAAAGAACAAAGATATAATTCTGACTGATTGATACACGTCTGTAAAATCCTATACACACACACACACACACACACACACTCTGACAATACAAATACAGAAGAATTTCATTTTATTCCATTCGTCATATAAAAACATACAGAATTATAACATTGATATATACAGATAATTAAAGAACATACAAATAACATACAAGAGATAAACACAAAATACAAATATAAATATATGAATGAGAAAACGGCAAGAAAAAACAAAGTCTTATGTGGTGCTGGCCCCTTGCGACAGCAATAAAACGTCAGGATTACTGTAGCTCTTGAGCTGGTTGACTATCTGCAGACTGTGGTACGGAACCTGCGTCATAATGCTATATTTTGACCTAGAAATGTTGATAAGAAGAGACAATTTACTAATGGAAAATTCGGCACTAATGCTCTTTCGTATCCCACATATATAATACCCGCATCGGTTACACGATCATACTTCTTGAAACATTAATGCAAGAAAAGAGATTGATTAAGATTCTCAAACTCCTCATGCATGATGGGTAAGTACATGTAGGGACAGTAGTAGCAGTAGCAGCGGAGATAGGATCATGGTGAAATGAAATAACCCCTGAATCCTTAAGCATTCCATTCAATGCAGGTGAACTTGTTGTTTGCAAAATAGGGCGGCGGCGTCGACGTCAGCAACGAAAGCTGGCCAGCAAACTCGTCATGCAGGATGGGTGAGTAGGTTTTACAATGCGGTGGGTCAAGAAGAAGTTGGTAACGATCGACAGATAGAGCAGTAGTAGTAGTAGCAAATATATATAGTCAAAGAAACACTTTTTTCATGAAAAGAATAAATGTGAGAACGTATGCGTGTAAAAAAAAGATAGCATTTTCGGTCAAAATGATTATAAATACCTGCCAAGTTTACATCAAGGTACATACAAGATAATACTGTAATGCCCTCTACATTTCTATTAACTTCTCCAAAGTTGAACATTCAAGTATTACACAACATAAATGCTGATAACAAAACAAATATACAGAGATGGCAAGATTATTTGTATACAAAAAAAGAAATGTTGATCAAAGAAAATTTCACCTAAATAAACATGACTGGTATTCTAAAATACTACAGCTATAATGCACTAATCTACATTTTTGTATAACAAGAAGTGTTACAAGCACACTCCGGCTGGAACTCTGGATTTACAAATTTTTTTAAATGTCATTACACGACTATAACTTTATCTTGATGAAATGAATACTACTGGACATAATGTCCACCCTCTCCTGGTCAGTAGAAACTTTAAAGGGGAAGCTTGGGCTACCTCGATCTTCTTCTGTGGTTTTGAAGCTTCGCTGGCATCTGCATGACTATATCTTCAGTGTTGCTCAATAGCGATATACAGTTTAGGCATCAAACTATTTGTTAACAACTATGAAATCTCAATGGAATTATGAATATAAATAAAAAAAAACACATACACACTGACAATCATACAGTAATGATAAACTTTATCACACACAAATAAAATATTAAACACATTTTGATAATAATAATAATAAATTGCTTTTTTAAAGCGTTATATTGAATTTAGAACTGATCAAAGTGCTTTACAAAACAAATAAATCAATGAATTAAAACTCAACAAAAATAAGATAGAAAATGTAATGCTGTTAATTACATTGTAAATAGGTGTGTTTTGAGATGCTTCTTAAATAATTCAACTGACATACTACAGCGTAATTCACAGGTAACCTATTCCATGTAACCGGACCACTGTAGTGAAACTTCGCTCACTTATCTTCGATTTTATTCTAGGCACATGGAGAGCCGTTGTGTCTGTAGTTGAGCGAAGATTATATGTGGAGTGACGGGAAGATTGTAACAAGGAAGACAAACATTGAGGGGCAACATTATGTGTACATTTATAAACAAACGGTGCGGTTTTGTACATTATTCTCTTTTCGACCAGTTTCCAATAAAGTTGTCTAAGTAGGGGTGATGCGTGATCCTGTTTGATAATCATTACCTGGGTTACAACTCCCCTCACTGAAGCCCTTCGCTTGACGGGGCTCCTCTTCAGTTCCTTTGAGACATTTTGGGGTGTGAGGTACTCTCTTACCGCATCCATTTGTACTGGGAAAGGTCGCTGCGCTGAAGTAGATCTGTAAATACAACATGAAATACCAAAGCATTGTTTTAAATTACATCCAATCAGAATAAAAATTCAGCAATATCAATGCATATAATTCTGGTCCACTGACAAAATTTAACATGTTAAAACAATACCAACTAAAAAAAACTTGTACAACTTTATATAATATCACACCAGTATACGACTAAACAGCCGATACTAAACAATTTTGATACCAATTGTAAACTTGATAACATAAGATAGATAGATATAGATAGATATATTAAATATTAAACACATTGGATAATCATTGGTCATTACCTGGGTGACAACTCCCCTTACTGAAGCTCTTCGCTTCACGGGGCTCCTCTTCAATTCCTTAATTGAGACATTTTGGGGGTTGCGGTACTCCTGTACCACATCCATTTGTACCTCAAAGGGCGCTGCGCTGATGTAGATCTGTAAATACAACATAAAATACCAAAACATTGTTTCAAATTACACCCAATCAGAATAAAAATTCAGTAATATCAATGCATATAATTCTGGTCCACTATCAAAATTTTAAATGTTAAAACAAAGAACAAAGATACAATTCTGACCAATTGATACATGATCCTTCTGATTGATAGACATCTGTAAATACCCAATACACATACACAGACACTCTGACGATATAAATACAGACGATATATATACAGAAAAATCAATTTCATTTCATTTCATTCCATTCGTCATATAAAAACATACAGAATTATAACAATGATATTCACAGATAAGTAAAGAACATACAAATAACATACGAAAGATAAACACAAAATACAAATATAAATATACGAATGAGGAAACCGGCAAGAAAGAACAATAAAGTCTTATGTGATGCTGGTCACTTGCGACATCAATAAAACGTCAGGCTTGTGGAATTAAGGTCCCTCATGTGTAGCTTATAAGTATGTCCTAAATGAACAAACTCGTCAGATAAGAATACTGCATACATTAAAAATGCTTACAAACTAAACTAAAGAACTGAGAAAAATATGAACATAAATAAGTATATTAAAATCTACTGACTACTAAATAATGGCTATAAACAAGAGAAAAAAATGTGACTACTATTATAATTATTAGTATTATTATGATTTATTTATGTTTAGTCCTCAAAACCAGGCCGTTCGGGAGCAGGTTACACAAGCACTCGGTAGAATCATGGATCCAACGGGAGTCTTCCGAACGGTTCTGCATCTCGTTGATGTAGCAGGGGGCGAGCCAGGGAATCTGCTAGCTGAACTGGGTAAGTAGAAAGAAAGAGAGAGAGAGAGAGAGTGAGGGGGAGAGAGAGAGAGAGGGGGGGGGGGGAGAGGAGAGAGAGAGAGGGGGGGGGGGGAGAGAAACAAACAGACAAAGAAAAAGAGATAGAGAAAGAAAGAGAGCCAGAGAGAGATAGAGAGAGACAGAGACAGAGAGAGACAGAGACAGACAGACTGCTAGCTGAACTGAGTGAGTAGAGAGAGGGAGAGGAAGAGACAGAGAGAGACAAATATAAAGATACAGCAAGTGAGAGATAGAGAGGCAGAGAGACAGAGAGTAAGAGTTAGAGTGAGAAAGAGGGAGAGAGAGAAAGATAGATAGAGACAGACAGACGGAAAGAGACATGGACAGACAGAGTATATGGAGAGAGAGAGAGAGAGAGAGAGAAGACAGGTCTACAGAAAGTAAAAACAGCTAGATTCTCATTCAATTTCCCTTCTCTCTTCTTTCTCTTCACACTCTACCACCATCTCTCAGTCTTCTCCTCTCTCTCCCTGTCTTGCGCTCTCTCTCCCTCTTTCTCTCTTTCTCTCTCTTTTTGTTTATCTCTCCCTCTCTATCTTTCTTTCTCTGTTTAAATTTACCTTCATCTTCTAAAATTCTAAAATCCATATCCCCATATCCATTTTGTCTCTACTTTTTAATCTGATTTAAACTGGCAACTAAAGAAATGATTTAATGCTGTTACTTCCAGGTGCAGATTTTGTCCACGGTCCCATACACCACACTCTGAGTAGTGATCTGTCTGTGGTCTGCCTGGCTGCTAGCTTCACTAGGTTCGCCCAACTGAGGCTAGAATTCATGCAGATTCTTCTGGTGCTTGAGTGTTTGATACTGAGACTAGAGTCACAGGTTAGTGTTTGATAGAGTTTCAATCTCTGTTCCAGTAGGGGCAGATCCAGGAAGGGGAAGGGGGGGGGGGGGGGGTGCAGATCAGAAAAGTTAAAAAAAAGAAAATAATGAAATAGAGGTTACCACTTTCTTTCTCCTGTTTACTTCTTCTTCTCTCTGTTTAATCATTTTTTATCAACAAAATGAAGGAAGGGGGGGGGGGGGGGGGGGGGGGGACTGCTTGTATGCACCAAGAAGTTAACCTATGAAAGGATAACAGTCTTTTTAAATTGTATTTTATTCACCATTCTTATCCCATCTCCAGCTTCCATGGACTCTGAATGCACCAAAAAGTTAACCTGTGATGTGATACCAGTCTTATTTAATTGTATCTAATTCACCATTCTTATCCCATCTCCAGCTCCCATGGACTGCACCAAGAATTTAACCTGTGATGTGATACCAGTCTTATTTATTTCTCCATTCTTATCCCATCTCCAGCTTCCATGGACTGCTGAATGCACCAAGAAGTTAACCTGTGATGTGATACCAGAGACATGCACCATTCTGCAAGCCTACCACTCTTTAGTATGGCTCTCCACGTGTATATCCAGCCCTGTGCAAACAAAGACTGTGTAAGTGCATGTACCTTCACTTTTGTGATCTGCGCAAGCATTCAGTTCAATGCCTTTGTCATAAATATGAGCATTTTACTCATCTTTTTGGCTTAGATGAAATACTTTGCCAATTTCTGTGATTTTATTTTAGGGTGGACCAGGAGGGGTATAAACATTTAACAGCGACAGGTTTGAAATCCAGTATGTGTTAAATAAAAAGTAAAACAATAAAAACGTAACCAGTGGCATATGTAAAGAAGCATTCAAAAGAGAGGGCTTTTTCTGAATTTTCATGAATACTTGTTCCTGAATAGCTGCTATCATACTTGTTCAATGTCGCATACTTGAGTGAAATGTATCCAATGATTTCATGTTTAATGTTTGTACTCATGTTCATGTTTATGGGACTATTTATACTCTATTTTCTACTACACCACGAGCATCACGATTGTGATGGATACCAGCGCAAGCTAAGTGTCATATTATTATTATGAATACTTATTCATTTATTTTCCACGGTTTTTTAAACAATTTTCTTTCTCTAGGGAATTCCATCTCAGACAAATGGCAGTGCTTGAAATCTCCACCAACAGTCCCTCCCACCTGGCGGGTCAGACCTCCCATCTTCATCATCGACTAGTCCACCTTCACCCACCCTTGTGGAGCTGTTTCTTCAGGGAAGTGGAGGGGGCTACGTCCGTTCCATTCTGGCCAAGAGGGCAAACAGGAGAGCGGAGGGACTGCAGAACTGGGGAAAGTTGTACCCCGCTGCGATGAAGGCGATTGCTCAGTTGATGTATCCTTTGCAAGTGTGCATTTGATTTATACATTGGAATCCAAGTGTTTTGTTTCTGAAGGGTATTTACTCCTATTTAAAAAATTATTTGTGTTTACAGATTGCCCGTATAAAATCAACCTCAAAAAGTTCATCGGGTATTCTATGGGCTAACAGATAAGGAGTATGAAGAAACAAAATCATAAAACTGCTCACATGATCCAACTTGGGTTCCTTGTGGGTTCCTTGTGAGCACTGTAGGGGTGTGTCGAGTAGTCTACTCACAAGTCGCTTTTAAATTAATTGAGAGTGTATTTAATTTTGCAAAATCTCCTTACAGAAGTAATGCTAGAATCTCATAATCTTGAATATAGTATAGCAACATGGAAACCGTTACATCGAGAGCAAATCATGGTTTGGTGTTTGGTACACTTTAAAATCACTAGGGCTCAGGGTGACTTAGCTTGCAGATCTATTGAAAAGCTCCCATGCCTCTCTGAGTATACCCTTATAAATGGAGGTGCAATGGCTCAGTGGTAGAGCAGTGGTCATGTAACCAGGAGTTCCCAGGGTCGAAACCAATTTGATGCACTGGTGCCCTTTGGCAACCCTGTGGCACTAATCCTCATTACCAAGTCCCTTGGAGAGGGCTCATTGCCATTGGTCCCCTGGTTGCTTACTTACAAGCATACACATGCTTCCTTAGTATTCAGATGAAACCAAACCCTCTCAAACCATATTCATATTTGTTTTATTCATGGCATATGATATCCTTTGGGTAAATAAATTCTTTGTTCTGTCTTGTTCTGTAAAAGACCGAAAGGGAGGTTTGTTGGTACATTAACATTAACAAGTTGTTTGATATTGAGATAGTTATTCCTCTGTTTGATTTTAATATTGAATAAAGTGATGGACATAAACAAAATAGATAAATTTTAGAACATTAGTTACATCAGATAAAAAGTGTTTAAGATGGGGAATGATTGTTGAATATCTTTTCAAGAGCGATCATAAATAGTAACCTGCTACATTAAATGTGCAATTGTAGGAAGTGTGAACTTAAATGTCATCAACTCAGTTGATTGGTTATTTCCTTGACATTTGACCTTTGACCCTGATCAGTTGGCCAATCAGTGCTAACTTCCTGTTTGCCGAGTACCTGATGATGAAGTGCCAGTATACTCAACTGCAGGTAAGGCAATGTTTTCAAAATCTTGTAGCTATTTAATGGTCTTCAGGTCCTACTGTAAATGTGTTATTACTGCATCAAGGCTCCATCTCACAAAGAGTTGCGATTGATCCAAATCAATCGCAAGTCCTCTAATAAATCCCACGTTTGCAATCGCCATTCTCTTATGTAGTAGTTGCAATTGATATCAACCGCAAATGAGATGCAATTAATATCGACTCTTTATAAGACGGGGCTTAGATGCAGGGAGATGTGAGTTGGTCTAGCGGCACGTTCACTTGGTCAGCTCTCTGTCTTCGCCTACACACCGGCTCAGGTGACCCCCGGTTCGAAACTGAGTCACATCTTTCGGATGGTGACGTTAAAGGTCTGTCCCCAGATGTCAATAATCATATCGGATTGATACGCGTCTGTAAAATCCCAATTACACACACACATCAAATCGACCCTAAGGCCTCTAATTAATCGCAAGTTTGCAGTCGCTTATCTCCTATGTACATAGTTGCGAATGATATAAATCACAAATAACTTGCGATTGATCCAAATCTCCTTGATCCAAATTAACCCCAAGGCAATCGCCCATCTCTTATACACGTAGTTGCGATTGATATCAACTAGTTATAAAACAGGGCCCAGATGCACATCTCTAATTCTTGTGACTCTCTCTACCCAGGGTTACATCCGTCTGCTGTCCCTTGGTGCGAGTGGAACGCAGCGTCGCGTCAGTTCCTCCTGGCGCACTGCTACCTTAACACCGGGGAGCCCGTCAAGGCCCTGGGATGCTTCCAGGAGGCCAGTCAAAGGATCGGCGCCGAAGACTTCTTGCTGAACAGACTCCTGAGAACCACGGAACTACAGGGAAAGAAACTTGAGACTCTCTATCACCTAAAGGTAAGTGGAAAATAAATGATGCACAGAGAGAGAGAGAGAGAGAGAGAAGTGGTCGAAACTGAGTGATAGAGAGAGTGAGAGAGAAACAGACAGACAGATTGACTGACCAAAAGAAACGCAAAGTCAGCAGATCGTCGCTAAAGGCCCGGTCACACAGAGGGGACGCATGGGGGACGCACGGCCGGCGCATGGAAAATTTGCAATTTTGACCAGTGCGTTGTCGTGCGCCCAACTTTTGTCGAAGCTATACAGCTAGCTGACACCAAATGCATAGCGCGCTGGACGCATACAGGGCGTATACAGGGCGCACACAGGGCGCACACAGGGCGCACACAGAGCGCACATGAAAACAACTTCCACGAATGCACAGCGTGTTGCTAGCGCGCTGGACGAATGGTCCACGCATGCACCGCGTTCTACGACGCACGGCCAGCGCATTGGAAATCGGAAAAGAACGTGTGCCTAACTTTTGTCATAATTTTGGAAAAGCTAGCGAGCTGACACAAAATGCACGGCGTGTAGCTAGCGCGCTGTGCGTATACAGGGCGTGTGCTCCGCGTTTGTCTGGCGCTGGTCTAGCGTGCTCCACGCATGTCTGGCGCTGGTCTAGCGCGCTCCGGCGCATGTCTGGCGTGCCTTTGGCGTGTATATTCATGCGTCGAGCTCGGCGCACGTTTTTGAGCATGCTCAAAAAATCCCGACGCACACAGCGAATGACGACGCATGCATAGCGCTGGTCCAGCGTTGGTCCAGCGCGCTCGACGAACGAGTAACGAATGATGACGCACGCCTAGCGAACGACAACGCACTGGCCCAAATTGCAAATTTCCAATGCGCTGGCCGTGCGTTCCCCATGCGTCCTCCCTGTGTGACCGGGCCTTAAGAATTTCTTGCTGAACAGACTTCCGAGGACTAAGACTAAGGTACTACAGGGAAAGAAACTTGAGACTCTCTATCACCTGAAGGTATTTTTGTTTTGAGAAGAGAAATGATTGAGGTTTTTAAGATTTTGAGAGAAAGATGACAGATTTTGAAAGAGCTGTGGAATGGCGTCTTGTGCTTTCAGGAGGCTAGTTGCAGAATCTGTGCTGAAGATTTCTTACTGAACGTGCTAGTGAGGACTACAGAACTCCAAGGAAAAAAAACCTTTCAACTTTTGTTAATTGTTCAAAACTTTATGTTTCAGACCCATGCACACAAAAAAACGCGAATAACTGAAATTTGATGTAGTAAATCACTCATTGTTTTGCATGAAACTTAGTAATTATCTAGACCACTTGCAAATTTCTTCAATTTTCTCTTTATATCTTTTTACAGGTGATTGGTCTGTTAGAGCAGTTTGAATTGAGAGAGCTTGTAATCTCTCTCGCTAAAACAGCCCTCAGTGCCGCTGACATAGATGACCCAAATTTGGTAATATAACTCTTTCATTGTGTAACTTTCACTCGCATTCTTTTTAAGTCTTTCTCTTTCTTTGTTCATCTTTATCATTTTCTTTTAATTTCTACTTTATTAGTCTTTGTTTTTTTGGGGGGACATATCTGTTTCATGTTTTATTAGTATTATCACTTTAATAATATTTATGAAGAGTATGAATTGACAATAGTAAACAAAAAACAGCAACAAAAAACTACCTACTTTTATATAAACTATCTACTTATATATAAACTATAGGTCCTAATATGGAAATAACAACATTAGGAGTGGACATTTCTGCATCGAAAGTGTGTCGTGCATGGTTGTAAGTTTCGTTTCAATCAATTCCTTTCTTTTGCTTCAAATTCCTTTTTTTTTTGTCATCATGGTTCCTTTTTTTGGTTGCACAAGGTTGGCAGCTCTGCTTACCAAAATGGATAACTTTTTTCCACAGATTGTAAAAAATAACAATTTTTCAAATTTTTCTTTCATTTATATAATTTTTATTTTTTTAATTTTTTTTACAGCCGACACTTTGGGTGAAAATCTTCAAGTACCATCTTGAGCTGTGTCACAACGATGAGGCCTACTCAGCTATGACCTCTAACCCCGACCCTGAAAGGTGAGAGGTCAAAGGTCAAGGGTCAACCCCAAATACAGTCAATTCTGCATAACTCAAAGTCTCACAAGTCCAATTTGCCTCATTTTGGACCAAACTATTCAAAAAACGTATTATTTGTGGTCCCAACAGATTGGGACCATGGAGAGTTAACTATATTGACTTTTTGACTGTATTTTTCTAATGCCACCTGTGTCCTAACCAAACTATTTATTTACTGGGTCTATTTATATTTGCATTCATCAACCTAAATGTTTCATCAAATTTGATTTTTGTAAAACCATGAAATGATGCTTGTAGCTGAATCTTGGAGGAGATGTGCCATCAGTTTGATTATTGTTACAATCAAAGTTTGACTTGGAGAAGAAATATTGCATTGTACATTTTACATTTTCTATTGTTTTGAGCATTTTGTTTCGGCATACCAACATCCAAGCCCCCAAGAGAAATGACTAAAGAAAATAGAGAAATTAATAAAATTAAAAATATAATACCTTTTGTCGACAGAAGTAATCAATGTCAACATATTGCTTTAATTTTTGTTCTGTCAATGTACAATTAACAACTAAATTATTCATACCCTAACCAATTTTTGTAATTTTTGTAAAGTATGTGAAAAAGACTTAATAGTTGTTTGTGATGTCTTGTTTTGTTTATGCTACAGACGGAGGGACTGTTTACGCCAGTTTGTAGTGGTGTTATGTGAACAGAAACAGATGAAACAGCTCTGTCAATATCCCTACATAGATCTTCATGATGAGGTAACAAATATTCTTTCAACAAAAGACTTTATTTATTTAATCATTCATAAACAAAAGCAATTCAATGAATTTGAACAAATATGAAATAGTGGTTAAAATCATAGATGGTTACAGCAGTTATAGATGTGTCAAATTATTGTAGATACGGTTTTTCAAAAATGCTAGAAAATAAACTCTTGGTTCTAATCTTTTTTAAAGAACCTGATTTCAACTTTCTCCATTCCTGTCTCGGTTTATAAACCCCATCCCATGAAATGGTTTCTCCCACTGTTGGTAACAATAGTGCAGGTAAGATCATTTCATTAATGAAAATGGATGATATCAACTTAGTGATTATCCAGTTCATTTTGTTTTTGTTTTGAATAGATTGTGAGCATCATAGAGTCAAGAGCTAGGTCTGTGGATCTACTGACCATCAACTACTACGATCTTCTCTTTGCGTTCCATACCATCAGAGGGAACTATCGACAAGGTGAGATATTGTAATCTGTTTACAGTGTGTCCCAGAAAAAACGAAACAGAGAATTATTGATGCTTTATCATAATTTAATCACAATTATAATTAATAAATGACACACATTTGTAAAGCTTAGATCATCCTCTTTCAATTGATGCAACTCATATGATGCATATGTTACGCATGAGTGATTAAAAAGAGAGAGAGAGGAAACTAAAAAGTCATTTTTAGGGCAGTATCTGAATTTCAAAGAGAAAATCGTATTTCTAGAAAGTTCCATTTTTGCCCTTTCATATGACACCTAATTCAGGAAAAATGAGCCAAGAATAACAAAGTTCTGTTTGTTTAAAGTAATGCTTGCATTTCCATAATTTGATTAAACTAATTAGTTTTCACTTGCTGCCTGCTATAGCAACAAACGGAGTTGACTAAAGACTTAACTCCGCTTCGTTGAAGATCAGCCATGCACAAAGAAGACGAAAGACAAACTGATACCAAATTCATCAATATTCTTATAATTTACCAGAAGTTTAGCTAAAATGTGATCGCGGGCAGATTTGGTATCTGATATATACCCCAACAAAATGGAAAACAAAATGGCGACTTTGGATGGATGCTTCGCGCCAGCTCCGTTAAATGGTCCCTTCCTTTACTTTTGCAATGCATTTGCACGAATGTATATCACTTGCGTTTTTTAAATTTTTTTTTTACTCTTTTGCTGCAAAGGCCGCACCCCAACTTTTTGATATTTTCTCTTCCATAAATACTGCGGCCTTTGCGCCGGCAAATATGGTATATGTAACTTTTGTTATTCTTAACCCTCTCCACTCCCAGCTGGCAGCGTGATGTACGAGCAAGCGACCCGGCTAGCTCAAGAATTCATCGGCGTGGAGAGTCTAAACAGACAAGCGTGCTGCTACCTCGCTGCCATGAACTCACTCAGATTACTACATCCTCTATGTGTAACTCTCTTTGTTCTTATCCCTCTCCTCTCTCAGCTGGCAGCGTGATGTACGAGCAAGCGACCCGGCTAGCCCAGGAGGTCATCGGTGCGGACAGTCTGAACAGACAGGCGTGCTGCTACCTCGCCGCCATGAACTCACTCAGATTACTGCATCCGGACAATGCTTGGATTATCAAGCCTGCAGTCAGCGAAATGGAGGGCATTGTAAGTAGACCTGTAAGGCTTGTTAGGGTGAAGTATAGATGCGGATGAGAGAATTGAAATTAACTTTACTTAGCAAGGCGATTTAAAGCCCCACCGCACTAGTTTGGCTAGGAGGGATTAGAGGGTTTTGTTTGTTTTTACTGTCTTAATGTAGCTTACCTATCTAATTTGTTTGAATTTGCAGTCAACAATTAAATTATTCCTACCCTTACCAAGTTTAGTCATGTGAAAAAGAGATTTGTTCCGATTTAAGGCCCTTACTCAACCGGTCTAACTTTCATTTGTTACATTATGAAAATCCAAAAAAATACATCAAATTTACTTTGGCATGAATAATTAAGTTGCTGACTGTACATGTGTTCTCTATTATCAAAGTTGTTAGGTGTTCATGTCAAAGACTGGTATCTTATCCCTTCTCATGGTAGAAAACTGAAGACATGAATGGAGCGTCACCCAAGAGAGACTATGAAGGCACCCCTCTCGATGAACCAGGTATTTCCTCTTTTTTTCCTTTCTTTTTTATGCAATAAAAATTTTTAGTCAATTTTTCTCGAAGCATGAAACAGTATACCGGTAAGCATCTCTTTGGATCAGTAGAATCCTTAGAAACATTTAAAAAGAATCTAAAGTCATACATGTTTGCATGGTATTTTAGTTATTTAAATGTTTAAAGTACATCTATGCATATTTATTCTCATTTCTCTATGTATCTCATTCTAATTCTATCCCTCTGTGCCTCAGAATAGTTTACAAGATTGATGGCGCATAACAAATGCTGTATTTATTATTTATAATTGATGAAAATAGAAAATTCAATTTTTTTTTTTTTAGTTCCGAGGCGCCGAGTTGATGTTCTGGAGCTAGGGGACTTGGAGAAGGAATATCAGTTGACGTCCGCAAGGCTCAAACTAGCCAATCACCAGCCTGATATGGTTCATGTGACAAGTAAGCTTCCTTCTTATTGGTCGATGGTATCACTACTTATGCGAAAATGAAAATTTGTACGAGGTGCTGAAAAGAAACTAGACATTTTGTTTTTGACGATTTTGAAATATGATCTGTTACAACAATTGAAACTTCTCCTAGGGAGCCTTACATTCAAAGCTAATATCCTAATGGGGACTGATGAATATTGAAAAGAGGTATGTTTCCAGTTCATTGTGACTATGCCATGTACCAGAGATGGCCGGTGGTAGAGTCGCTGCCCAGCAAGCAGTAGAAGGCCAGTTAAAATCCCGCTGGTTCCAAGATTTGTACTGACTTGTTTTCAATTACAAGATCAAGCATGCAATCTTTATCTATTTGTTGCTAGCCAAATTTTTGTACAAGTATTCAAGAGTGTGTGTTTCATTGAACTGCTATTTCATTATCATATAGCATCTCGGATGTCGGTTTGATGAAACGGTGAGTTTCTTGGTTCAGAGTGGCCTATATGACACAGCTATCGATGTCTGCAAGACGTTCAGGTTGCCTCTTACTCCTGTCTTTGAGAACCTTGCTCATAGGTAAGATGCTGTGAGGGTTGTGATGGTAATGATGATGATGATTTAAATAGTGACGGTACAAAGTATTTTTTTCCTGATTTGTCTGTTCATGTCTTTCAATCTTTGACTTTCCTTATCATTCCATATTTTATTTTCATGATTTCTCTTCCCCTTGCACTCCATCATTATCATCATCTCTTTACTTTTCTTCTTCTTTTTCTTCTATTTCTTCTTTTTTCTTCTTTTTCTTCTCATCCTTTTGTTTTCTTTTTCTTCTCCCTTTCTTCTTTTTATTTTTCTTCTTCTCTCTCTCTCTCTCTCTCTCTCTCTATTTCTTTTTCTCTGTCTCTCTATGTCTGCCTGTCTCTCTCTTGCTCTTACTATTGACTGCTTACGTTATGATTGTACGTTATCATTCTCTTCTAGATGTGTGAAACTATCCCGGAATGGAGCCGACAGTGAGACCTGGAAGTGGCTTGCCGCTAATGATATCGGCTCCCTCAACTTAGGTCGAGAAGCTACGTAAGTACAGTTTTGTTTGCTTTCCCAGATGGTACGCAATCTATCTTCAATTTTGTAATTCTATATGCAAAACAATATTTATTCTCTGCGAAATACAAAAGGGAATGCCTATCTTTGAAACGCAATACATTTGTTGTATCACTTGATAAATGGAGACATGTGAATTGATGTAACAATGTTTGTTTTAACAATATGTCATATGTACTTTGTTCAAATCTATTGTTTTGTTCTTGCTCAAGAATGATTGGAAAAAAAAGTACAGTCAAACTTGCTGTAGTGACCACCTGTATAGAAAGACCATCTGTCTATAAAGACCATGTTTTCTGTTTCCTTTGAAAAGTGTTTTTCATTGAAACGTATATTTAATGAACCTCCACATGAAGAGCACCTACCTCCCAAGACTACTCTACCCGTCTCCCTTGAGTGGTCTTTAATTCACTGTGCCACCATTTTGATCACAATGCCTTTCAAGAAATGCACTTCATAGCCTAATAGTGAGTTGATGAGTACCCCATAGGAAGAAATTCCTGGAATGCTCGAGCGCATTCTCATGGTAGCTTGGCTAAAGCTGTGACAATATATACATTGTAGCACTTAATTAATAGATCTACGATGTCCCTACGCGCTTTACAGATATACTATTACCCCGGTCATTGGATTCAATGCTTGCCCGCACACATTGTGTGCACAATCTCCACTCCTTGAGGAGTATTCCAGCCAGGTGTTACTTGATGCTTTACTATTATTATTATTATTGTTTCTTCTTGTTTATGTAGAGCTGCTGAGTTGGCGTGGCATCTTCTTCAGACGTATCTAGAGAGGTACGATCAGAAGGGGGATCATCTTCACTTCAAGACGGTGATCAAGAAACTACTCTCTCTGGGCTTCCAGCTACCACAGTGGATCATCAACTCATACAAGGTAGGGTGTGGTGATGATGGGGTGGTGGTGGTGGTGGTGATGATGATGATGATGATGATGATGATGATGATGGTGATGGTGATGGTGATAGTGGTGATGGTAGGGTGATGGTGATGGTGATAGTGGTGATGGTAGGGTGGTGATGATGGCGATGGGAATTTATAGAGAGATCTTCTTCACTTCAAGACGGTGATCAAGAAACTGCTCTCTCTAGGCTTCCAGCGGCCACAGTGGATCATCAACTCATACAAGGTAGGGTGTAATTATGGTGGCAGTGATGATATGGTGGTAGTGGTGGTGGTGATGATGGCGGTGATGGGGATGATGGTGGTAGTGGTGATGGTGATGGTAGGGGTGATGATGGTGGTAGTGGTGAGGATGGTGGTAGGTGGTGATCATGATTATGGTAGTAAGTGGTGATGATGATGGTGCTGATTATGATATTGATGACAATGATGGTGGTGGTGCCGATTATGATGATATTGATGATGATGGTGGTGGTAGTGGTGATGATGGTGGTAGTGGTGATCATGATGATGGTAGTGGTGATCATGATGATGGTAGTGGTGATGATGATGATGATGATGATAATGTTCATGATGACAATGATTACGACAATGATTACAACGACAATACTGGCCTACCTTAATGTATTATCGGAAGGAGCTTTGGGTCAACAAACTTTGATTTAGCATTCCCTGTTGTTCCTCACCAACCTTTTAATATCACAAAAACTTGCGAGCAATGATTTATTTGTTTTTTTGTAAAATGCATATCGGCTTTTATTCTATATTTGTATTTCATCCCTCAGAAACTTGACCCTGGCAACCTGTTGTTGCTCTACATAACCTTTGACCTTTTGGAAGAAGCTGCCAATTTAGGCGTCGAGTTCATTGATGCGATCCTCGGCAAAGGAGTGGAGTACTTTGGCCTCAAGGTAGGTATCTTTTACCCCCCCCCCCCCCCACTGTACTACTTGTAGCTACTTGCTCCCTCTATACAGAAAAATTCCTCAATCGGTGCCTGTTGGTCCCCCAAACTATAACAAAATTGGAATTCTGTAGAATTGTGAGATCCCTTGAGAGACGAATGGTGAGAGCAACTAGGGGCACGAACAGTCTGCAATAGTTAAGTCCAACATAAATTTGATCTTAGTCTTTGTGAACCCCCCCCCCCCCTTAATGACGATGTTTTACTGTTACAGTGGAAACTCATTATAACAAGGTCCTTAGGACCAAGGAAATTGCCTTTTTATATCAGGAATCTTGTAATATCAGGGTAACAAAAACATAAGAATATAAAAAGCTGAGATCTGAGCTGAGATACCTCATTATATCTGGGCCCTTCTTACAAAGAGTTGCGATTGATCCAAATCAATCGCAAGTCCTCCAATTAATCGCAAGTTTGCAGTCTTCCATCTCTTGTGTACATATTTGCAATTGATATCAACTCTTTGTAAGACAGGGCCCAGAGCAATTTATACTGAGGTTCCACTGTATATATTTCTGTACCGTACATGAATGATGGATGTTAGGCCCTTGATAGGCTCCACGACTCCAAGCAAAATGCATAATTATTGGAAATTGTGATTTTATCACACACAGATAGACTCACACGATTAATATATGGAGCTGGTTAATACACATACTTTCTCCATTATGATGACGTTTTACTGTTTCTTTACCGTACGTGAATGACGGATGTTTCACTATTAATCTGTCTTTGTTCAGAACCCGATCCGCCCCACGTCACCCAGCGTGTGGCTTCCCTACCAGCAGCTGGACCATCTCCTCAAGGCCCTGAAGGAGACCAGGAATGATCCAGAACTCATACGGGTCAGTTAGTAACCCAACTTGTTAAAGGGGAAATCCACCCTGATAATAAATTTGTTTTAATACAAGGAGGAAAATGAGAAGAACAAATATAACTTTAAAAAAAATAAATTTAATTTTGACTAGAGATGCAAAGATCATGGGTTCAATGTTCAGATATTCAGTAGGATGTAATTTCTTGGAATGCTTTGTGCTAATATGGGTCATTTAATTTGCCATGTCACTGAATAGTTTTATCGGTCGATTGAATTGAATAATTTTCCATATGTCCATAAAAATACCAAAACAATAAACACAATATACATAATGATTATTCAACACATTTAACGACATAATAAAAGATTAGGAAGAAAAAAAACTCAACAAGAACTAAAGCAGGAGTAGAGAATAACAATACACTATAAACAAATTTTTGTCAATGTGGGGGATTATAAAAAGTGATAAACTTGTAATATAACCCCATGTTTAAAGATTTATTAATTGAATTAGAAATGGATACTAGTAGAACAAAAATATAATCGCATATATATTAGGCTTGAGTCGGTACGGTCGATCACACCGGGACCCGACCGTTGCCGTCGGGTCCCGGTTTCGTTTTTTGAGAACCGGCGCTCCGAAAAAAATAATGAAATATATAAGAAATTGCAGTTTTGCACACCACTAAAATCAATCCACCCTAAAACTTAAGTATTTAATTGTTACCAATCGTATTCTAGCTCATCCAGAATCAATCCGAACTGCCGATATAAATATGGGTTGCAAAGCAGTTCGCCCCATGGGGTTGTTATTGCCAGCTGCTAGCTAGCTACTGTACTGGCCGGGTCTCTCGGCAGAATTAATAAATCAGGTTGAAAGAAACATTAATGTCTGAATAATAAAACGACTTTCTAAAAAGTACTTCTTTATAACATACCGATCGAATAATTTTTAAAAGACAAAATATATATTTTTTCTTTGATTTTGAACACCGCATGCTTTTTTTAAAAGCTGAAAATGACTTGGTAATCACAAGAAGTTTCGATACGGATAGCTGTTGCAATGCAAGTTCAGACTAGTCTCGGAAAAATGCGCAGTGCTCTTTGTTAGCTATAATGCGTGCCAGAACGAACCCAAACAAAGACGTGATCGTAACGAGAAAAAAAATCATTAAAAACTACGAGAGCACAATTGGAAAGACAACTACTCAAAATTATCGTAAGCAGATACATAACTTGGAGGAAGAATACAATAGTTGTCCAAGAAAAGCCACATAAATAGTGATATTTAATGAGTTACTATAGATACAATCATTATCGGAAGGGCCTACTGCAATATATCTAAACGTGTTTAAATTGAACACGAGGCAAATACCGCCCTCTACGGTAAAAAGCAGTATAACAAAGGATTCGAATCAGTATTTGCAGCAGGCCCCTTGCGATAAAAATGTACCCAGTTACTCCTCGATTATCACAATTTCTGTGGCATTTCTTGGGCGATTATTGTAATTCTTTGTCCAAGTTATGTATCTGATTATGGTAATTTTGAGCAGTATATCTTTCCAATTGTGCTCTCGTAGTTTTTAATGATTTTTTTCTCGTTACGATCACATCTTTGTTTGGGTTCGTTCTGGCACGCATTACAGATAACGAGGAGCACTGCGCATTTTCCCGAGACTAGTCTGAACTTGCCTTGCAACAGCTATTCGTATCGAAACTTCTTGTGATTACCAAGTAATTTTCAGCTTTTAAAAAAAAGCATGCGATGTTTAAAATAAGAGATAAATATTTATTTTTGTCTTTAAAATATTATATGATCGGTATATTGTACAGAAGAATTTTTTAGAAAGCCGTTTTATTATTCTAACATTCATATTTTTTGACAAGATTTATTCAACCTGCATAAATCAAAATGGCGGCTCGATTGTAGTCTTTATATTTTTGCTAGAGTTTTTTTTACTTTTAGAGGCACGATAATGGCACTAAACATCGCCAATCATGGATGAATATAATGTCAAATGGAAGAATAAACCAATCTGTGCCGAGGTATGCATGTGTTGATTTATTTGACTGATAAAAATGTCACTTTTAAGGGACATACTGATGATATGCGCTTTTTATAGAGGCAAGTGACAAATCCTGCAAGCTGATTTCGGGACACCGGGTCCCGACCGGTGCAAGGCCGTCGGGACCCGGTTTATGAAAATCCCGACATGACTCAGACCTAATATATATACTTTTTTTCTTTCACAGCTTCACAATCTCCTGAATGGCAGACTGGAGGAATATCAGCACTACGCCGGACAGATATCAAAAGAAATGATTGCCATCGCTCACAGAAAACAGCAGATATCTCGCTAAATGCTAAACGAGCTTTATTTTGATGGTTTATGGACATGGGTATCGACAGAAATGATCGCCATTGCTCACAGAAAACAGCAGATATCACGCTAAGCCAAATTTTGATGGTTAATGGACATGGGTATCGACAGAAAATCAGAAATGATCTCCTCGCTCACAGAAAACAGCAGATATCACGCTAAAGAAGCCTTATTTTGATGTTTTGATGGTTTATGGACATGGGTATGGGTCTTCCTTCTGGCTATGTAAACACTTTTGAGAAAAAAATCTGCAGCCTTTTATCGTGCTATCATGATGGAGTGAAAGTACAGGTGCCGTACATCCCAGCTTTTAAAGACCTGGGGGGGCATTTCACCAAATTTGTCTTAAGTGACAAATGACAGTTTTTGTTATAAGCTACTGAAATCTTTGCTTCTGATTGCTTTGTAGATTTTCACTGTTTTTTGTCATTTGTCATTGTAAAAAGGCTTTGTAAAACGAGTACATGATGTAAGCACTATATGCTGGACAGGATCTCTACAGAAGTGATCACCATTGCTCACAGAAAACAGCAGATAGCAAACTAAACAACCCTTTAAAGCCCCACCGCACTACTTATAACTATTTGCGCCCTCTATATAGCAAACAATGCCTAAGCGGTGACCGTTGGTCCCCCATGGTCCCCTTTTTCTTATGTTAACTGAGAGCTGATTTGATGAGATAACCACCTGCCAGTGACCACGCAGGGAGGTCTAATTCCTCCTGGCCAAACTTGTGCAGATAGGCTTTAATAACACTATCGAGCAAAAATCTGCAGCCTTTTCACAGGGGTGGAGATTTCCATGCTTAAGACATAGTCGGACAAGGAATTCTTGTGAAAAAAAGCATAGAAAAGGCATCACTTAAGAATCACCCAGTGTTCTGGTAGCAGACAGGAGGAGTGTAAAAGAAGAAGAATCTATGAAGAAGAGATCGCCATCGCTCACATAAAACAGCAGATATCATGCTAAACATGAACCACATTTTTATGAACATATCTGCTTCATGTGGTTCAGAACATTATTTTGATGGTTTGATGGTCATGGAGTCTTTACTGACATCCCAGCTTTTAATGAATGAAGTTTATACGCTATCACTTGTGAAATATACAAAAGACTCCAGCTAAGCATTCAAAAACATACTGTATGCACTATACGCTGGACAGATCTCTACAGGTTGTACTGACCATTATTTTGATGGTGTATGGACAAGGATAGGGGTCCTTCATCTGGCTATGGAATGAAACTACCGTTAACTGACATCCCAGCTTTTTGAGACATACTGTAGGCAGAAAAATAAGAGAAACTGATTGGGGAAAGTTTGAAATATAACAGACCAATATTAACTAAGAGTTGTGAATGTTTGAAATATGAGATCACTATAAATATGGGAATCACAAATTGGCACTTTTCTCAGTGGATTGTTATGTGGACATGGACTATTCTATTGTTTGTCGTGTACAAAAATATGTACTCAAAGTATTTAATGGAAAGCATGTTATTACAGGTCATGCAAAAAAAAAAGATCCCCCGAGTCATACGTTTTGAAAAAGGTTACATTCTAGTCACTCTGTGTGTTGGAATGAAATGGAACGTTGTCCAGCTTCCAATTCTTATACATTTTTGTTCTTGAGGGAGGGTTGATATATCGGTAGATGATCACTATGAGCAGGTGTCCTTTTGTGAAGGGGGTATTGACTGTAATTTTGGTCAAATAGGAAATTCAGAACATTAAAGAATCATTAGATTATCAAATATTTCTGTGAAACTTATGTTTGGTCAGACATAAATCACATTATTTTGCAAAATGTTATGATATATGCAGTTTAGATGGTGAAATCATGCATTTTCTTCTTTTCAATCAAGTTCTTTCTTTCAATTGTAATATTTGGTTGCTTATTCTTAGTGTAAGAAATAGCAAAAATAGAAAATTCACTCCTAAAGATGATAATTTTTGTCAAATAATGAAAGATAATGAATACATTGTAAATGTAACGTCTGTATCATATTTTCTAGTGTATGTATGTAACGTGAATGAATAAACGCTCAAGAATGAGAATAAAATGTAAATAGAAAGCAAGATAGTTTAGTGTCAAGAAGACTTTTGATTTCCAATGGCTTGTGAGTGGTTGTGCAATTCAAGTACTGAGATCCAGAAGGGCTTTAAAGATAAAGTTGTGTTCTGGTCATGTAATCGCATTGTGAAAGAAACGGTGTGGAATAGATCAGAAAATTTGATCTTGTAGCATATAAGTGGTGGTGTGTACTGCGCGATTTTCAAATTTTTTTGGAGCAAAAAAAAAAATTAGTGCTCACTACCCCCCCCCCCCCCCCTGAATTTTGAATTGAAATATTAGCTCGACTACGCGATCCGAACGATTCGTAGAGAGCTCTTAAAAAACAAGACGCTGGCATAGCCAAAGGCTGCATGCCAAATAGCGCCATCTACAGGTAGATTCATTAAGTAATAAAAATATAAATATAATTCAATTGTCTTAACAAAAATACGGTTAAACAACTGATTGGTTTCATTCAAAACTAAAGTTTAGTTTAGATAAATGTTTTAATTATTACATTATTAATTTTAATTGTACAAATGTTATTTGATATTTATAAAAATGATATTTAGTTTAATTTACAGTGGGTTTATCCTTCATTATGTTGCTTTTTTTGTTTAAGGAATGGACTAATCGATTAGCTTTGTTTTCAACATCGATTTCAATTTTATTTAAAAATAATTTGTATACATTTGTTTAAATTGTAATTATTAAGAAATAGTTACAAGGAAATTATTAGTGTGCACAGGTAGGAGAAGAAAGGAGAAGAAGAAGGAGAAGAAGAAGAAGAAGAAGAAGAAAGAGAAGGAAAAAGATTTATCCTTTTCATGAAGTAAAAGTGTTTCTTTGACTTTATTTTGTATTCTTAATATTACAAGGTAATTCTGACTGACACGATTTGTTTTTGTTATGGTTTATTCAATTTCTGATTTTTACATCTCAGGCTGTTAAAAAAAAGGGGGAAAAAGATGAGATTCACAAACGGAAGCCTCATGCGAAATGTTATGTTTTTTTGAAATCTGTATCTATTTGCTTGTGTGTACGTTTGTGGTACTGTTTTTATGTTTGTAATATAATTTTGTTTGATTGTAGTCCTGTTTTTATGTTTGTAATATCATTTTGTTTGATCGAAATGAGTAATTCCAACAGCAGTGATGTGTTCTGAACAGCAGGCAGCAGTGGATTGAGGGGCAGACTTTATAAACATTTACACGGCGCATTCGCACACAGTAGGCAACCGTAAGCAACCCTACGTATGTACGCGGTGCCTACGCACAGGATACGTAACAGTACGCCACCGTACGCCCGCCTACGCATAACCCACGCATGGACTACGCCGAAGCATCATTTTGTTCATGAATACGCGGCCTAACTTCGGCGTAGTCGATACGTATTTCTACGCAACTCTACGCAGATCCGGTGTGAAAGGGGTTTCAGTGAATAAAAGTATTCAAATAATGGCTCGATGCACTAAATTGCAGCGAGCCTTACAAAAAGAGAAAGTACTGTCTAAAGCGAAGACAGTTAGAGCCGCATGATTGGCTCCTCGATTACTGTGGTGGTGAAACAAATGTATTCATAAAATTTAATTGTCTACAAAAAATACGATTATATTGCTGAATGGATTCATTCACAACTAGACATAAAGTTCAATAAATGTTTAATTAATACATATTATTTAATCTAATAATGTTAATGTATTGTTTTTTTTATTTTTTTTATTGACATTTAGTTTAATTTACAGCGGGTTTATGATTGTTTATCATTCATTATGTTTTTTTTTTTAAGCGTTAGACTAATCGATTAACTTTTCGTTCAAGATCGATCTCAATTGTATTTTAAAATTATTTGTATATATTTGTTTTAATTGTAATTATTAAGAAAAAGTTACAAGGAAATTATTATTGTGCAAAGGTAGGGGAGAAGAAAAAGGAGAAGAAGAAGAAGAAGGAGAAGAATCTTGCAATCTGATTGGTCTGCTGCCCCACTTGCCCATTGAATTAGCATATAGCGCATAGCAAAGTAGGTTACGCGAAATGTCAATGTCAAATGAGCGCGCATCGACTTAATTACATGTGTATGCATGTTGTGCTTTGTAAAATCTAGCTGAAGCTAAACTGTCTGCAGAATCAGTTCTTTTAATTATGTAAAATTCACTTTAAATAGACCTTATTGTCGATATGGGACATAAAACAAATATTAACCTCGTAGTCGATTAATATTTGATTATTATCCACCAAGTCTGGTGTCGGCGAATTATGACCTTCTGGATACAAAAATTGACGAGTGACTCCCATTAATACATACAAATCCTTAAAGATAAAGGTGAGTTCTGGTAATGCAATTGCATTGTGAAAGAAAAGGTGTGTAATGGATCAGAAACAGTTGATCATGTAAGCGTGTAATCATTGATGTGCACTGCAAGGTTCTGGAGTCATCAAAATCATAATAAATTTGGCCGAGTCTTGGTAAAGTAACAAGCACTGTACACATAAAGCTGTATATGGAACAACACACATGGTGTCGGGGCAAGTACTACTGTCTTTATATGCTCATTGCTCAGCCAGTATACATTTTTTTTCTTTCCAAAATTGTTTGGCTCATGTCATTTATTTGTAATCTTAAACATTCAGTGTAAGTTTCGTTTGATTCTGTGAGAATTAATTTTCTTTTTTTTTAAACCAGAACTGGAGATGATCCTTAATTGATAGCTCGAATACAAACAACTAGCAACGAGCTTAAGAAAAAATCTGCACTGGTGCCCAGTGCCTGTTTTACTAATTGGGTTGGGAAACAAATTTGTTGATAAAATTAATTGTCTACAAAAAAGTACGGTTAAAGTACTCATTGGATTCATTCACAACTAAATTCAAGTTTCAATATCAATAAATGTTTAATCAAAACACATTATTAGTTTTGATTATACAAATTTAGTTTTAATTTTGATTTTATTTAGTTTGATTTACAGTGGTTTCATCCTTCATCCTTTAATATATATATATTTTTTTAGAGCAAAGAATAATCGATTAACTTTGTTTTCAACATCGATTTCAATTTTATTTAACAATTATTAGTCTATTTTTTTAAAATTGTAATTGTAAAGAAATAGTTACAAGGACATTTTAAGTGTGCAAAAGTAGGGGAAGAAAGGAGAAGAAGAAGAAAATAAGAAGGAGTAGAAGAAGAAGAAGAAGAAGAAGAAGAAGAAGAAGAGGAAGACGAAGGAGGAGGAGGAGGAGAAGGAGGAGGAGGAGGAGGAGGAGGAGGAGGAGGAGAAGAAGAAGAAGAAGAAGAAGAAGAAGAAGAAGAAGAAGAAGAAGAAGAAGAAGAAGAAGAAGAAGAAGAAGAAGAAGAAGAAGAAGAAGAAGAAGAAGAAGAAGAAGAAGAAGAAGAAGAAGAAGAAGAAGAAGAAGAAGAAGAAGAAGAAGAAGAAGGAGGAGGAGAAGAAGGAGAAGAAGGAGAAGAAGGAGAAGAAGGAGAAGAAGGAGAAGAAGAAGAAGAAGGAGAAGAAGAAGGAGAAGAAGAAGAAGAAAAGGACAAAAAAGGAGTGGAAAATAAGCAGAAGCTCCGTGGTACTTTTTCTTCGATCTCTATTTTGTGCCCCACCATTTTCCAGCTTACTCAAAAGGTATAAATTCACATTTTGTGCTTTGCTCTCTATATGTGTTGGCCTCAGCTGGATCACGACCCATTAAAAGTTTGTCATGTCATTAAAAATTCATAACTTTCTTATTAGTTATCCGGTTTGCTCAAACTTTTTTTGATTGCTTTGTCTGATTGTTCTGCTTCTATTATAAGTAGGTCCTTAAGCTATGGTCACAAATCAGAGCAGCGACCGACCGATCAGTAGCTTGCTCGGTCGCTGCTGGAATTAAGCATCGCCCAGCAATTTTAACTCCGCGCTAAAACTTCAGCGGCGACCGAGCGATGCCCTAAAAACGAGCGGCGCCTGGGCGGCCCCCGCTCGGTGGCCGGGCAGCCGCCAGGCGGAATTGGTTAAAAACTCGCCGCTCGGCCGCCGAGCAGCCTACTTTTGGGTAATGTGACCATAGCATTAGTCATTTTTGGAGTGGACTTGGCCTTTAAAGCTAATCTTGAGCTCTGGTATGGGAATCGTATTTTGAGAGAAAATTGCTATCATTTAGTCTGGATTGTTTATCTTGTAGTAGATTTTTTTTTTTTTTTTTTTTGGGGGGGGGGGGGGGGGGGGTTATTAACCAGTGAAGTCATAACAAACGCACCAAAAACTTACTGGGCATCATCTGCAATAATAACCACATCTCCCATTTGAACTTAGTGACCTGTGTTTAAACAATGGTGTCGGGCCTACTTACCCGGATTTCCTTTAGTTTTCTATGAAACATACATTGTATTTCGCCTTTGTATTTGTTTGGGTGTTGTTGCTAGGGCAACCGGATAACGTGAGAATGAAAGGAGGACTTTGGGCCTAGTCGGGATTTGGTTAACTTTTGAGCCCCAAATATCTAGGAATAATAAAATTGATAATAATAATAATATCGATAAGGCCTAGTAACAAAAATATAAAAAGATGTTGTATTGCCCTTTAGGTGCCAAAACATGGGTCAGTCGGTCGGAAATGCTTTTGAATTAATACATTTTTTTTTCTCCAAAGAGGACACTTTTTTTTTTTTTTTTGGGGGGGGGGGGGGGGGGTCTCGAAATTTCAAAATTTGACCTTTTTTTCAGTGAGGGGGGGGGGGGAGGTCACATTTTTTAGGTCAGCCATTGGCATAATTTTTTTTAAAAATTATTTAGAAAAAAAAATCAAAAGGGGGGGGTTCCAAAAAAACATACACTTAAAAAAAAAACTCAAGGAGGGGGGGGGGGGGTTTAACCCCAACCCCCCCCCCCTGCGTACGCGCCTGGCTTGCGCGGTTGGGAGCTCATAATGATTATACGGTTTAAAGATCATTTTCATTATACACACCTACGTTATAGGCCGATCCGCTCCATATACGCAAATACGTATAAATATCTTCTTAAAACCATTCCCATCCCCCAGACAAACAAATATATATATTTAAAAATATAAACATATATATATATATATATTAACCTACAAATAATTTGTATTTACCTTTGGGGGGGGGGGGCGGGGGGGGGGGGGGAGGAGGCTGTTCATTTAAGAAGATAATATGGTATTTATCCCATTCTTCATTTAAACAAATATGTATACAATACATACAGAGTATAAACAAATTGAAATCAGAAATACATGTAGAAGGGTTTCATTACAGATAATAAGAATAAAAATGAACAAGGAAATAAGTTCAGAAAGCAAATGAGGAGTCAACAAAAAAGAGCATGTAGCCTTGTTGAACGTTATAAATAAAGTACATATTTCACAGAACAAGAAAGCAGGTGAAATCGGTAGAAGGGAAAAGGAAAACAGAAAACAGAAAAAACATCAATATACACGTCATGAATCAAACATGATATTTAAGTTGCTGAGTACAAATTTAATTTAAAAAACAACAAAAGGAACGTTTAAAACAATTTACTGAAGGTTGATTCTTTAGATGGTTTTGAATAGGACCTTTGTAAAAAAAAATAGTATTCTTTGAAATATCAGTTCTAACTTTTGGCAGATGGTATTCTACAGCATTACGTGTACTATAATCAGGCGCATAATCAGAGTCGTTGCGAAATATGTCCTCAAATCCTGGACCCCCCCCCCCCCTCCCCCCCCAAAAAAGAAAAAAAAAAGTGCCCCCCCGGCCCCACCCCGCTTCAACGGCTGGCCGCGAGTCGTTGCGAAATTCTAGGCGCAATTTTTAGAATTTTAACCCACCCCCTAGAAAAAATCCTGCGTACGCTACTGACTATATTATGTATGTTACAATTTAGAGAAGATAATGGTATCAACAAACGAAAATGTGGAATCCTTCATTAACCCCCCCCCCCCCCCCACGCGATTTACAGATCGACGGCGTTCCGGTGGCGTTCAATTTAGTTAGGATTTTATAGACTTTCTATTTTATTGATAATCTATTCTATAAAATGGTACAGACTATCAAGAAGCAATTTACCACAATAATAGGCACATTTTCAATAACTTTTCTTCGACCGCCTCTTTTGCTAGCCAAAATAACCACTTTGTCAAACGATTGATATTATATTTAAGACCTGCTTCAAGGACGCGAAACCAACCTAAAGATCTAACATGTCATACTCATCACTGTTTTCATTGTAATTTCATTTCATTTTTTTCATTTAATTTATTTCCATATTTCTCATGTTACACATACATTTCAAAATAAAGTACAAGTTTTTTGTTTGTGATGAAATAACAATCAATGATACTTAATAAATAACATAAAGATAACTGGTTAATATAGAGTACTGATTTAACTGAGAGAAATAGGATGGGACCTAGGCTACATGAAAGCAAGCTTGTAAAGCTGTAGGCCTCAGTGACCTAATTTGTGGTAATAAATAGAGGACGAATATAAATAGTGACCAATCGAAATAAATCAAAAAATAAAAAAGGAAAGAAAAAAGAAACATGCGGTAGTGCTGTTTATATTTTCCTTCCTTTTATAACAATGTAAACAAAAGTACTTAGTAAATAAAATAACAAACACAATGTTAAAGGTACTATGTTCCATTTGCAGGCCAAAAAAAAAATGAAAAGGTGCCAACGGCATTTGAAAGATAATACTTATTTAGAACTTACCTAAAAAAAAAAAAAGGGGGGGGGGGGCTTGAAAATGTCTTTAAGTGGGAAAATGACGAATATTAGTTGTCAAATCGACTTAAGAACTATAGAGCCAATAAGTAATAGTCTGATTGTCTGAGACCATTGTACCGAATGGTCGTACGTTTTATGCTGCGCAAAGATTCTATCAGTTTAATTTTGGCCATTACAAGAAGTGGGTTATTGATGTGGACAAATGCTCATATGTACCATTTACAGCTCATTTTATGTATGTTATTACCAAAGAAGAAAAAAATCCAGTCAGCCACTCTATTGTGTCTGACAGTGAAGTCTAGCAAGTAATAGGTTTCCTTGCATAATTTGAATATTAGGACACTGCTAACGTTTAAATTTCACAGATAGGAAAACCATGACATATTCATAATTCTTGCAAAGTTCTACAAAATTTGATGTTTGCTGCAAAAGGGACATAGTATCTTTAACAAACTTGTTACACTTTAAAAAAAAAAAGACCTTTATAGGGCCTGTTTATATATACATGTATAGACCTCTGCTCTTGCAGCTGAGTCTAGAATAAAGTCTTGGATTAATTTAAATATTATTTATTATTATGTTGAAATGATGATGTTTGCGTTTTGTAAGCCTGTTCATTTTTGTGTCTTTGTGGTACTAAAACAATCGACAATCATTCGATCTTTTAGGCTTTACTGGGTAGCTATAATCAGATTGATTGTAATTTGCTATTCTGGACAGTAGTCAATTTCCCATATATAACTGTGTTTTCCCCTAGACTTGAGGTCAACTCCCAAACTGACAGAATTATTCGCTGTCATGAAGTAGGATATATATCGCCCTCTATTTTAGCCATGAAACCCGTCACGTCATAGACTGCCGTGCTATTTAGGATAAATAGCCTATATGGAAGTTTGGTAGCAATAATACACGCAAGTCTATGACACTTTATGAACTTCCTGGAACTATGCATAGCGTTATGTGTATAATGTCTGTGTGTGAATTGCCTATCGGCGACTTCTGACTTTCCGTAAGTCAAGTTTTCACGTCCAATTTCGTCGCGATTTCTTTGCCGATGAGGGTATCTCGATAATTCCACGAGAGAGGATTTAATGAACTACGGGATTTTCTGGTTCTCTGAAAGTGGAATTTAGTCCAACTTTTTCGAACCCATCTCGGTCGGACGGACGATTGCGTGGAAAAGGGTTCGTCAAAAATGATGGCGGCCCAGGACGATAAGGCCCCGTTTGATGATAGCAATAAACATTTGTAAGTTGATTTAATTTTACGAATTAAATAAAAATGACCATCATCACTTAGCACCATGTAATTTTAAAGTATCACCTATCAATTCATCATCGTATTTCAAAGATTTGAGTTGTGAGATGATGAAAAACATCGGATATGTTGGGTGATGTCAAGCAGGAAATTCGTTCACACCCATAATGCAGTTAAAATTGGTGTAGTCCCACGCTATCAAATTTGTGTTGGCGAGATGAAACGTAAACTTTTGTTAACTGTGTGTGCGTGAGTCCCTGCTTGCTCCCTGATTTTAAATTGGCATGCAGAACATTTAGTTTGGCTATTTCCTTTAAAATTGTTAATGTTTTATTTTAATAATTAAAAACTGTTGGCAGGCCAGGTCAGGCAGGACTCTGTCTCCGTTGCCATCTCAGCTCGGGGCAGTGCCAGTGCGAGTCTATTCATTTTTTCTATCACTCGGTATCACATTTGATTTGTAGTGACGGAGCGGAATATAACTTACTGGGCCTAAATCTTAACTATAATTACATTAAACGACTATAATACGGATTTATCCTACCATAGGCTGTATACTATACTGCTTGAAGTCTGTCTCAAGAAGCGCTTGAAGTGTTGCTCGTTGAGTGGAGCTCCACCGTCGCTAGTAGTAGTAGACCGAAGAGACAGAAGAGACGGGCAATCAACAGTGTTTGTCGCGTGCAGTCTCAGGTTCAATCTAACGTTCCCAGTGATAAGCACGCCCGCGGAAACTACCGCGGGTGTCGCCTAATGCGGGACTTACGCGCATATGCCGCCAGAGCCGTAGTGGCTCAGGCTGAATCACTACATTATTCCCCACTTAATGAGTTTGAAGCCTACTTCTAACTAAAACTAAACTAAAACTAACTTAAAACTACTCCCGTACCGCAGTGCGGGGTCACGCCGTTCCCGCTGGTGGATGGGTCAAGGACCCTCCTTGCCAGCACCAGTGAAGTCTTGGTCTTTCCAGGGGGCGGGCGCCTTTATCATACCTTACAACGTACTGTATTCCAAACTTTGGTACGGGAAATATTATTTAAAGTACAGGTAAAATGCACTGTAAAATGTAAAATGCACTGTATTCCACAATTTGGTATATTTAAGTACTAAATAGGATTCAAGTCCCGGAAATGTCCCAGGGATCAAGAACAGAAAGAAACAGAAATATACCAGTTAACCCTTACCGTGCCGGTGTCACGTGTAAATGACAAAGAATAGCAGTCCTGGCACGGGCGTAAGGGATTAACGGGGGCATTACAGGCATAGAGAAACAGAAATATACCAGTTAACCCTTACCGTGCCGGTAATACATAATGAAAAAGTGCAATACGTCTTGGCACGGGCGTAAGGGATTAACCGGGGCATTACATTAAATTCCCAAGGTGACCGAGCATGAAAGTGTGAGTGATCAACATAAACGATGAATGGCAATAAGTGTGCAGAAAAGGGGAAGAGCCCAATGGCTCCCCATTCCCCAAGTGCAGTTTGGATGGTACAATGTCCAGAAACTGGGCAGTCCCACATGAGAGCCAAACGGCTCCCTACAGGCAGTCCAAACGGTGCATATAGGAAGTATTAGAATGATAAAAGCAGATCACTGAAATCAGATGGAAAATGATATAGAAGGTGAAAACACTTCAACAAAATAAGATTACATTTTCTGGGCCACTCGGCACCCGGGGGCACAATAGCCACTACCGGCAAGTTCCTGATATCATTCAGGGCACCCAGGCCCACAACACCATCAAGCAAATCCAAAAGGCTCTTGTTGATCCAGAGGAATTACTCCAGAGGAATTACTCCCCCCAAACATGATCATATTCTGACTTATTATTGGAACCACGTAGTGTCACTTGGGAGATATCAAAAGCCGGCCGTTTTATGGCCTCGAACACACATGAGTGCTCTGTCTCCCTGTGGAAAGAATGCTTCCTAGTCAGCTCTTAAAGCGGAGCAGCTAATTCAGCATAGATAACTCCGCTAACCGAAGCAGGAACTTTTCAGTTTTATTTAATTGTTATCTATTCAGTTTAAAAACATCAACACTTAAAGTTCAGGAACTCAGAATGGACGATTTACAATGAAATTAAACAGTGTAAACAAAAGTGAACTAAAATATATATATTTAAGACAAACATGTTATTTCCTAGGAACAGGAACCGGCACCATGTCCTCGCGGACGAGCCGTTGTGAATGGCTTTGATAATGAACCATAATATATATACTTAACATGTTATTTCCCCCGATCAAACACGATCCGAGGAATCCAAAATGGGAGCCTGTGGGTGGGCTGGAAAAGGGAAAGGTCCTTACTCTGGAGCCCTGGACTCCCAACAACCTTACATCCTACCCGCTTCCCACTAGAAGGAGGCACCACGGCCGTCCTAGCGACTACCTGGACAAAGGGACCGACCGAAGAGTCAGGCGGGTCACTAACATTATTTACCTTGACAAAGGGACCGACCGAAGAGTCAGGCAGGTCACTAACATTAACTACCTTGTCCAAGGGACCGACCGAAGAGTCAGGCGGGTCACTAACATTAACTACCTTGTCCAAGGGACCGACCGAAGAGTCCGGCGGGTCACTAACTACATTAACTACCCCAGTATTTACCGATTGTAGGCCTCTCGGTTTCCAGATCGGAGATCGGCCTCGCTCTCCGATCCCTCCAGGTTTTCCGGAACACCAGTAGCCACGGGAGATAGAGGGCGGGCATTGGAAAGCATAGAAAACTCCAAAGACTTAACAGTCTTCAGTATTTCTTCTAACATACAATCGGTATTGTACGCATGCGTCTTAAGACTGGCGACTTCCTCTTTTAAATAGCCAATGTCATTCCTGGCCTGAACTTCAAAAGGCGTTGTGACCTTCCCCGGTCCTCCACGGGAGCCGGACGGGGAACATCGTGACCTTTGGAAACTGTTGGGGAACGATTTAGGGGATGGGGTTGCCTATGATGATAAATTACCGTATCATACCTGTCCACCTCCTGATCGTACATGCAAGTCTGCTGCACCTGCTGCCGAGAAGCCGAATACGTACGGCGAGCCTCGCTCCCATAAACAACACGTTGGGTATGTTGCGCCCACCTGATGGCTTCCAGGGCCTCCTCGACGGACTTCGGGCGCGTATTGAGAGCTGTTAAACCCGCCGCCTTATCCGTACAACCCTGGCATAACTGCAATACCATTTGAGTGCTGTCACCCCGTTGGTCCCACCCAAAAGCTTCAAAGGACAAAGCTTGGAGCCGATCGGACCACCCAAGAAGAGACTCCTCCGGGAGTTGGCGAGCCGTTCGAAATTCGGCTATGGCCTCCTCCGGAAATCGGGTAGCCCCAAACCGACGCCCCATCGCTGTTAACATATGGTAATAAGAATTAGTGCCCATATCCCTAAGGTTCGAAAAACAATCTGAGGCTGACCCCTCCAAACACCAGCCCAGTGCGTCCAAACACTCGCTTGGGCTCCACTGACACGATACAGCATAACTGGTGAACTTCCTGAGAAAGGAATGCCAACTTGTTCGCCCATCGTAATTAAGTGACCTCGGCAGACGGGGGGGCCAATCCCGGCGCCCCTGCGACCGGTACTCTCCCTGACCCACAGGTGAGGATTCCCTGGGAGGATACTGAATGTCAGGTCGGGATTCCCCAGAAGGGGGATATACATAATCCCTACGTGGGGGTTCCCTGGAAAGCGGACCACAATTACTAGAAGGGGATTCTCTAGACGGGGGATAATAATAATCCCTACGGGGGGGTTCCCTGGAAGATGGACCATGATTATTAGGAGGGAAATCCCTAGAAGAGGGATAACAATAATCCCTACGTGGGGGTTCTCTGGACGGGGATTCCCTAGGAGGATAAGACCTGTCGGGCGGGGATTCCCGGGACGGCGGACAGTCAACGGCCCTAAGCCGATACTCGGCTGTGGGCTCGGCTGGGGAGCTGGCCGGTTGCGGCGAGCTCCTCCCCTGCTGTTGCTCAGCCGTAGAACTAGCTACAGGCCCAGCTGGGCCTCCATCTGTAGGTTTAACTATCTTAGCCTGATAAGGCTCAAAATCAAATAAACGTAAAAGCTCCTTGGCTTCATGGAGACGGGGACACTGCAAAAATAATTCCTCTGTTAAGTTACCACATTGCTCCCTCCAACTAATAATTTTGCCAGACTTTGTTTTATCGACAACGGCCAGTAAAGCCTCCTCAGTCCCATAATTCACTTTAACCTTCTCTGAGGCCATAACCGGCTTTAAATCAGCAACGATTAAATAGCCAAATGATAAAATTAAATACACAAACACTCTTTCCTTCTTGCTTACTTAATAATACCCTACTTAGTTTCCTAATACCTTACTAAGTGCTTGACAGGTAAATACTGAAACCCTAAACCTCACCGAAAAAACACCGCGGAATTATCTCCACGGTGAACAGCTTCAGCGAGAGGGCCAAAACTAAACCCTCCTAAGTAACACTAAAGGACTACACTTAAACCGGCAATATACCTCACCGAAAAACACCGCGGAACTATCTCCATGGTATAATGCTCGGCGAGATGGCTGTACAATATTAGTAATGATGAAATGAAGATGAAATTAAATACCACCCACGATTTAACCCAAAATCCACAGATATCCAAAACAAGACTGACAGTCAAAAATCCCACTTAGGTACCTACCCAATCCTTCCTTCTTGCTTACTTACTAACGTACGTAGTTCCTTCAAGGAAAATACTTCTTGCTTAGACTACTTAGTTTCTTAAAGGAAAATACTTGCTTACTTACTTAGTTTCTTACTTAGTTTCTTACAGGAAAGACCTATTGCCTACTTAAAAAGTAAGAACTTACTTGTTTCTTTCCAAAATCTTACTTAGTTTCTTTCATAATCTTACTTAGTTTCTTACTAAAAAATTCCTACTTAAACAACCCTATACCCATAGTATACCTCACCGAAAAAAACACCGCGGAATTATCTCCACGGTAATAATACTTCGGCGAGAGGGTTGAAACTAATTTAATTATACTCCTACTCACTAATTCTACTCCTACTTAAACAACCCTATACCCATAGTATACCTCACCGAAAAAACACCGTGGAATTATCTCCACGGTAATAATACTTCGGCAAGAGGGTTGAAACTAGTCTAAATAGAGCCTACCCCTACTTAGAGTCTACTAAGTTCTACTTAACCGACCCTATACCTCACCGAAAAAGAACACCGTGGAATTATCTCCACAGTATAAAACTCTGGCGAGAGGATCAAAACTACGAGCACGACAAAAAACGGCTGTACAACTAGTCTAGTGAGTAGAAAAAAAACGAGCAAATTTAAGTACAAAAACTGACCGAAACCGATGTCGAAATCGAAATACGGCCGTAAAAATACCAACGAGTCCCTAAAAAACTATCCTACAACCCTAAGTAGACAAGAAATGAAAAAATATGAGCTTAGAAGGCCCTACGAAAAAAGTTCCAAAAATAAAAAATCCCTTCAACACACGAGTCAACGTATCCAAGATGGCGGCTCGGACATGTGTGCGACCACAAAAAATTATCCCCAAAACACCGAAATGAGTACCCAAAAACCGGAATACAGCACTGAAAATACTCTACGAGTCCCTAAAATACTAATCTACAGCACTAATCAACTACCAATAGGGAATAAACAAGCTTACAAGGCCCTACGAATGAAATTACGAAAATAGAAAATCCCTTCAACACACGAGTGAATACCGACAAAGATGGCGGCTCAAAAACGTGCGCGATAAAAAAAACTAGCCCCTACAGGTCCGAAAAAGAGCGATTACGCCATTGTAGTGACGGAGCGGAATATAACTTACTGGGCCTAAATCTTAACTATAATTACATTAAACGACTATAATACGGATTTATCCTACCATAGGCTGTATACTATACTGCTTGAAGTCTGTCTCAAGAAGCGCTTGAAGTGTTGCTCGTTGAGTGGAGCTCCACCGTCGCTAGTAGTAGTAGACCGAAGAGACAGAAGAGACGGGCAATCAACAGTGTTTGTCGCGTGCAGTCTCAGGTTCAATCTAACGTTCCCAGTGATAAGCACGCCCGCGGAAACTACCGCGGGTGTCGCCTAATGCGGGACTTACGCGCATATGCCGCCAGAGCCGTAGTGGCTCAGGCTGAATCACTACAGATTTGATGGAAATAAACAATTCCTCCATGGTATTTTTGATAAAATATGGAATGAGATATTTGTAGTAAAGCAAAAGTCTGCAATAGATCTAGATCTGGAGATTAGACCAACTTTGACCATGGATGCATGCTGTTGTTTGTATTTCCAGACGTAGACTCTACCTGATTTTTGTATGCATGACATAATTAAAATTACTTGCTCCAATCCTACTCCTAGGCTCCCCCCTTCTCTCACATGGTGCAACCGTAAGCCTACTGTAATATATCTACATCACCATGCAAGCTGATACTTATAAGCAGCATCTATACATCATGTAGGCCTAGTAACATAGTTGGTGTACGAGTCACTACGACGCGACGTGGACCAAGTTTTTTGTGGCTATTTTTATTAGCGAACTCGATTGAGATGGAGCTTATTCATGATAATATAAAATTTGGAAATCCTGGTAAACCAAGGAATAACTGAATTATTAGGAAACAAATGAAAGTCTGAATTAATTTGTAATAATTGATCGTAACATTTTGTAATAATTGATCGTAATATTTTGAAATAATTGATCGTAAGATTTTGAAATAATTGATCGTAATATTTTGTAATAATTGATCGTAATATTTTGTAATACTTGATCGTAACATTTTGTAATATTTTGTAATAATTGATCGTAAGATTTTGAAATAATTGATCGTAATATTTTGATGCCTTTCTCTGCTCCCATAGATGGCACTTTGGTGGTATCACCCGATCGGAGACGGACAACCTCCTGATCCAAAAACGACCCGGGACTTTCCTGGTGCGTGACAGCAGGACGTGTCCAGGCGACTCAGTGCTGTGTGTTAGGTAATACAGGGTTAGGGTGAGAATTAGAATTAGGGTTAGGGCCAGGGTTAGGGTAAAATGACAAAAAACTGACCGATTTTGCATTGGGACCGAGTTGTCCCGGGTTCGAGTTAGTCCGGATCCGATCTGAATATGAATGAGTTTTATTTCACCCAATTGGTCGTACATACCTTCGGTCCCATGCAGGCAACCTTTTTTCCCTTCCCCTCTCATACTCTGTTTGCACAGTTAAAGGGGAAGTCCACCCTGATATTATGTTGGTTTTGATAGAAGCAGAGAAATGAGAGGAACAAGTCAGTGACAGTTAGTTTTAGCAAATTCTCTGATTAAAAATAAAAAAGTAATGAATTTTTAAAATTCCGATCGATCAAACACAAATTGTCAGCACTGTTTTCTATTTTCCCTTAAGAAGAATTATATGATACATGCACCCTAAATATGATTAATATATTTTTCGATATAACACCGGTATGATCTGTTCCGGTCATATTCTGCTTCTATTAAAACCAACTTAATATCAGGGTGGACTTCCCCTTTTAAAGAGTAAAGGGTCAGGATTCACAACAGGTAATGTTGATTAATTTGGTCGTATGCTAACAATATTTACTGTCTATTTTACAGTGAAGTAATATCATTTTAGTATCTCATATTATGACAAGGAAAAAAAAAAAAAACCAGTTTGTGATACATGTACATGTAAATGATTAGATTTGTAGGAAGCTTGTACAGATTGAATCCATTAAACGTAGGCTCTAGCCGTTCATGTCAAATGAAAAACTAAACTATCAATTAACTTTGTAATGTATATCTAATATTATATATATCTCTCTCTCTCCCTCCCTCTTTTTGTATCTCTCTGTGTTCTTATCCTTTTCTCTACAGTGAAAATAGTAAGGTATCTCATTATATCATCACGAGGAAAGCGGATCAGTTTGTGATCGGTGATCAGATTTTCTCTACGCTACCTGACATTCTGAACTTCTACCGAGGTCACTATCTAGACACTACCGTCCTAGTCGAACCGGTAAGTAATTCTTCAGACTCTTCCAAGAATTTGTAGACGAAAAAATGCATTGACATAAAAAGAAGATAATATGCCGTTCTTGTATAGCACATCACATTATGATATGACCTCTCTATGGATATTATTACCCTAGCCTTAGCTCCGGCAACTGTAGCGCTCGGAGCATTCAAGGGATCAATCCTACCAGGTACCGACTTACTACACCTGGGTGGAGTGTGGCAAACGTAGTTATAATGTCTTGCCGAAGGACAGTGCTATGGTGGGATTCGAACCCTGTACACTGTGGTTCACAGTCCGGAGACCTATTCACTAGACCAAAAACCTCTATATCTATTCTGCTAGGGATACAGGGTCCTGTTTCATAAAACTTGTTATCAATAACGAATACTATATTCAGGCCTTAAAAAATAAATCATTTTTAGGGCAAGGCCAGTTTGGCCTTAGAGTACCTCATATTTTTAAGGGCACCAAGGCCAAAATATTTTTACAAAAAGGCCATCAAGTATGAGGCAAAAAAAAAATTGATTCTATTTTTGTTAGATGTCATGTGTATTTTATGAAACTTGTGCGGGATCAATTTCCCATGACTTTTAGCACCAGCTTCTTCACAGAATGTATAGAGGTCTACGGTACATACAAACAAGGCGGCGGCCCGCAAGCCTTAGGCTTAGATTAAGCAGCCAGGAACAAGGGGCAATTTTTTATTTTAAGTTGCCCCTTGCCCACAGGAATTTACCAGAGCAAGGGGCAATTTTCCAAAAACAGATAGGCCCCTAATCTAATTATAAGTTTAAAGATACAATGTTAATTTCATAATGTGAATAGGCCTAGAACGATCAATTTAATAACTTTTTAATCTTAACAATATGAACAGGAAAGATTGATTAAGAACATTAAACTTGCACATTAAACAGTATTTTAAAGTAACTAAAAATATTGATGAGCAAATGAATAAATAAATCGTCAATTTCACAAACATCGAAAGCCAGAAGGACTTGGCAAGTTTACCGGGTATCCCAAATCGAAATCGCACCTCACACGCAAACCTTCCGCCACACGCTCGGTAGAAGGAGCAAATTTGAAGAAATTATCTTTTTAACTGTTGTATAGTCTAGGCCTAACCAATGAAATAAGATGTAAAATGTCCTTAGACATTCGACAGCTGAAAGTGACACGCTCAGCTCAGTTGCGTAACGTGCGTTCACGAAACCAAAATCGTTCCTCGCACACACACTCTCGCCACTCTTGGTGGGAAGCTGTCGGCCTGGAAGTTTGCCAACGAAACCGATGCACCTTCGGAGATTCGCAGCGCGTAATTTTACCGGGACTCAAAACGTTCATCGTGGGAAGCTGGTGGGGTAGCTTTTTGCCAAAACGAAGCTAGGTCGGCTGGTGGCAAAATGAGAGTAACTACGATCGAGAACATCGTAGGTGTTCTTAACTTATTAATAAGATAATTCTAAATTCTATTTGAGATGAAATAATAAACTAGACCTACAAACAAACCTCGACAGATCTCTAATGACTATTTGAATGCTTGTTTATTTCTCCATTTGACGATTTGTTTTCTTGATCCTGGCCTTCGATTTGTACGTACGTACATGTACGTGCGTCCACAGCATGCACCATATCAAGTGATTGCATGAACGTGCGTACGTGCGCTAGCGCATAGCCTATATATAACAAAGGGCGCATTTTCACGGCACTTGCGCCTTATTAAAGCACTAAATACGAAGCTAGTAGAGAGCTCGTGGGCGGCAAACTGTTTGTGATTCGTGTATTTTTACTGTTCTAATAATTTAAGGGCGCATTTTCACAGAAAACAGTTGCGCCTTGCTGTCTAGTTTTAGAAGATTATGGGCGCAATTGGTGGTTTTATGAGCGCAAATTTCGAAAAAGGGCACATCCAGTTGGAAAAAAAGGCACGTCGGCCAGTTTGAAAAAAAAGGGCACGGCCTTTTTGGCCGTGAATTTATCTTTTTTTGGGAGGGCATCACGGCCAGTCATAGGGGCATCGATGGCCTGGTCGTCGATGGCCGTCGATTAATTTAAGGCTTGTATATTTCTATAACAAGTTCGCTCTCAACCAATCAGATTGTCACAATTTCAGTGGCTTATAACAGTTATTGTAGCATGTTATCGATAACATGTTTTATGAAACAGGGGCCCAGTGCAATTTCCTATTGTACAGGGCCAAGTTTTAATTAAACTTGTTATCAATAAAAAATACTACATTTTTATAACAAATTCGCTCTCAGCCAATCAAATGCCATGATTTCAGTAGCTTATAACAGTAAATGTACATGTAACTTGTTATTGATGACAAGGTTTATGAAACAGGGCCCACAACCAAACAACATAGGAAGGACAAGTTTCCGATGAGGCTATGTACATCTACATGTAGTATGGAAACTTTCTCTTGAAGTGCAACAACCTTCAGGCAGTAGTGTTGTTACTTAAAGGTACTATGTCCCATTTGCAGGCCAAAAAAATGAAAAAGTTAAATTCCAACTGCATTTGAAAGATAATACTAATTTAGAACTTCCCTAAAACAGGTGGGGCTTGAAAATGTCTTCAAGTGGGAAAATAACGACTATTAGTTGTCAAATCGACTTTAGGGCTATAGAGCCCAAAAGTTATAGTCTTGATTTTCAGACAATTGTACCTAATGGTCATACGTTTTATGCTGCGCAAAGATTCAATCAGTTTAATCTTGGCCATCACGAGAAGTGGGTTATTGATGTAGAAAAATGCTCATGTACCCTTTACAACTCTTATCATGTATGTTCTTACCAAAGAAGAAAAAAGCCAGTCAGTCACTCAATAGTGTCTGACAGTGAAGTCTAGCAAGTAAACAGGTTTCCTTGCAAAATTTGAATATGAGGACACTGCTAACATTTAAATTTCACAGATAGGACATACATGACATATTCATAATTCCTGCAAAGTTCTACAGCATTTGAGGTTGGCTGCAAAAGGGACATAGTACCTTTAATTAAAGACTTTGGTGAGACTGAATAAATACTATATATACATGTACAGTATATGCTGTATTACTTCTTGAGATGTCACTTCCAAGAATATTAAAGCAACAGTGATTTATAGCATTAATATAATGACAATAAAACGGTGCTTATGAAGTGCTTCCCACCAAAGTCTCTAAGTGCTTTTTCATTAAAAACTTCACAATTGATACAAACATAACAACACAGAAATTTTCCCTTCTAAAGGTTCCTGGTATAAATTTCTTTCACTGGTGTAAATGTATATTCACAAAGATCATTAAAAGGCACTTAAAGTAACAGAAAATGAGAGAGCACATACATGTCAGAGCCGTCGCTTCTAAGAAGCACCTCTTTACTGAGTCGATAAAAAAAAGTGTCATGTCAGTACTTTCCTCATGAATCTGAACCATCGTTGAAAGGCACAAACATGGCACTGTCTCAAGAAACTTGTCATCAATAACTAGTCACAATAATGGAAGCTACTGAAACCATTGCATTGTATTGGCTGTCAGATGAGTTGTTTAAGAATAGAAGACTTAATTTTTTTAGCAGGCCGTATTGAACTATTCAATTCAGTGTGCCAATTAAGTATTTGGCTGAGCTAAGTAAAAATTCCTAACCGAAATCATTAATATAATCGTGTCTTTTAAGTGCAGACAACAAATAAAAGGGAAAGCAGAATTTTTTGTTAAATTGATCCAATAGTTTCTTTGTGCACAGGACAAATTTAAAGTATCAATTTATCAAATAACATTGAACTCTCCACGGAAAACTAGGAATCAATTTGAGTTTCAGTTTCAGGGATCAATTGTATTTATTTTTTAGATGCAAGCTCCATGAAGTAGGATTGCTTCATCAACATATGATGTTAAAGGGCAAGTCCATCCTAATATCATTTTGGTTTTAATAGATGCAGAGAAGTGAGAGGAACAGGTCAGTTAATGTTTGAGCAAAATCTGATTAAAACTAAGAGAGTTGTACATTTTTTAAATCGAGATGAATCATATGCAAATTGACAACTCTGCGACATATCACTCCCATTTGATCTGCACCCCTCCAAAAAAAAAAAAAAAAAAAAAAAAAATCAAAAATCAGAATTTTCTATTTTTCTCTATAGTTATTGCAAATATGTTTTTATACAACCCCTGTATTAAACAAATCTATTACGTCATCAATCAATAACTACTGGTAAGAAAATGAAATTTATGAAATGTGTGTACAGAGCGAATTGGAATTTGTCTACTATAAGACCACCTGTCTACAAAGACCACTCTCTGTGTTTCCCTTGGGCGGTCGATATCTAGACAGGATTGAATGTTCATTGCACATGTACACACTCATACATGTTTCCATGATGTGGGCACTAATCCGGTCCATCTGTATTCTTTTATGCACAGTTTGTACATGGATGTACACTACATGGCCTCATTTTCATGTAATTTCCTTACTTGCCAAGCAATCAAGCATGGTTCTTTTGTGTATTGTCCAGGCAGTGGGGATTCCCCTCTCTGTCTTTTTTAAAGCAGCATGGGACACGCCCATGGCATATTTACAACCTTTCATAAAACGGGCGTTAATCCTACATCTCTCTTATCATGGAAATCACCTTTGTTTCTGTTTCAGGTGTAAATTAAGGACTCGTTTGTACACATACCAGTTTCTTTTTACATGTTTGAGGACACACACGTTTGTAGGAATATATAGCATTCTGTGGACGATATGGAAATTTACTACATAACTGTGGACCTTTAATATACATATGCTCTCTATGAAGTTCAAGGAAATCCTAAACAACTAGAGTCCCAGATGCTTGAAAACTTAAAGAATAAATAGACGAATAAGTACTTTTCCAAAAACTGGACATTTCTTTTCTGGTGTAATTTGAGGACTCGTTTGTACACGTACAAATGTACTAGTACACGTATCTATTTTTTGAGGACAAACACGTTTGTAGGAATATAACATTCTGAGGACAATATGGAAATTTACTGCTTAACTAAGAACCATTAATATACATTTTCTGTGCCAAGGGAGCACCTAAATAAACACCCCTTTATACATGTACAATGTCAAAGGAGGTGCACACCCTCTTATTTCTTGTTTGTTCGATCTTATGTTTGATCCTATGTTTGACCTCATGTATGTTTGATCTCACTCTTATTTTTATTATTATATATGCATGATTTATTGAATAAAGAACAGATGTATAAGTTGTGTGTTTATTATAAGCTTTGGTAAATATTTATTTAGTCAGACTATGGTGCGCTTAGAAACACCAGTATTAAGCGCCTAATGAATATTGTGTATTATTATTATTATATATTTACAAATATATATAATATGGAAGGCCCCCAAATTTTAAGTAATTTACAGGGTTTTTGAACCAAAGAACTCTTACATGTAGTCTGTGTGTTGTCGTCAAAATGAAGGTACGCCCGGTACAATGTTGTCCATGGTTTGTAGACAGATATGCACAACATGTACATGTACATGTACATGTACCGGTATGTGTGACCTGACACATCACACCCTGTTCACACATGATCTCCTGGCTTTGGCATGATTTCCTATTGCTTAGTGTGATGTCTCAAGGTTCTTCTTTAATAGCGAGTGTGAACAGATCCCTCTCATTAACTGCACAACCCTGAAGTAATCAGGCTGTGTGCCAAAACGGATTAATGCTCAGCGGAAATTAGTCTACATGTTCATTGGAAGTGTAACGTTAGACTTACTGATAATATCCTGCTGCCCTCGTTTGGCTGTCTGAGCCTCTCTCTCTCTCTCTTCCTCTTACCTCCCTTTCTTTCGCTCTCTCCTTATCTACAGTGTACCGGTATGTCTTTCTCTTTCCCTCTCTCTCCTTATCTAGATGTCTTTCTCTCTCCCTCTCTCCTTATCTAGATGTCTTTCTCTATCCCCCTCTCTCTCTCTCCTTATATAGATGTCTTTTTCTCTTCCCCCCTCTCTCTCTCTCTCTCTCCTTATCTAGATGTCTTTCTCTCTCTCTCTCCTTATCTATCAATTATGTCTTTCTCTCTCTCTCTCTCTCTCTCCCTCTTTCATATACATTTTCAAGTTAATGCATTGACATTTTTCACAATGTGAATGGGTCATGTCAGTGAAAGTCAGTGTTAACAGGATCTGTACAAGTCACTGCGTTAAACTTTATTTAAATTCACCTGAATTTACATTTTCAAGTTTATGCATTGACGATGTTTACAATGTGAATGGGGCATGTACATCTGTTATGGTACAGTACACGAATGTACATGTAGATATGCATACACCTTGTGACCACTTCACACTGACATTTTCAAGTTTATGCATTGACTATGTCTACCATGTGAAATGTGAATGGGGCATGTCGATCTGATATGATACAGCACACGTACACGTATGTACACGTAGATACACCTTGTGACCACTTCACACTGACATTTTAATCCTATATTAATCCTAACAATGTTCGTTCCTCCTCTACCTGCCAGTGTCCCAAGAACAGGATGGTTCAGCCCCCTCCTCAGCTCCCAGTATCATCACCACCGGTAGGTAAAGGGGGATTCCCCCACCCTTCCCCATCATACCTTGCATGCATGGAGCATCTGTGAGTGTGTGTGTGTTTGCATGGCATGTAAATGGCTTTCTCATTGGCTATCAGGCTATCGCATTGGGAAAAATACTTTTCTGTTTGTGGGAGCTATTTTATGATTTGGTGCTGCAAGAGCAATTTTCTTACAGTGATATTGAAAGTATTACATCGTTTTTACCAGAGCATTTTTTTCAATTTACATAAGCACCCCCTTTGGAGCTTTCAATTATCAAGAGTTAATTTGCTCACTGTTCCTGGGGTTTTTCTTGGGTGTTTTTTTGTGATTTTTTGTTTGTTTGTCTTTGCTGGGCTACTCTGATTAGTCTGCAGACACAGACTCTCATTTGATACTTCAACACAATTTCATAAAGTCTTGAGCAGAGCCTTCATGTATACGTAGCTTGGTCAGTCTCTGGCTGCATGTAAAACACAGAGCCTTTGTGGAGCACTAGACCATTCAGTCTACATTCATCATAGAGGCTGTTCACACCGGCAGAGATAGCGCGCGCTATCTCGCGCTATCTCTGCGGTTTGGAAGGTACAACGTCGTTTCGGTCCGCCCAACAGCAAGCCACGGTGAGCCAAATCGGCGTGCCACTGGAGCACCTCTTGGGGGTGGTCCACGAGAGATAGCGCGTCTAGCGTGGGCTAGAAAAAAGGGGGTGCTACGATAGACTGCGCTATCTCATTGCGGTGTGAACAGCCTCATAGTCTCTTATAAAAATAAAGATCTCATGCCTTAATAGTAATTGTTTCAGCCACTGTTATGCACTAGAATTTGACTTGAATTCACATTTATGCAATTATCTTATGAAATTCATGTAAAATAGTTTTAAAGCAAATGCCTTTAATTTGCAAATAAAACAGTTCACCAAAGACCTTCTTCTTTCTTTTGCTGCTTTTAGTTTAAACATCTAATGTGGCTATGTTGTGTTTTGCATGTCTCGTGCTATTAATTAAAAAAAAATACATACCATATGTGCATACAGGTATACCCCGTATTATGAAATTGTGCGTGCATGCATTTTTGTTTGTGTGGCTTGAATAACATGTCTGCAAAACGTTATAAACGGTACATTTATTGTAAGAACTTGGGAAGCTCCAGAAAAAATGCATCGAAAGCTACAAGCACACTTTGTTTCCTTCTACATTTTTTCTTCTTTTCGCTATTGCTAGAAGTAACTCAAAATTGCTGAATTAAGAAATAAAACACTTTTTGATGTACAAGTGCACATACTTCATCAGCATCTTCATCACCATCCTCTTGCATTATTGAAGAAAAACACTCTTTTTTCAGGTGCTACCTGTACAGTAGATATGTACTTGTCCAGAAACAATCAATCATTTTGATAAATGGAAATATGACTACCGGTTTATTTTGGTAAGAGTATTGGTTATCAATTTACAGCTTTGATTTAACAGTACAAGTAGAGTATGACACAGAATCTTTTAAGCGGATTATTTGTTCTGCATCAACCCCCAAAACAAAATAGAAAACAAATCAATTATCAATCGTATCACACCTAAGGAAAAACTAATCAATTGCCTTATAAATTAACCAATTCAGTAACTCTTTTAAAAGCTCTGTTTTGTTTAGTTACAAAGTTTGTCTTCTTGTCTGTATTGCCAATTTGAATAAGAAGCTATATAATAAACTCTGAGAGCCCTTGAGGAAATCTGTATTTGTTGACAAATATTGTTGCCATGGATGCACAGCACAATGCTTAAAACATGTTTAAAAAATGCCTAGTATCTGCTTTTATACATGTACTGTAAGTGCATTTAAAGGTACTATGTTCCTTTTGCAGCCAACCTCAAATTCTGTAGAACTTTGCAGGAATTATGAATATGTCATTTATGTCCTATCTGTGAAATTTAAACGTTAGCAGTGTCCTCATATTCAAATTATACAAGGAAACCGTTTACTTGCTAGACTTCACTGTCAGACACTATTGAGTGACTGACTGGCTTTTTTTCTTCTTTGGTAATAACATACATGAAAAGAGTTGTGAAGGGTACATGAGCATTTGTCTACATTAACCCACTTCTTGTGATGGCCAAGATTAAACTGATTAATCTTTGCGCAGCATAAAACGTATGACCATTCGGTACAATTGTCTGAAAATCAAGACTATTACTTTTGGGCTCTATAGCCCTAAAGTCGATTTGTCAACTAATAGTCGTTATTTTCCCACTTGAAGACATTTTGAAGCCCCACCTTTTTTAGGAAAGTTCCGAATTAGTATTATCTTTCAAATGCAGTTGGAATTTAACTTTTTCATTTTTTTGGCCTGCAAATGGGACATAGTACCTTTAACCTTTAAAAGCATTTTTTAAAGTTATTTTTTTTCCTAGCTTAATCTGTTGTCTTGCCATCATGCCTTTTGCAAACCCGGATCTGTAGTATCTGAGATTCGGAATCTAAATTCTGAAGCACACAATTCTATTAATATGTACATTATTATTCTAGGCCTTATCATTGCATCGCATGTGAATGTATGTGTATGCATGGAACCTTTGAAAATTTCATACAAATATTTGCACAGGTCCGATTCTACTCTGAGATTCTGATCTTTTCAGGCACATTGCAACACACACTCTATATTTGCATGTACTTGTACATGTAATTGTGCTATTTTGGGCTGCGGTTATAATGTCAGTGTTGCAAAAAATCTTTTTTTTTTGTTCTTCCTCATGTGATGATGTCATAGGTGAATTCCCTTGTCGTGTACTGAGATCTACATTGTATATTTAGCCCATACAGTTTAGATGTAGACATTCTAGCATAAATGTTACATGTACACGAATAAAGTTCACGCCTTTGCTTTTTTTCATTATTTTTTCATTAGTATTATTATTCTTTGTTAAATAATATTATATCCTGCATCAAAAATTTGTTGGCTTTTGATTGGTTGAGAGCTCGTCACATGACCAAAAATATTTGAGCTATTTTTAGAAAGTACTATATGAGAGTACTATTTTGGTTTACTATTTGGGAGTTGAAAAAAAAATGTGAATTTTTTTTTTTAATTGAATCAATTTTTTTCTTCAAATCTTAATTTAATGAAAACAAAACATTTTAAATCTTTTTAGATAAAAATTAACATTTTTTTTGTTCCAAATTTTTTTTTCTTCCCAAAAATGTTTTTTTTTTTTTTTTTGTTTTAAAGAAATTTTTGATGCAGGATATAAAACAAATATACCATGCCTTCTATACGAGGTACTGGTTAAACTATGGGCCTCGGTGACTCCAAAAGTACCATTTGCTTCGGGGCTGCGCCCCTCAGCAAATAGTACTATTGGAGTCACCTCTTGCGCATAGTTTTAACCAGAACCTCTCAAGACAGTGTATATTTGTATAATATACTGCACACCAAGCATAATAATAATATACTGCACACCAAGCATCTAGACCAAGAACTAGATAGTTTATTCCTCAGCACTACATCCTGACTTATGGATCCTGCTGAGTATCGTCGTAGAAGTAGAAGTATTACAAATTAAAAAAAAGAATTGTGGCAAAGTGAGGATTTAATGTTGCTTGAAAATCATCTTTGTGCATCTTTATTTTTCTTATTTTTTCATTTGCTTTGTTTTCTAAATCCTTTACCTCAACTCATGACCCAACTCTAAATAGCTAGAAAACAGATTTGTGTACATGCACATGGTACCTTTAACCCTTTCATGAAATTTATTTTTATAAAAAAAGGGTTAAATTGATCACATGTTGTTTTTCAAATTGGTAACAACAATATTTTTCTTTTAAAGCTAAGTCGTTCAAATAAAATGCAATGTTTCTGAAAACTTAATAATGCATATTAGTAATATTTTTTGGAGAAGTTAAAAAATTACAAATTTTATAGAAAATAACGATCTTGAACCCCACAGCATGTCGTTAATTTGAGAATTTTAAGGCTCACAATCCTTTTGATGATTCCTGGCCTGTAACCCAATGTGGTCAGTGAACAACAATAGGCATGTAGTGTATGTGCAGACATTTGTGCCTTTTCTTTTCATAATGTTGCCCCTACATGTACATACCGAGCACCAATTAATGTACCGGTATGCATTCTGGCTATTGAAATACAATTGTTCATAACAGGTGAATGAAATAATTTGTAAATGGGCATTTAACAAAGATTTGTGCATTAAATTTGATTACGTTACGAAAATGTTCAATTCATACATTACCAGCAAAAAAATATATGGGGGCTCAGGGCGCAGTAGCCACCAAAATGCCAAAAAGAGCCCCCAAAAGTCATAAAAGGCCCCCAAAAGGCCCCCCAAAATTTGCATAAAGTTCAATGCAAAACAAATTTAAGATTGATGTTTTCATGCAAGCAAGCTTGAAAAGTAGCCCCCGAAATGTTTTAAATATGTTTTTCCCTGACTACCAATAAGCTATTAAACTGTTTTGTCTTTTGAATGGTCCAGTTGAACGAGAGAAAACCGCCCACACCGAACCCGGATGTTCCTCCTGTCACTCCTATACCGCCACCTGCCATCGTCAGCAATGCAGAGAGATTCAGAGTTAAATATGACTTCTCAAGTGAGGTGAGTACTGTATCCTAACCCTAAACCTAAACTCTACCCTACGGTTGCTGGAGCCTAGTTAAATAGTTACCAGCCTAAACTGTAGTTAGTTACCAGCTAGTTAGCAGCTAGTTAGCAGCTAGTTAGCAGCCTCGCTAATCCTCAGCAATGCAGAGAGATTCATAGTTGAATATGACTTCTCTAGTGAGGCAAGTATCTTAACCTTAACCTTAAACCTACGGTTGCTGCAGCCTAGTTAAATAGTTACCAGTCCAGTTAGTTTTTGGCTAGTTAGCAATGCAGAGAGATTCAGAGTTAAATATGACTTCTCTAGTGAGGTGAGTATCCTAACCTTAACCCCAACCCTATGGTTGCTGCAGCCTAGTTAAATAGTTACCATCCTAGTTATATTACCAGCTAGTTATCAATGCAGAGAGATTCTGAGTTAAATATGACTTCCCGAGTGAGGTAAGTATCCTAACTCTCTTAAACCTAACCCTATGGTTGCTGCAGCCTAGTTTAATAGTTACCAGCTAGCTAGATATAATAATATTAATTAATTAAAACAATTGATAAATGGGGGAAGAGTAAGGGGGAGGAGTATAAAGTATGTGCCTTCCAAGAGGGAGGCAAACAAATGAACTTAAATGTATAATGGTCATTTAGAGTGAAATGCAACACATTTGCATGGAAAAGTGGGACTTCTATCAGTTGCTACGGGGATAACAAAAGCAGGAGTTTTAATATGGTTGCTTGGCAGGATGTCTTGTGGTCTATGGCACCCGGAACTTTCAATTTCAAGCCCATGTGTGGTTGGAATAGCATCTGTTTGGAGCCAGAAGGGCATTAAATCATGAATATACAGATGTACTTTAAAGCCCCACGGCACTACTAGATACTTGCGCCCTCTATATAGCAAACAATGCCTAATCGGTGCCTGTTGGTCCCCCATGATCCCCTTTTTGATGAGATAGCCACCTGTCCGTGACCTTGCAGAGAGGTCTTATCCCCCCTGATCACACTAGTGATGTACTTTAACATGGAGTTAATGTCCTTCTGGCTCTGTCTGGCCAGGTGATATGTTCAGGAAGGTGTTTCACAAAGACTAAGATTGACTTTAAGTTGGACTTAACTATGGCAGGCTGCCATGCCACTAGTTCCTCTCACCATTCCTGGCATTGTTTTCTCAAGGGAAGTACCAATCTTTGTCACAAATCTACAGAATTTACATTTTTTGATAGTTCATTATTGAAGGGAAAAAATATTATCTAAAGATCATAATTGAGGGACCAATGATTTGAGGAGGGAGTTGGCTCAGTCGGTAAAGCGTCTGCCTGTCGAACCAAAGATCCCGGGTTCGACTCCTACCCAGGTGGATGACTGAAGCCTGCGTTGTGTGTTAACGTGCCCCTTCCCTTGTTCATAGACGCAGGTTATGTCAAGTGGAAAACACTCCGTCCCTCGGATAGGACGTTAAATGGAGGCCCCGTGTACAGGAGAGTCACAACCCTTGCACATTACACTATGAACATGACTGACAATGAGAGCGGACAAAATATACAGTTCCTCAGGTAGACAAAGGAACATCCCTTCACTGCTATTATGTAAAAATGTGTAGAACAGGTGTCACATGCATATTCACCTTTTTACATAATAGCTGTGAAGGGATGTTCCTTTGTCTACCTGAGGAACTGTATATTTTGTCCGCTCTCATTGTCAGTCATGTTCATAGTGTTAAGAACCCATTGCACTAATCGTATAAGAGTAGGGGGAAACCCCGGTGTAATGGTCCACCTGCATACCCCAACCAGGCCGAGTATACGGCATCTGCAAGAATCTTCAGTATTGAAGGAGGCAGATTATCTCGAAGAAGAAGAAGAAGAAGAGAGCAAACAGTGGCGTGAATGGCCTGCCATAATTAAAGTCGATCTTAGTCTTTGTGAAACACTCCCCTGTTCCTTCCTATGTAGCTTCAAAAGCAGACTATTCAAACATAGAACAGGAAAACAACATATTCGCTGTAAACGATTCTGAAAGTCACTCTCTATGCAACACTTAGCATGCTGATGTACTTTTCTATAATCTAATAATCATACATAGCAAGAGAACTTGAATTTGAAACTTGAAAATAACAAATATCAAAACATAATTGAGCAGAAGAAACATGTCTGATCTACCTTGTACCTTCCAGGATGTTTATAAGCACTGTTTGTTTTTGTATGGGAATTAGTAAAACCGTGTTTCCTTGCAACCGTTTCCTTTCCTACTCAATGATTGATTAGTCTGTCATTTAAGACTCTAGAATTGGAGGAAATAAATGTTTGAGTTTGGAGGGATTTGTAAGGAGCTCTTTCGATCCTGCTAGACACACAATCGTCTGTTTGAAACTACATGTAGGATGTGTACTCATGTAATATTTTCAGGTTTTTGAATTGTATGTTTCTTCTTTTTTTTAACAAATTGCTCATAAACTTCTGTTGTGAATAAAAGTGCAGAATCCATACAGTGCAGAGGCATTTATTTTTTTTCTATCTTCTGCTTTTTGTCTTCATATCCAGGATGCATTGCAACATAAAAAGAACACCACCTTATTTTCCCCTCTTGTTGAGGGAGCTCTTTTGAGTTTTTCTGTGGCGTAACACTGTTTGAGTGTTTGAGATCTCTTTTCTGTGCTGATCAGACCTCGCTAGTAACATTAACAATTTTTTTTTCATGGCCAGATCGCTCATTGTTCTTTTTTCTCTCCTTTTCCTGCTAGGATGCCGATGATCTACCGGCACAGAAGAACGAGATTCTGACGTTAATTAATCGAGACGAAGCTGATTGGTGGACGATGCGCAACTCAAGAGGGCAGGAAGGCCAGTTCCCCGTACCATGGATGGAGGCTGTAAGCAGAAAATAACAAAAGAAAATTATTCAGGATTTGTTTCTTTTCCTGTTATCATGAGATTTGCACTAAAAATGAAATGATGTACATGGGGACAAACAAAAACAAAAACAACAAAATTATCATGTGTGAGGAGTACATTACAGTATGAAAGTTACAGAATGAAGAAGAACTTTAAGACACTTTCTATAGAAATTCATGATTACAAATAGTTGCATTTCAAGTTTATCCTTTGGTCTGTCTTATACGATATCTCATAGGTTTATTTCACTTTCTTCTTCTTTCTCCTCGGGTATATCCCTCTGTTTATTCAGGCCTCAACTCCGTTGGGGGGGGGGGGGGGGGTTGAGTGATTAGTTTTGAGTGTCGATGTGCATTACATCACTCTTTAATATTTTGAAATTTTGGGTTGTTCTGACTGAGAATTCTGAGGGGCGTCTGTAAAAGAAATAGTGTTGCACCTCAGTTTATTTTCATCTAATTGAATATGCCTTTTTTTTTTTTTTTCTTTACTCATCTTTCTCCATCTTTCTTTCTTTGACCTCTGATCTTCCTTCTATTCTCCAGCAGCTGCCAGTTGAACCACCCCCAGAGGTATACCGCACTGTCACATCGTACGGTAGAGCGACGCAGAGAAGAATTCCCAACGCATATGACACGACACAACTTAAATTTGAGGTAGGTACCAGGTGTTATCCACATAACTCATTCAAACCAGAGACCAACACCAGTCTGACTGCAGTTCATTACCCAGAATGGCTAGGTTTCAGTCAGATTGGCATTCTGACTTCTGGTATGGTATCAGGGCTTGCTCCAATGCATTACACACTGGGTGCTAATAGCGTGCCTTTGGGAACTCCAGAAATAAAAATACCAAGGGGGAAGTCCTATCTGACAAGGGTACATACATGGCACATGGGTGATATATGTCAATGTATCTTATTAGAATGTTATACCTAAAGGTATACTGCACTGTCACATCATATAGCAAAGCAGTACAGAGAAGAATTCCCAACGCATAATATGACACAACAAAACTAAAATGTCCATTTCTGGAGTTCCCCAAGGCACTAAGTGTGTAATGAAACAGGTACCTAGATAACATTTTAAACACCATTCACCACCAGTCTGACCGCAGAAGGAACCATAAAGTACCTTACGCCAAATGGCTAAGTTTCAGTCAGATTGGTATTCTGACTTCTGGTATGGTATAAGGGTTTGCTCCAGCGCATTACACACTGGGTGCTAACAGCGTGCCTTGGGGAACTCCAGAAATGGAAATACCAAGGGGGAAGTCCTATTTGGCAAGGGTACTTTATAAGGGTGATGAATATCTGTCAATGAGTTAAAATACTTTGTTCTTTCTAGTCCATTCCCCCTAGTATGCTGCAGATTCCATTTACATGTACTAGGTTTGGACCAAATATAGATAATTTTTGGCAGAGAATCCTTTATTCGTCCTCTCCTTCTGTAAGATAAATATTGGCCTATGAAAAGGCCCCTTCCTTGAGCTTGGAAGTAAACAAACTTTCCCTTGAAAGTGACTTACTTGAAACATTTTTTCAATTCATGCAATAAGTCTTCTATTCAGAGCTACGATACAATGACTTTAAATCCCATCCCCCTTGTTTGCCACACTAGACCCAGGTGAGGTAAATGGGTACCTGGTAGGATTATTCCTTTAAATGCACTCTGCGCTTATTACGGCTGCCGGAGCTAAAGCTAGGGTAATAACTTCCAGAGCTCTTTGGAAGCACATAGAGACGTTATATAATGTGATATGCGCTATAGAAGAACCTAATATTATTATTATTACCATGTGCGTCGACCAATAGGCCTTGTGCATTATTGTTCCAATTATCGAATCGAATGATTGTCCGCTGCGCTGGTCCTCCCGTAGAGTATAAAACACTCTTACTTACACTAGTTTTTATCACCTGACGAAGTGTTGCAGTGGCGCACGAAACGTTGTGATCTTTTAGATCCCTTATTGACCACATTGCGAGACAAGCGAATATCACTAGCGATATTATTTTCGATATTATTATTAATTTTTTTTTGCAGAGAGGAGACATTGTGAAAATAATCAAACAGCATATGAGCGGATACTGGGAAGGAGAACTAGTCAAAGACGGAACTCAAGGATTCTTCCCATTTACATTTGTAGAACTCCTTCCCCCGGAGGAAGCGGATAGAATAGGACAGAACGCCAGTCAAAACGGCATGGAAGGCAACAACTCTCTTCTGAACTGAGCCTGGACTCTTATCATATTATTTTTGTCGAAAACCGCGACTTGAAATCGCTCAAGGAGAGAAACGTATGAACGTGCTCCTATATTATGTGTATAGTAATCATCTATAATGAACCAAGAATGAATAGATTTGTAACCGTGCAAGGAGTGATTGTGTGGAGCACTGAAGTGGTGGCAGGAGTGGGATCGTGGAGGATCAGGGATCAGGAATGGGATCAGAAACGGGATCAGGAACGGGATCACAGAGGATCGGACAGGAGTGGGATCACGGATGATCGGGGATCGTTATGTTGCCATTGATAAAGACACGCAAACGGGAGTTTCAGTGTGAATCGCATCACAATTCACCGACAACGAACTTGATGGCATCCTCGATGTAGCAACGAATGAATCCCGCATGCAGCGAACTTGTGATCTAACCTAAAGATCACGCAGCATCATGTCGATAAGATATTTAGAACAGCACGTGGTCCTGGCTCGGACGTGGAAAGTGCGTGGATGACTTTTCTTTATGGGGCGGTCCTTGATAAGTGCATGAACGGAACGTGCATTGTAGAAGGACCAATCCTGGAATGCAGAAAATGAATGCAGATTTTGTAAGCCACAGCGATAGGGGATCATGCCGAAAGTGAATGCAGGAGTTGAATGCAGGAGCTGAATGCATATGAAAATGTCTTGTAGCAGGTGGATACCCAATCAGTGTTGACTCCCATGAAAGCCAAGCTTATGTGTCTTTAAGTTGCGTCAGGAGTGGGATCGTGCATGTTGAGAGTGTTACCACTTAAACATAGCACAAAGCAGAGGGAGTTCCTTCCCAGGCAGAGTATGTCTACGGAAAGAACAATGATGATCAGCAAAGGATGTCACGAGTTGGATCTTGCAGATAGTGGATCATGGCCAAAGTGAATGCAGGAGGTGAATGCAGGAGATAAATGCAGGAGTTGAATGCAGAAAATGAATGCAGATCTTGTAAGCAACAGCGATGGTGGATCAATGCCGAAAGTGAATGCAGGAGTTGAATGCAGGACGTGAATGCAGGAAATGAATGCAGATCTTGTAAGCAACATCGGTAGTGGATCATGTCGAAAGTGAATGCAGGAGGTGAATGCCGAAGATGAATGCAGAAAATGAATGCAGATGTTGTAAGCAACACCGATACTGGATCATGCTGAAAGTGAATGCAGGACATGAATGCAGAAGGTGAATGCAGAAAATGAATGCAGATGTTGTAAGCAACAGCGACTTCAGGAGAAGCTATTCCATGAGCAGTTCATCCGCACCACCTGCTCATTCATGGAAGCAACTTGATCCTGCCACAGCGGACGACTTAAACTTAACGCCATTACACGAAAGCCAAAATATGTGTATGGACGGTTGCATCTTGCGCCCTCTTGTTGTTGTTTTTGTCCAGTCCTTCAAGCTCGTCCTGACAAATAACTTATTGTATATCAAGCACTATGTAATTAATTGTACTTTGCCAGAAAAAAAAGTCTTACTGATTAGATTTATATGTTACCTAAAGCCCACTGCACACTATACGATACCCGTTTCACAAAGCCTTTTTTCAATGACAAATGACAAAAATCAGTGACAAATCTGTTGATAACCCATCAGAAGCAAGGATTTCAGCAGCTTATAACAAAAACTGTCATTTGTCACTGATGACAAGTTTTGTGAAACGCCCCCCTGAATTCCAGATAGTCAAAGAAATGGCAATCTTCCTGTTAGCTTCTAAATAATGATATAAAGAAAGGTGACAACCGGAATTGGAGCATTTGAGCTTTTTAGTGAGCATAAAAGCCTAATCGCCTTCAAGTCGTTGATAAGCACACTACTGGTCTGAAGTCACAGTTTTGAGCCGATTTAGCTTTTTTTCCTTCAAGAAAGCATTAATAAGATTTTATTAATCATATGACTACTCAGAACCTCTGTAATTGAGATTTTACAAGTTGAATGTTCATATCAAATGCTCTTGCAAAGTCTTTCAAAAATTGGATGGTAGTCAGATCGTATAGTGTTCAGTGGGCATTACAATCAACGGGAAACTTGATGACACATGTGTACCTCTATAACGTTGTCCGTATTATGCCTATGAAAAGACGGAAAAAAAAGCCCTACCGGCTGGTTTCTTATACAGTTAACAATCAGATTATTCATACACCTTGTTAATTTGATGTTATTTGTGTTTTTTTAAACTCAAGAATGAAAAGTGGAATGGTTGAATTTGGGTCTTTGTAGAATACTGTGTAGATGGAACTTGAATAAGACACATTCTCAGTAATCATCAATACTGTAGGGATAAATAAATGTTCACATAATAATAATAATAATATTCCGCTTATATAGCGCTTAATACAAATGTCTCTAAGCGCTTTACAGATAAACTAGTACCCCGATCATTGGATTCAGTGCTTGCACTTACTAAAATAATTACACAATTTGGTATGGGGATGATTAACAGCCTTTTCACACACAGCTAAAATTCATCGTATCCAGAGATGATTAGTTTAAACGTGTTTAACTCAACAGTTTTAAACATGATTATAGATATTTTCCCAGTGTGAACATCGTTTATACAATGTTGGGATAGATACGAAGTCGCGATTCATACGCCCCTAAAAGCAGGCTGCAGATAAGAAGTTCGTATCTAGAAAGCTTGACATTTTGTGTGTGAAAGGTTATTCGTGTTTAAACGTGTTTCAGACGTGTTTAAACTGGATGGAGCGTGCACTTTGATTGATATGGCATGACCTTCAATGCGCAATGGCACTACTGCGCATTTTACGAGCAGTAGTTAATCACGAAACGATTAACGATCGCACCAACATTTCTGTGTGTGAAAGGCTCGTGATTAGTTTAAACACGTTTCAAACACGTTTATACTAATCATGTTTATAGAATTTTAGCTGTGTGTGAAAAGGCTGTAATTTAGTTGTTAACTGTACAAGATACAATACATGTAATTGGAATTTACCCTAATCATGAAGACTGACTATGAATTTAAACAGTATCATGACAAGGAATTAGATATCTATGAAATGCAGTCAATAGATATCTATGAAATGCAGTCAATAGATATCTATGAAATGCAGTCAACATGAAATCATGTTTGTTGGTGCTTGTAGCTTCTCTGTAGTCAGTAGTTTGCTAATTTTTCTTCAGAGGGTTTTGGAAGCACTGGATTTAAATATAAGCAATCTAATACAAGCACAAAGTTGCTTTGGGGAGAGAAGAATTTGTTTTAAAAGCACGAGATTTCAATGATATTATTTTGACAAGCAAAAACAATTTTCGGGGATAAAAACAAGTTTGTTAGAGAGGTAATGGATATTTAGAAAATATTATTTTGCTTAAGACAGACAAAATGTATTAAGAATTAAACAGGTTTGCATGGATTTTGGTAATATTGGGCAAAAACAAGTAAAGAATTTTGTTTTGAAAAAATAAGTTTGTAGTGGAAGCACTAGATTTTGACGACATTATTGGGCTTTTAAATAAGAAAAAACAAAGTTGTTTTGGGGGATGGTTTTATGTAGTTTCTGGCTGATGGACATTAAAACCCAAGGTGTACATATTTATTGTTTTCCTCGGATCGCACTTTGGGTTTAAAAAAAAAATACTAGGATAGAAAACATTTGAAGTGTACCAATCACTCACCTGGGACCTGTTTCACAGTCAATTACAAAAGTCAGTGACAAATCTGCTGATAACCAATCGGAAGCAAGGATTTCACTAGCTTATAACAAAAACTGTCATTTGTCACAGATGACAACTTTACCTGGCATTCTGTAGGTAAATGGTTTAAGAGTATGAAGAAAAACAAGCCGTGTATAGGGCTCGTAATGTACCCAAGTTGGGTTCTGTACGAGATCCTATACTATGCAAATACCTACGCTTGGTTTAACTATTTATCTCAACAATAAGTTGTGCTGTTTACTAAGAATTGAATTGCAAGTTTGCAACATCTCTTTGTAGAAGTAATATTCAAAGCTCATTTTATTTATACAGTATAGCCACTCAACCCCTCACATCGAGCAAAACACGTTTTGATAATTTAGTACACTTTAAATCTTGTAAGTTGAGATGGATCGAGGCAATTGACGGCATACTTCAACACAGAGTATGAAATTGGAATCATTTCAATTTCCCAAGGTTAAATACATAATCCTGTTGTTATTAATAATATGATTATGGAAAATGATGCTTGAAGGAAACTTAATTGACTTATGTTCTCAGATCACAATTTCCCCCTCCATTTTCACTTTCTGGCATTCAAGGAATTTCATATCTGTATCTCTTTCAGTTTCCATTGGTGTTTCTATTTTCATATCATCATAATTTTTATATCAAAAAGTGCAAAAATATGTTATATCTGATTGTTCATTGCTGTTTTAAAGGGTCAGATTTTTCAGATTTGTTGTTTCTTCTAATTTTTAGAAGTGGACTTTTAATTTGTTATTGGATTAAATGCAGTTCAATATTTATAATTTAACAATGGCATAAAGTGTGACCTTTAAAAAAAACACCATTAGAATTGTCAGGGTATATGCATCGTAGCTCTTTATTGAATATGAGATAGACAAGACGCTGGATATTATTTGGGCATCTCCATATTGATTTCTGAAGCCATTACAATCCCATTTTCACAAGAACTGACAGATCTAACATTGATTAATAAATGTTCCAGACTGATTTAAATTGCACTTGTCTTCACTCACATGGGAATCACTTAAAACTTTTGGCCTGCAACCAATTGAGAATGCTAGATCAAGCAAAGAAATATGTGGCTTTGTTAAACTTGCAATTATGGTGGCTTTGAATAGAAAATTCTTTAAAAAAATAAGAATGTGAAATCGTGGCTTAAAGTTAAATGTACTATTTAGCAGGGTGGGATCGAGTCGTGGACGTTAGATATTGTTTTTGAAGATATTTAGCTTTAAAAGCAAAGATAAAGTGTTACGCTTTTAAAGATATTTTCATGAAGAAAAAATGCAGCGTATATATCTTAGAAACAGGAAGAGATCTATTCTTATACATGATTGTTTGTTGGTTTGTTGTCCGGGAGAAGACATGAAACCTGACAAGAGAAGGTTTGCATTTAGAAGCTCGGATATCTACATGGAAATATATTTATTTATGCGGCCTGATACCCAGGGCAACGGGCATCTTTAAAAAGACTATTGACCGGTAGGCGGGCATGCCATGGCTAAAATCACAACTCCAATTTCGACCAATCAGATGGCTAGATTTCTAAAGAGAGGTATATACAATTTGATACATCATGTACATTATTTGAATTAAAGTGACTGTAACATTCATTGCTTTTTTTTCTTGAATGCAAATTCTAATAATGTAATTAACATTGGTTGTTTGTTCCCTCTATTTTTGAGATTGTTCTAAAGTTAACTACCCTTTGGGGGCTATAACTTACAACCATAGCTATCTTTCCAGGCCCCTCAACTCTTCTATTTAATTGAGATCAGTCTTTTTAAATTTCCTGCCTGCAAACAAGTCTATACAGTGTATGAGGTTTTCTCTTTCTGTTTTATGTATCTGTTGATTGAATTCACATTTTTTGTACCATTTTATTTGTGAATTCATTGCAGAATGTGAAATATATACTCGATACATGTGAAATTGAAACAATAAACTAAAACTGAAACTGGAAATGCATCCGAAAACAGAAGCTATGTGTAAAGGATAGTACTGTATATGGGACTATTACATATGGCTCTAAGTAGTGCACCTGCATGATAGAATGCCCATTAATCAGCGACCAGCTGAAATCCTCCCCAGGGAGTGGAAAATGTACACTGTCATGTCCAGAATGGTAATTGAAACCAGTGACCAGAATAATGATAAGACTGTAGGTACTTTGGTCACTTATAAGTAATTAAGCGCTTTAAAAGAAACTATAGTTTGATTATTAATTGACTAGCTAAAGAATGAAGTTTTTACAAACAGAAAAGCTGGTGAATGGGACTAGCAGAAAGAAAAGAACAAATAGTTGTTCATTATTATGTGACGAGCCATACAATTTACTTTTTACAAACACAAAAGCTAGTAAGTGGGACCACAAGATAATGACTTGCATTTTGTGTGTATTGTTAGTTGGGTAACGGTTGGCTAATTGTCTGACACTTATCTGAAAGTGAAAGTATTTACAAGAAAAGCACTTAGATCTGAAACCGACATCTCTTTAGACCTTCTCAATGAATACCCGCTAATTTAGCTCAGCTGGGTAAATTAATGTCGCAAACCAGTTCATCGATCTGATTAATTCTTGGCTAGAATTCAAGAAAGAGTTGAATACTAGTTAAGCAATGACATAGTGAAATAAACTGTCTGGAGTAATTAGGAACGGTTGATTATGTAGTAGAATTGATTGTATACTCTGAGGTTTTAGAATTATTAAATGAAAGGTAAATGACTCTCGTGCTTAAAATTGGATGCACTGCACACATTAACTGGAAAATGGGGCTCTTTACATTACACATGTGGCATTCTGTGGTTAATTTTAGTATCATATAATTAATTTCATTTACTGAACACCAAATGCCAGACAAAGTTATAATGTGCTTAGCGTCAAGTCGTGAAACTTTATTTATTTCGAGTAGAATAATATTGCTTGTTAAATTGAAGTACTAGTGTTTTGGATGGTGTTAGTTCTCAAGTACCAACACTCAATGGAGATTATTTTTCAATTAGCGTCGAAGCCATCAATGTTCACACTAACATTCTTCAACGCGCTATTATCTGGAGTCAGAAAGGGGTCGATTCATTTACTAACATATAACGCAGAGTTAATGTCCTTCTGGATTTTAAAGGCCGGCTGTACTAGTTCAGCCAGAAGGGATTAGACCACCCAGCTAGCCAGCGAGGTCACTGACAGGTGGCTATCTCATTAACTCAGCTCTCAATTAACATAAGAAAAAGAGGATCATGGGGGACCAACTGGCACCGATTGGGGAAGTTTTCTATATAGAGGGAGCAAGTCGCTACAAGTAGTGCAGTGTGGCTTTAATGCAAGGTATCATGTAAAGTTATATACATGTACGATGAAAATTATGTGTGAACTAAAATCTATGCTAAATCATATTTTTGTATGATTGCTGTTCTGGCCACTTCCAGGTCTAGCTTCTCATGAATGCAATACATGTATTGGATTTTGAGGTTGGTTGTGTCTTTTTAAAAGATAAATGAGAAGTATCATTGATAGTTTGGAAATTACTTTTCTATTGGAACTCTAATTAATGCAAAACATGTATTGGATTTTGGATAGTAATACATGTATGTTGAAGAAAATGTAATAGGTCATCTCAGTTATGTGGTGGTTTTTAAATTTTTTTTAAAGGTAAATAAGTCGGAGTATCATTGATAGTTTGGAAATTACTTTTCTATTGGAACTCTCTTTCCTCCCATGAAGACAATGATTGTACAGTCAAACCTGTCTAAGTGGCCACCTCTATATAAAGACCATCACCTGTATAGCTCCCTCTAGAGGGGAAACCTGTCTAGAAAGGTGACCTGTCTACAGTGGCCACTTGTTCTTGATTTCCTTGGGTGGCATTGATAAGACAGGTTTTAATGTAATTGTTCTATATGGGATATTTATTTAAAAAAAACTGTTATTTTATTTTCAGAGTTGCAGGAAAGGGAAGAGTAAAGTTACCAATATACTCATGGAAATATAATCTCTTGTTTGTAATATAAAGCATATATATTTAATTGGACAGGAATGGTTTGTTGTTATTCTCTGCTTCGTTGCATTTTAAATTTATTTCTTGCAAGTTTTATGATTGGTATTTATCTGGCCATGATAATATTTGTATAGGTTTTGTTTTGTTTTTCTTTTTTCTAGGTTTTAATTTTGTTTAGGATGTTTTATGATATATATATGTACCCGTTCTTTTACTTTTCATGATATTGTAACTTTCTCTCTCATTCCCTTCTTCACTGCTCTCTCCCCCTCCCTCTCTCTCTCCCTCCCTCCCCCTCTCTTTCTCTCCCTCCCTCCCCCTCTCTCTCCCCTACTCTTGAATGCACACACATTTTCTTTCTCTCTCTCTCTCATCTTCTCCTACGCACCCACTTCATACAAACAAAATTTAAAAAAAGGGGAGTTAGGGGTAGGAGTCGAGAGATTCTAATTAAACAGTCACTGACTAGGAAAGCACCACACAAACCGCATTGTCTTTTTTGCCCGGAATCGCTTTCAAATAGGGGTTGATTTTTCAGATGGTGGTGACCCCCATCCCTGCCCCTTCCCCCTTCACTAAACTTCCTTGCATGCATCCCATATACCATAGTAATTATGTATTGTCAACAGGCCTATCACCTTGTTGTGTTTTTTGCAAGACTTCTGTCAACCTCCCACACACATTAACATCTCAGAAATTTGCAGTCTTCGTAATATTCATGCCCACCTTCAACAGTCGCAAGGTGTGTATATTGGGGGGAAACTCCCTTTTTTGATGACGGGGAATCCCCTTATAGCCTTGTATGCTTTGTTATAGACCTGTTTTTTACTAATGTTTTTAAATTTAAGCTTGTTTCAGCACCCCCGTTTACTAATTTGCCTGCTCTACATAACACCATCTCTATAGGTGGAATCCACTTTGCATACATTAGCTGTTGCTATGTCTGGCAAGCTTTTAAGTTATCAAGGGAAACCCCCTTTTTTCAAGAAGTATGCACGAAATTAGTAAACCGGTCTATTCCACAAGAATGTGATTAAATTTCAATGTTGTGAATAATATTCTTATATTTGACCCGAGCGTAATACACATATTCCCTTTGTTGTTGATGTGAATACATTGTATTGAAACAGGATAATATTTATTCCTAACCGTCATAATGTCTGTAATTTTTATTCATTATTTCATCAATTTAAACAATACTTTGATATTGATGCTATATGCTTTGTGCTGCAATGACGAAAATAAACATGTTAACCGTGTTTGAAATATAAGGAAGTGTTTTCTTTTTTTAAATTTCTTTGTAGTTGTGTTATAAGTGCAATGTGGCTAGGACAAGGTCACTGGAGCCGAGGTATTATATTGCTTTCATAAAATCTCATTTTTCTATTGCTATATTTTCCCCTTTCTTTCTTCGCTTCTTGAATTGAATTGAATTGATTAACCATATATATACATGTAAAAGCAAAACATACAGTAGAAAATAGAATACATACAAAATACAAATATATGATCAGGACCGCAAAGAAGCAAATTGCTTATAAAGAGGGCCCCTACTATCTTCCTGTTATTCCCCTTCCCTCTTTTTCTTTCTTGCATTCTTTCTCTTTTTCTTTCTTTCTTTCCGCACTTATTTAATATTTCTTTGTTTCTTTATATGTTATTTGTTTCTTCTTGTCATTCTTTGATTGCTATACTTCTGTTGGTCTCTCTTTCTTTCTGTATTTATTTAGTATTTCTTCATTCCTTTCTTTCGGTTATTTCCTTTTTCCTTCTTTTTATCTTTCTTTCGTTGTAATTTCTTCTTTCTCCTTTTTTCCACTTTCTTTCTAGATTTTTTTTCTTTCATTTCATTATTCCTTTTTTTTTTCTTTTCCTTTTCCTCTTTTCATTTATTTTTCTTGCTTCACTTTTCTTCACTTCTTTCTGGTATTTGCTTTCCTTTTTTCCATTCTCTCTTGCTATATTTCTTTTCTCTCTCTTTCTCTCCACATTATTTAAATATTTCTTTCTTTTATTTCCATCTTCTTTTTTCTTTCTTTCATTGTGATTTACATATGTATTTCTTTCTTCCTTTCTCCTTTTTCCACTTTCTTTCAATATTTCTTTATTCCTTTTCCCCCTTTTATTCCTTCTTTCGTTCGTTTATTTATTCCTTTTTTATTCTCCTTTTTTGCTCATTTCATTTTCTTTCTAATTTCTCTCTTTTTTAAAAATTTTCATTTTCCATTTTCATCCAGACGAATATACAAGAAACATGTGTAACACTTAAATACAATGAAACACTTCATAAAACATGACATCAAGTTCCTATTGTTAAAAAAAAAGATTTATTCTAACACTCTCTTCTAATCATTCAATATTCGTTTTCGATCGTAAATATATTGTCATTCTTGTATTCTTGTTTAATTGGCACTATACAGTAGTCGTAGAGGCACGTTTCGAAAATAGCCCTGTAGACGTTATGTAGCTAAATTCACATACCAGGTGTTGCATCAAGGATTTATTACAATCTCCTTGATGCATACAGTATAGGGGTGTTTCATAAAGCTGTTCGTAAAGTTACGCATGACTTTACGAACGACTTGTATATGAAGTGTCAGATAGGATGCCCAAAGTTTTTTCTGATATTTCCAATAACCTCAATTAAATTATGGTAAAAAATATACTTTGCATTGAAAATGTTTGTTATGATAAGAATGTTAATCTAAATCTGCACATTTCAACTTAAGTTGATGCAGTTAATAATGATTGAGCATCCCATTTGGCATTTTCGTATTACAAGTCGTTCGTAAGGCCATGCGTAACTTTACGAACACCTTTATGAAACACCCCCAAGTGCGCATAAGATTGGTTCAGGGTTGGTGGTAGGGTTGTCACTATTTTTTTTTAGAAACATGCATCTACTGCTGATTAAATAATGACTACCATCGGAAATTGGGGAAACTAATTAATGAGTCGGCTTTCCGCTGAAGGAACACAACCAACATGTATTGTCAATGACTACAAAGTAATTTTCTTTTAGCGGTGAGATTAGAAACTACTTTCAGACATCAAATGCTATTAGCTTGGTGCCTATTTTCCGTTGTCTGTGTTAGTGACGTCACAGGTAGTACAGAGGTATAAACAATTTATAAATAACATATATTAATGTTATATAATAGGGAATAGGGGATATAGGTGGTGAACAACAATGCACATCTTCTAAAGACAGATAGGCGATATCATTATACAGTGAAACCTTTCTATAAAGACCACCCAAGTGAGACAAAGAAAAATGGTCTTTACAGGCAGGTGGCCTTTATGTACAGGTTCCTTTAGTACATGTTTCAATGAGAAACCTTTTTTCAAGGGAAACACAACATGTGGTCTTTGTAGACGGGTGATCACTAAAGCAGGTTTGACTGTATAATGTACACTATTTCTTATCTTTGTCGTCATTATCTTGTTTGTCAACGCTAGGTGGCGCACTCTTGATCCAGTCTGACCATTGGTAAAACCTGTCGCAGTAGAAAAGAGAAAACATGAGGACATAAATTAAACTTTTGTTTTGAGGAGGTTTGAAGTTTGGGTAGCCTTGAGAGTTAATTAAAAGGAATTATAAATAAAAAGAGGAAACAAAGAAAGAAAAGAAAAATGTAATTAAATAAAATTCTGATAAATAGATGTTGTATTTTCCAGATATAATTTGTGGTTTGCATAATAGACCTGTTTACTAATATATTCAAATTTATGGCTGTTTCTTTTGGGAACATATACAATGACGAGTTATTCAATTAACCTGTCATAAATGACTGAACTAAAATAATCGGAATCCAATTTGCTTGCATTACTGTCTTGATGTTATGTCTGGCAAGCCTTGGACAAGCTTTCAGGTTGTTGAAATATGCATACAGTTTAAATATGTTAGTAAGCCGGTCTATTGGGTAAACCGAGGATCAAAAAACGATGTGGCAAGAATTTGAATTCGTATCTGTTCTTCACTGAACACAGTGACTTCATACTGTATTTATTTTCTTTTTACATAAACTTAGACTTGTACACCAGTTGTTTTGTCAGGAGCCATTACTTACGTGACAAGTACTGATATTGGAACGTATAGCGCGGCCATGACAAGGAAAACAAGCCCTCGAAAGTAATCCAGAGTGAGACTGTAGATGAGGTTAAACAAGGATGGACCAATCAGATTGCCGAGACTTTCAACACAGCCTGCACAAGCCATTATAGCACCTGTTGAATATAAGGAATAAATAAGGAGAAAATGTGAACAAATGTGATCGCAAAGATGTACCTAAGCTTTCCTAAGAAAATTTCCGTTGCTAGGTTTTTTTTCAAGTTCAGTTCACTTTATTCATTTTTCTCAGCATGAAAACAAATATAATATATACAAAATGGCAAATAAAGATAGTAAGAGAAAAAATGGAAACTACAAAAAAGTGTATAAAAGCTTGTACAGTAATAGGAAAAATACATGGTATAAACAAGAGAGAGAGAGAGAGAGAGGAGAGAGAGATCTCCCCCCCCCCCCCCCCGTGGCTACGTGCCTGTCAACATTACACCATTGTCATCACAGACACTCATAACACGTAGGGCCATGCACCTCAGATTTACTACATTGCTAAACGATGCCTTTAAATGCAATTGAAGCTATAATTTCGGTCAGTTTGACTTCCACTTGCACCATGCGGTTTTTAGTGTCCAATAATTATTGTGTCTCCATATCCTTTCAAACCTGTCCAATCTAACCTGAATCATGCTACATTGATCCGTCATAAAATCAAGGAGCGGTACTTCCTCGGCATCAGCGCCCTTAGGTCCGGTGGGCCCCGCCTGGCTAGACGGTCGTGCATATAGATTGTGTGTACACGGTCGTGCATATTATATGCATTTGTAATCGATTATCAGAGGTTGACATTTAATTACAGAAAGAAAAACAGCAATATATTCCAAAATCTAATACAAAATCCCATTTAAAATTCATTTGCAGAATAAATATAACGATGAGTGGGTTATTTCTATGCAAATAGGTCTGTTTCCAAAAGAAAAAAAATTGTATTTGAAAAGAAATCGGATAACTACTTATAATAACCAACAATAGCTGATATTAATTTATAAATAGATTAGTAATACTTTCACACCAAATATACTTCAAGTGATCTATGTGATGAAGTTAATGCAATTGAGATTAGAATATACTTTTTCTGGTGGACAGTTGCTAAAATTGATTTTGATTCATCATTATTGATTTACCGATAGAAGCCATAGGACTTTAACTAGGCGTTGTGGCGTGCGCCTGTAATCCAGCTAAAAAGTGGAAGTTAGGCCTACAAACTGATTCAGCCGAGGACGCAGGTTCGAAACTGAGTCACGTCTTTCGGATGGTGACGTTTAAAGGTCGGTCCCAGACGTAAATAATCATATCTGATTGATACACGTCTGTAAAAACCCAATACACACACATCACAGTAATTCATAGTAAATATATATCGAATAAATTTTGCAAGTGCACAACTTTGAAGGTCGTGTGCTTAATTCTCAACCGCTAAATGATGACAAGAGGTTATTAAAGACGCTGATAACACGTAAGGCCATGCATCTCAGAATTAACATTGTTGAAGGAATAGTTGACTTCTTGTTTCAGACCGCAAATACCTTCAAAGTGCATGGTTATTGCTCTTATTCTTATTTATGACATTTCTAGTAACCTATGAGGATCTAAAATTCTAGAAGGTAATTTTAGACCCCAAAATGTGTGAAATTCTCCCAATACGATCATACAAATTCAGCTCTACTTTCTAAAAATACAGTTAATCAATCAATTAATTAATAATCTAAAATTAATACCTTCAAAGTGCATGGTTATTGCTCTTATTCTTATTTATTTATTATGACATTTCTAGTAACCTATGAGGATCTAAAATTCTAGAAGGTAATTTTAGACCCCAAAATGTGTGAAATTCTCCCAATACGATCATACAAATTCAGCTCTACTTTCTAAAAATACAGTTAATCAATCAATTAATTAATAATAACAATACATGGGTCGGCTGGTTGTACGTATTATAACCAACACGAAAAAGCCAACATCGGCAACTGGCTGGAATAAAACGGATGAGGCGCTATATCGTTTATTCAACGGCTGGATCAAATTATCTAATATTTGTGGTGGTACACAAAATATATTAAAAATGGTTATATTTATGGATATTTAAGCCGTCTCTGAACCGATTTTGTTCAAACAAAGATGATTTTGTAATTTAAATTGTATGTTCTTTCAAATTTGACATTCAGTTTTTCATTATCTCACCAGAAAGTGCCCTCTGCAACAGAACTCAACCATCCCTATGCCTTTAAGAGGGATATAGTATAAGAATGTCTCCGCTATCGTTGACTTCATCTTGATTATCAAAATAACTATCATCATCATCACCTTCATCATCATCACCATCTCACCGTCATAACCACCATCCTCCTTCTCTCTTCCTCCTCCTCCTCATCATCATCATCAGCATCACCATAATCATTATCAGTATCATCATCACCCCATCATCATCATCATCATCAACATCACCATCATCATCATCACCAATGTATTAACCATCACCACAATCACCATTATCATCATCATTATCGCCGTCATCATCACCATCACTATCGCCACTATATAAACAATCACCAAAATCACCGTTATCATCACCATCACTACCACCACCATCATCATCATCGTCATCATCACTACCACCACCACCACCACCACCACCATCATCATCGCCATCATCACTACCACCACCACCATCATCATCAAGGGACCCCCTTAACAGTGCCATGCCACAATCTACTGGATCTTCATCACTACGATGGCGAGGTGTGGTCTTCAAGGTATATTTTTGATTTGATTTGATTTTGATTTGATTTATTTATTTTCCACTCAAATATCCACAAATTAAATGACATATATAAACCATACAGTAATACAATATATAATAGAACAAATGAATTATACAAGTAACGAAAAACTGACAAGTATGTTCGTAATCAAATAAGTTTACAAAGTACATTTATGTTTGAGAATTAAACAACATATTTAAGGTATATTCATCACCATCATCATCAGCCCCATTATTGTTGAATTGGTGTCAGAATTTTATTATGTAACTGTATACATGGCTCTGCTCCGCAGTACAACATCGGCTTGATCAAGCGTTACTTTCCCTCTAGACAGCTACGTTCTCAAAACTCTGGCTTACTTACTCCTAGAGTTAAAACAAAGTGGGTGAGCAAACCTTCGCTCATGCTGGGCCTTCATTATGGAATACTCTCCTTCAATGGATTAAAAATAGCAGTTCTGCTGAAGTGTTAAAAAGCAATCTTAAGAAATATCTGTTTAATTTAGCTTATAATTGATTACCATTACCTTTCATGTCTGTACCTTTCCTATTGCACTTATATATATATATATATATATTTATCATTTCATCTTTTGCACAAGCTGCACCTTGAGCATTTGACTGTCAAGTGGATTTGGCGCCTTATAAATCTTACGTATTATTATTATTATTAATTATAGTTACCCTGTTCATTTTCATTGGCCAGTTTGGAAAGGCTTGATCTCATCGATGGTGACGTCAGAAACCGGAATGAACCCAAGGTGGCGGCTATGGGTGAAGAAGAAGAAGACGACGGCGGAGAAAAAGAATAAAAGCGATAACGATGATGATAACAATAGTGATGATATAGAGTACCGAAGCTGTGACATCATACAAATCTATTTTTGGAATTTCTCAATTTTTTCTGCATTTTCCGAAAGAGTATCAAAAGAAATGTCCAAATGTCGTAAACCAATTGAATATGTTAAGTATTGGCTGAGATATGACCATCTGAATAAAAAGATTTCCTATAGGAACTCAGTGTTATATTGCTCTGGCTCCTAATGTTAATTGAGAAATTACAAAAATAGATTTTTTTGATGACGTCACACTTCACCACTGTATAGTGATGATAATAATAATAACAATAATTGTAATACTACTAATAATAATGATAGTAACAATAATGATAATAATTATGCTGATAATAATGATAATAATGATAATAACAAAAAGGAAAGAAGGAAAAAAGGAAAAAAAATAAAAAGAAGGAGAAGAAGAAGGAAAAGAAGCAGAAGAAAGAGAACAAGAACAGGAAGAAGAGAAGGGAGATATTGATAAAGAAGGTGAAGGAGAAGAAAAAGGTTGAGGATAAAAATAAGAAGGAGGAGGACAGTTAGGAAAGAGAAGAAAAGAAACAATCATTCGAAGAAAGAAAAGGAGGAATAGGAGCAAAAGAAGAAGAAGGAACCAACGGTTCGATAACAAATAAAGACCTTGATTTTCCGTCTTCGTGCACAGACAAAATTAAATAAGGAATCCTTCCAAAACAATTACAGATAATTTCGTTCAGTGCATACGTTTCCCTATCTTTAAAAGAAATTCTGAACATCCCAACGGTCCAAAATCAAAGTCACTCTAAATTTACTGTCGAAAACCTGCCCTAATGAACATCTCTATGTAGAAAGTCCACTTGTCTATAGAGATCACACTTTTCGATTGTTTCCTTTGAACATCATTTCTAAGGACCCTGTACATACATTCCATGAAAACCATTTTTCGTCTCTCTTAAGTGAATTTTATCTACATTTTGTAACTGTATTAAATTTAATATCATCGTGATTCATTGCAGCAATAGACAATACTTACCGATAAAGAGCACAAAACTCGAATCACCGAAAGCGGTGAATGTTAGACCAATGAGACTAGACCAGATCCCGACCTGAGCGATGGATAGATCGTCTGTCATGCCGCTGCAAATCTTCCCGCCAACCATAGTTCCTGCAATGTCGGACAATGCGTACAATTCGTGGTTATCAACATTTAGATGGCATTCATTTGTAATATAGGCTGCAATAAGTTTTGAAAATGCCATCGAATTTATTCTCGAAAGTCATTGCGAATTACGAGGTGAATGTTTGAAGTTTTACAAGGTTAAAAAAGTTATGTTTCATCCTAGATGTACCGTTTACATGATTTAGTCAGTTTAGGAGATAGACGTATTCGGAGGACAGCGAGTGTCCTCTTTTTAAGAGAACGGTGAGTTTAGGTAAAGACGGACAGATGGTTGTGAGCATTCAAATCCCTTTTTGTTTGATCTGGAAGAGTATCATAGAAAAAAGTGAAGCACCTAAGTGGCCTTCTCTTCAAATGCCCTCCTATTTGAAATAAAACAATAAATAGCTGAAAAGTTTGAACCAAATATCCATGTCACATGTATTATGTGACAATCTGCTACAATGAGTCAATTTCTACACTAACCATGAACCCCATGTTATAACTCACCCTAACACTAAACCTAAACTCAATCTGAACCTAATAAACCCCCATTGCAACCCTGATCCTAACCCTTTATACTTTTCACAAATAGACCCGTTTACTTGAGGACATCAAAACCGGTCGTCTGCTTGATTGTGTGTTTTTCCAAACATCACTTACCAACTGAACCAAGTAGAAGAGAACAAGCTACGTAGAATCCTACAATGATAGACGTCCAACACAGCGGTGGGCTTAGAACAAATAATAAGACCAACAGGTAAGTTGAATGGAGAATCATCATGTGAACGCTAAGAACGACTAGGTAGGAGACTAGCTGACTCCTCTTCTTCGATTCGGCGTTCGCGAAAAGCGCGTATATAGCATCAAACTGTGACGCGGAAAAAAAGCTTGTCGGCTCCTCGCCGGCCTTCAAATTGGATTCCTTAATGAAAAATATAATGTAAATAATGGCTGTCGCGATAGCGGCGATAATAAACCAAAACGGAGCTGTGAAACCTGAATAGAATATCGAAAATCCGATAGCGACTTGTGATACACCGGTTGTGAATTCGATTACGATACCGAGAATGATCATGCGATATGTTCGCGATTGGTGTGTAGCGATGTCACACATGTAAGCATTGCAGACGGCGAGAAGTGTTGGGAAATCCCCAAACGATCCCATGATAAAATGTGCGATGGTGAGATAGGATTTTGGTAAGCTATAATAGACAACTGCAAGCCAAATTGAAATTCCGATCAAATAGCCGATAGTTGGTAGCAGCATCGCCTTCTTGCGACCTGCGCGATCACTCCATGATCCGATCAACGGTGAGACAATCATCGCGGGGAATATTTGAACCAGATTGTAAATCAACAGCCAATAGGAAGCGTCGGCTTGAGCGTTCTCCATCTTCGCGATGGCTGAGACGCTTGCGTTGATTGGTATATCGCAGTCATCCTTCCAGGGGTCAAGGTTCAAGTTCAAATCGTTATGGATGTTATACTCTTTGTAGATGCGCATTGTGACGTATTCCGTTCGCATTGTCGACGTCATACTGTACGCCATGTAGAAGAGGAGAACGACCGGTTCAACTGTGATGCAGGGAAATTTATTTTTGAGGTCATCATCGTCGTCGTCGAATCTGTTTTCTTCGACATCTGAATTTTCCTCGAATACCTTCTCTTCGTCCTCGTCCACCAGTTTAGTGAATTTGAAATAACTTCTTCCTGTTGCCATCCTGATCTAATATGAAGTCCACAGACACACTCCCTAGACACAAAACTTCTAATGATGATACTATAATATGCCGTTCTTCCACAGCGCTATAGCATCACGCGCTTCCAAAAGAACGCCGGATAGTATCCCCGGCTTTAGCTCCGGCAACCGTAGCGCTGCATTCACCCGGGTCGAGAGTGCAATATGTAGCATCATGCCCTGCCGAGGGACGATAGTATTGCTTACTGTGGCAGGGATTCGAACCTTATGATTCACGGCCGGGAGACTTATCCACTTGACCACAGCACCTCTTGTGATTCAGACTAGCTACTCATACTGCAGCTTTATATGTATCAAAGATCCTACAGTTCAATTTCTTTAAATGGAACACATAGCTTCCCTTTGTCTAGCCCTCAGCGCACACTTCCACGCTGAAATCTGCGTACACACGGCCGATGCGTTCCATACACCGGTTGGGGTTTTACTTCCGTAATTTTCCAAGCATTATAAAATTTCACATTTCGCTATCCATACATTCTGCTCCTCCTTGAAAAAAAATAGTCCCAATACTTCAAATTGAGCAACAATTTGTTACATTTTATTACTTCTTTCTTTTAGAGCTTGATGTTTCCCCGGCAAATTTGCCAACGTCCAAGTCATTAGCCTATGTTTAATCGTTGTGTTCCAGAATTAGGTAAAGAAGTATATTAGGGTACCAGTCAATCTACCTGGAGTTTGTGCAGGTAGGTGATTCATCATTATAAATTCCATACTATTACTACATGATCAAAACGAATAACAGGGTAATACAGAACTTGCTGAGGTTAATGGTCCTTAAGGATAGACTACCAGCATAAATAACTTTAGTCTGTACACAATCATGTTATTTACATCATGTTTGGTGTGCCATGGTTTCGGCATCCACATTAATTTTGCTGATGTTCCACTTGAATGAATGATAATTATCATTTTAGAAATATGCAATGCCAGGGGGTGTTTCACAAAGATCCTAAGTTGAACTTATCTCTAAGTCGGACTTAAATATTATGGAGAGCCATTTGTAGCCTTATAATGAAATATATTCAAAAGCAAAAATTCAAGTATTTTAGACTTTTCATAAATTCCACGCCAAGAACATGAAATCTTCCATGATAATAGAAAGTATGAACGATTTGAATCAACATTTTATGCCTTTAAAAAATTTTACAAAATATTTTCAAGGATGCTAATGGCTTTCCATTATTGTTTTAAGTCCAACTTAGAGTTAAGTTAGACTTAAGATCTTTATGAAAGTATGAAACACCCCCTTGCATGGACCTTTATTACCTGGGGAGTGTTTCACAAAGACTAAGATAGACTTTAAAGAAAAGGTTGAGTTCTGGGAAGAGGTGAAAAATAATTTGTGAGCGTTATCATTCTTATTATGCAAGTGTGGAAGAACATCAGATAAGACATGTTCCCTGAAAAGCATGGCTCTTTAAATGCCTTCATATTATAAATATGTCATGTAACATCGTAAAAATCCAGGGTAGGATTTTTAAGTCACGTGTTCGTGTAGTGCCATATACATCTTTCTGTGTACAGTGTTTGTAACTTTACCAAGACTTGGCCAAATTTCTTATCATTTTTGATGATTCCAAAACCTTGCAATACACACAAATTCTTATATGCTAGATGATCAACCTTTTCTGGTCGATTCCACACCGTTTCTTTCACAATGCAATCGCATGACCAGAACTCAATTTCATCTTTAAGTTCGACTTAAATAATTATGCCAGGCCGATCATGCCACTGTTTGCTCTCACCATTGTGATCTTTTGATAATATTGTTTCCTTCAGTAATGAACTATCAAAAATGATAAATTCTGTATATTTGTGACCATGATTTGGACGTCCCTTGAGAGACCAATGCCAGTAAATGATGAGGGCAAACAGTGGCATGAACGGCCTGCCATATTTAAGTCCAACTTAAAGTCGATCTCAGACTCAGTCTTTGTGAAACACCCCCCCCCCCTCCGGTACATGTATATTTAATAAACTAAAAATGTAATAATATTTATTTTTACAAGTCGAGTAGACGTTCAATGTTCAAAGGCCATAATTATATAATTAGGAAACATTGAAGTTGTAAATCTATAGTCCTGGAGACGCCATCCCCCCATAAACCGATAAATCGCAAGTTCACATGCATACACAAAGGGATTGACATCCTTTATTAATGTTTGATTTTCCTGGTCTTTTATTGGTTTTGCTTGTTAGCTGCTAAGCGAAGTTTATAGACATGTATGCTCTTTGTTAAATAATAAATGTCTCTTGACTTTTTCTGTTCAAAGGCCATAATAATTATATAATTAGGAAACATGGAAGTTGCAAATCTGAAAATGGAGACGCCCATCCCCCCATAAACCGATAAATCGCAAGTTCACATGCATACACGAATGGAGTGACATCCTTTATTAATGTTTAATTTTCCTGGACTTTTATTGGTTTTGCTTGTTAGCTGCTAAGCGAAGTTTAAAAATGGAGACGCCCATCCCCCCATAAACCGATAAATCGCAAGTTCACATGCATACAAAAAGGGATTGACATCCTTTATTAATGTTTGATTTTCCTGGTCTTTTATTGGTTTTGCTTGTTAGCTGCTAAGCGAAGTTTATAGACATGTATGCTCTTTGTCAAATAATAAATGTCTCTTGACTTTTTCATTTTAAGGTACAATATTTCGAGTATTTATTTGTTATTAATAGGGGGGGGGGGTAAGTTGTGTCATTCAAGAAGGCATCAGAACAAAAACATATGCTTTCTCCATTCCCCCCTCTTCCGACCTTCTCTCTCTTTTCGCGGGCTCTCTCTCTCTCTTTCTGTATTATCTCTCTATCTCACCCACTCTCCCTCTCTCTCTTGCGCCTTGTATATCTATCTCCATTTCGCTCTCTACATATCTCTCTTTTTTCTGGCGGGCTCTAAGTATCTCTGCCTTTATATATCTCTCTCTGCCCCCTCCCCCTCTTTCTCTCTCTCTCTCTCTCTCTCCCTCCCCCCCCTCTCTCTCCTCCTCTCTCTCTCTCTCTTTTAAACTGGTTCCCATGCACAATATTCAAGCCTTGTAACCAAGCGCTTAAGAATGCTTAAATATTGACTCCTTTACAAAGTGGAGTAAATAATCTGCATTGTATTCTCCACGAATATTTGTCTTCCTTTTACTCCGCCATGGGGATTTGCTTGCAACGACAAAGTGTAAATTAAAGTCTGCTAAAAATAACCGGGTTCTCTTTAATAGACCCGTAGGCTTTCTGTTATCTGTTTTCATATAATTGTTTTATATGGATTTAACCTTTTGGCTACGGGAGTCGGGTGGTCACTGTGATAACTCTATGGGAATGAGTGAATTCAGTAGTCAACGGGTTAATATACAACGTTTGATTCTGTTTATCTTTATAGCGGGAGTTTCCAAATTCGAATCCGGTGCGATTTGATGTCTTTTGGTAGGGCTAAGGTAATTTGTAATTACTATGTTTCAGTTTCAGTTTCATTTTTATTTTCATTTCCAACATTCCCAATGAATAGATCAAGATCACCTCCCCCCCCCTGAACAATAGGTATTAATTACAGATCTACGCCCATGCCAACAGAACAGTCATTTTGACAAGAAATCAGATATACAATTCAACATTCAATAATATAATTCATTTTTACATATATACATAAATATCCAGTATTATTGTTTATTTTAAAGTTTTTTAAGATAAACCTGTGGAAATGGAGTGATCCACTGAAAAGCACTGTCAAAGCCGTTAAAGACTCAATTTTTCTTAATAATTTAGCAGGTGTCACAACCCTCGGACAGGACTTAAAGTCGTATGCAATTGCTTGTTATCTGTAAGCATATACTTGCCTTCTGATAAAGCAGGCATAGGCCTATGTAAAAACAAATCACGAAAAACAGTTCAATCGTATTGATGTGCGTGCCCGAGATGGTTCAGCTCCTCTCGTTATTAGTCTGCTCTCCCTTCTGTAGCCCATTTAAACCAATTTCCTATTTCCACGACCACGTTGGGATGTGTTTCAGTGCAAGAAACGACTGGACCGAGAGACTAAACAGTAAACCTTCAATAATTTGAAGGTTTAGCTGACTTCTTCGGAAGTTTACCAATACACCCTGTCGTATACAGTCACGTCTTTGTAACATCTCAACATTGCCTTGGACTCATCCGACATCGTCGGAAATATAAGTAAGCATCGTTGCCAAGACAACACAGCTTCTTGGATGGACCAGGTGATCAATGAAACGTCATCAATGAGAAAATTATCAAGCTAAATAAACTGTTATATTTGAGGACAGGATGGAATGAGGAAGACTGTCTCGCAGAACTGCAGATAGACACACCACACTAAACAACCAACGGAAGCATTGACGAGACAGATAGCTGTAAGATTATTTTTGGGGGCGATTATTTCGTTATGTGTCTACGAATCAAAAGCAAATGTTATCAAGGAGATAATAATTGTTTCTCGGCCTTGGTTTGATACTGATTAAATTCACCTCCAACTGTTGTATCAAGATTGAATGGTTGCACCGTGAATGACAACGCTCTTTAATTGGGATAGTCACCAAAGTGTTACCGCAGTGGAATATTTCATCATTCATACAGCATATCTCATATCACAACTTCCGTCGTATAGCTTGAAAAAGATTCCGCAACTCATGGCGCAAATTCGGATGTCTTGTGCGGAATTTCCTTCAAATTGGATGTTTTCATCTTGTTGGACTTAAATACACGTGGCTAATATTATCTGCAATTGAATAGAAAAAAGGGAAGACCAACGTCACGCTTACTATGATGACAATATATGGGTAAGATAAATTCATCAATCATTTTTCGATTGCATTATGTATATTGTCTTTTTTCACAATTTACATTCAACTTTAATTATTGAATATACATTAATATGATAGGATAATAAATAAAATATAGGCTACTCCAAATATAAACAAAAGCAGTGTTCAAAATTTCTTTGTTGATTCGGTCATCTATCATTTTGTGACAAGGTAAATTTCTTTTGATTTGATTTATTTTTCATAATTCCTCTTTATGATTATCGCAGATTTCCTTCCATTCCTCTTTCTCTCTTTTATCTTTCATACTCACTTTTGCTCTCCTTTTCCTGTTTCCTCTCCCCATTTCAATCTTAACTATAGACTGATTCTTTCTATGTGTCTCAAAATTTCTCTCTATATATTGCCCCTCTCTATTATTTTTCATATTTGGTCTCATTCGTTCCTATATAATTATGTATCTCTCTTCACACTCTCCAACTCTCCCCTCCTATTAGTTCCCCTTCCCATCTCCCCTCTCTCATATTCTCTTCCTCTCACTCTCTCTCTCTTTCTCTCTCTCCCAGTCTCTCTCTCTCTGTCTCTCTCTCTTCCTGTCTCTCTCTCTCCCTCAGTCACTCTCTGTCTCTCTCTGTCTCTTCCTGTCTGTCTCTCTCTCTCTCTCTCTCTCGCCCTTGCATCTTTCTCTTTCACTTTACTACTGTTTCTCTCCCTAAATCAATACAAGAATAAATAAAAAAGAAACTGAGCCATTGCAATCGTGTTGGAAACGTTAATTTATTAAATCTCAAAGTCATGGCTTCTTCCCCCCTTGTTTTTTAAAAGGGAGAAAGGATTATAAA